GGCCTGCCATTCTTTTCTGAGATAATTGATCTGATACGCTATATAGCAAACAGAGGGAAAAAAATTCAAGCGATACGTCTTCTAGATTTTGCAGAGCTGCGTTAGATATTGTGAGCCTATTCTGTTACTATCTACATCTTGCTGGCCACATATGAGCCGACCGAATCGCTCCGCACATCAGCCAGTGGCACAGGCAGTACGTAAGTGCAGCAGAAGCGGAAAGATCGTTTAAGTTTTCTCTAGTGGAAGCGGACTCCAACTCGTATTCTTAAACTTTTAATCTTAACTGCAGAAGTCAATGCGCCTATCCTGTTTTATGCTGACTTTAGACAGAGTCTGCTAATTTGCCCTCTTGGCTGATTGGTGAAATAGTAAAACCCAAACGCCACCTTTACTATGAAGGATTAGCACCACCACCATACGATAATTTGAATGAAATAGGAATGAAAGGTTTAAGCGGGCTTGAGGTTTTGGTGCTGAACAATCTCATCTCTAACGTCATCGATTGGCCGAGAGTCACTTAACATGAGCGCTGTAGGCACTAGTGTTCTAGTAGAAATCGAACACGAAAGCATTAGGACGTAATAATACTTGCCAAATTATGGGGAAACTCTCAGAGTTATCCACCGTGACTCTCTTCGACTAGAGCTATGTTCACTAAGCTACCATAGACTCCGATCTAAATTCGACAATAACAGCGCAAGCACCAATGATAAACATTCATTTTCTCGCTACACACATAGGCTTAGCCTACCCCACCCCAGCTGCAGACAACGTTGCAGTTAACAACCTAGGGAAACGTCCAGCGCCATGCTGCACATGGAACGGCAAAAATGGGCCGGTCCTACTAGTTTCGTGAGCTGCTATAGCAGCTGAGTCTTAAACATCGTTCAGTTACCAAAGCAGCGATCCAAATCTGCAGGGTATTATAAACAACAATAAATTATTTCCAACCCGTCCAAACGTACATAGTGTTAGGCTTTAAAACTGAATAAGGGCATCTTTTGTCAAGAACTACGTACATATTCAAAACGAAAGTTATGCATCTCAAAAGCACAAACACTTATAGAGTTTTTTTATACTTGATACTTGATCAAACCATAGTTCTGCTAATCTTGCTGCTTTACTATGTCGCTGGAGCATCACTTCCGGCACATTTTACATGGTTTTACTGGCCTAACCTATGCTAGGCAAACAGTCAACGTCTGCCCTGTGTAACAAATGCCCCAAATTTGCTTGTAATTCGACCTGACGGTATTTTGGATAGCGCTACGACCTTGTGGCTACTGGATAGAAACTAGTACGGAACATAGTATCTGAAGGCTAGTTGAATATTTTGCTTCTAAACCTGACATCTTCCCGACGCTATTGCCTCAAAAGGAAGGATGCAAAGGACGGCAAATGAATCATAAATACTAGCGCGACGAGGTTAAACCGCTCAAGATCTAGTCAAGAACAATTTCTCCACACTTCCCCGCACGATTAACGTTACCCGGGATTTCCCAACGCGGGGAACTTAAGGCAGTGCAACATGGCAAACAAGTTTGCAGTTGCTTGTATCATGCCCGCATTGCTTGCGTGAGTGTAGTGTCCCTTTAATAGAGACAAAAGCTCTCACTTATTTGCCCCCAACTTTTCGTCAATATCGACCATCCTAGAATCATGGCGTATGGAATTAGTAGCTGCCAGCAATTAGCCACAACCCTCAATGTGCTTCCCGGGGTTTCTGTTTTGAACACCACACATATCGCGAATGGCACTCCAATTGCGCTCCCAGACCTTGTACCCTCTTGCGCCAATGCAGCGAGCTACAATTTGGCTACCGCGACAACAGATATGTGCCGAGTAATCGTGAATGCCAGTTCCAGTGCATCCAGCACAGTTCGTATCGAAGCCTGGCTACCAGATAAGTGGAATGGACGGTTCCTAGCGACAGGCAATGGTGGTACTGGCGGTTGCATCGACTACGGCAATCTACAGAACGGTGCAAGTTTCGGCTTTGCTACCTTTGGCACAAACGGAGGACATGACGGACAGTCCGGCTATGACTTCTTCCTCAACAAGCCAGAGAATATCAATGACTTTGGATATCGCGCAATACACGTCGAAGCGGAGACCGGAAAGCAAGTGGTTGAGCAATATTATGGTCGCAAAGCAGATTACAACTACTACTCAGGCTGTAGTACTGGCGGACGTCAAGGCTTCGAAGAAGCGATACTGTACCCAGAAGATTTCGACGGGATTCTTATTGGAGCAGTGGCTGTAGATTGGCTCCGCATTGTGGCTTCGAAAGGTCTTCTGGCTCGACGCCTTGGCTGGCCAAACCTTGAGTCCTCCAGCTACGTTTCAGCTGCGCAATGGGCAGCGATTGTCGCTACACAAGTTGCCTTACTAGACCCTCTAGATGGCGTCAAAGATGGGATCATTGACAATCCGACACTCCATAATTTCGACCCATCGATGCTTGCATGCGGCACCGGCGTGCTGAACTCGTCCGTCTGCTTGACTGCTGCGCAAGTCAACACGGTGCGTGAGATCTACCAGCCTCTTGCCAATACTTCGGGTCATATTGTCTATCCATCGTTTGAAGTAGGCGTGCCGACTAATGTATTTTCCGCGAATACTGAAGTTGTGAACGGCACGACAATACCACAACTCGAATACGGTCTGGTTGATGACTTCTGGCGCGGTGCAGTATACAATGATACTTCATTCTCGGTACTCAACTTCACCACAAAGGATATGGACTTTGCCACCAATCTGAATCCCGGAGGTATCAATATTGCAGGGGGCATATCGCACGACGTCTCCGCATATCACAAGAGGGGCGGAAAGCTCCTGGCATACCATGGTCGCGCTGATCCAACCGTCATGTCAGGCCTGGCATCGCGCACTTTTCAGAAAACAGCTGAGGCATTGAATCTAACTACCACCGAAATGCACGAGTTCTATCGCCTTTTTTATATTCCAGGCATGGGTCATTGCGCCGGTGGGAATGGACAGTGGTCAATAGGTCAGCCACAGGTTGACAGACCTACCGGAACCCAGTTCAACAACTCACAGCATAATATTCTTTTAGCGATGGTAGAGTGGGTGGAAAAGGACCGTGCTCCCGTCACGTTGATTGGGACAAAGTATGTAAACGATACAGTGGCGAAGGGAGTGATAGAGAGTCGAAGAACCCACTGTGTATATCCAAATGCAAGCCGCTGGGATGGCAGTGGTGATACGAAAGAAGCCGGAAGCTGGAGATGTCAACTCGAAGGCATTGTCTAAATCTCACAAATATACATAGCTGTTAGCAATTGATCCTTCAAAGCACCGTCGGTAGGCATAAATCCAAAGTCACTATCAGCTTAGGGATTAATTAAGCGCACTAATTGCAACACGTATCTTACACTTAACTGCATACGGGAAGTAGGGTAGCTTAGTACTATCATACACTTAGGTATAATAGAAAATAACAATTAGATTCTTGTAAAGTAGTAAGACGTTTCTAAGTTATTAATCTTACTCTTACTAAACCTTTGTAAAATTCTAAGGCCTTGATCAATAAGGTTCTCGCTACAGAGAGGTCAGAGCCTTGCCTAACTAATGTAACCAGAGGATACAATAAGTATCCCGTGATCACCTAAATCGGAAGGCAATGAACAAATCCGGATGCCCTTTCTTTCCACCTATGATTCATAGCCGGGGCTAATTTACTGCATTGAGTATGTAGATTTCGTATTTTCCATGTTATTGATAACGTCTAATGACTTGGAAGTTGTCTCGTTTGTTTGTATGGAGTTAATTATGGTATTAGTCGGAAATTTTCAGGATTCTAATATAGGAATGGCAAAAACAGCAAGCAATGTTAAATCAGCGAGGTGCTTCTGTCGAACTTCAGTGGTCTCCTCTTAGAAAACCTTCTGACGTAAGATGCAATTCATATCTATAGACAATTTCTCTACAAATCAAACTGTCAAGAAGCTTATTAGCTAGAATCAAGCCACGCCAATCGAAAAAGAGATAGTAGTAAACCTGATCAAAGTGCCTTAGGCCATTTTCACTACGCTGGCGCTTTGTCTTCGACCACGATCATTCTCAATTCAATTGGCTGGCCTTTTCCTACAACAACATTAGCAGATGAACATTTGAAACTGCACCAATTGCTGGATGTAGCAGCCGCTGCTCCATCCACCTGTTATCCCGAAACAGGCTCAGGGAAACCTAGGGACTTACCGTTATCTAGCTTTGCTGTATCCGCATGCCCCACCAAAATCTTCCCATTATCCCCCTGATATGCCAAAAACGTGCCTCGAGCCATACTACCCATGACCCGCGTGTCGCCCTCTGCATTCTTTGTCACAATCCAACCAAAGGACATGCTCGTCCAACTCTCCCTAAAATCAGTTCTGAGTGCCCTTTCACTACCAAACAACAGCGGGGACGGATCCCAATTCAGTTTGATTAACTCTAGGTCACTATCACTCCCCCCTTGTGTGTAGTTGTAGACTGTATGTTTTTCAACGAACTTGTGCCAGGCGCAGCTCCATGCGCCGCTTTTGGGTGATTGCGAGGCGGGTTGGTAGATGGGTAGATAGCCAACAGCATAGAAGATGTCGGGATGGACCGTGATATTGCGAATGTTCAAATATCCAGTGGGCTGGTCGAGCGTAAGGTAGTGCCCTGTTACATTGAGGGAGGAAGGAGCACTGGGATTGGGCATTCAGCAAGTGCTTGACGGAGTTGAATTGACGATGAAGCAGCAATTATGACGTACGATGCGACTTGAAAAGTTACAATTTTGTTGATGTATGTGTCTTCGGTGACAAAGAAACCATCATGGTTTTTTTGGCAGGATACGGGGACTTCAGCGGTGATCTTGCGCGCTTGCAGAGCTGATAGGAAAAGATAAATCAGTGTGCGTAACATGATGCAGTTTTTGAGATACAATAGCGACGAATCGAAGATTGTAAGACCGAGCCTCAAAATATAACGTTAAAAAGATCCAGGATTTGTATGTTTTGTTTCCTGCGCAGGAGCTAGTACATAAATATAGATCGATCTTGGTGCCTAATGCACGAAAACACCTAGACCTCTGCATGATATATTGCATGTACTATCCAAGGCGGAATGCCACAGGGGGCCTTACATCTCCAGCCCGCAATAGGCATCTGCTAGCCAGAACAGAAGATTTCCAATACAGGTCCCATATATCCAGGGAGGCCTAACCAACATCAGACGTGGTTTAAGATGCGAACCGGGCTGAAATAGGCCTCGCATAAGAGTTTCGTGACGCAGCTAGCCATTTTGTACCATCTCAACCACAAACGTTGCCTCCTCTCACCTTTGCCCGAACGACATTTAAGTTACAAGTAATAGTGGGAAGGATCTGTCCCCTTTATGGGGAAGCGGCTTTTTGCTCAAACAACTAAGGATCGCGCTAGAACGCGATATTTATCGCAGGACATTAACCATGTAACTCAGCCTCTTACGAAGAGCTAGCTATCAGAGCCTAGCCTTCACTAACCCCTCTAGGCCGATTTAGGGTCTATTAGCCCATAGTAGGCCTCCCTTCACGACAATCAGAGAATCCTGTTCACGTTGTTATTGTTTGGCGACATGGCGGGTCCAGGGAGCGGGCAAACGGTCGACTGTGGCTTTGCCCAATGGTACTTGAAGAATGACTGCTCGCGGATGTATACCCCCGGAATCTTGAACCCGGGTGAGGGAGAGCCGTTATAGCTGCTGGTCATCTCGATGTGTGCACACTGAATGTAAAACCCACGGTCTGTGTAGGAGGGATGAGTGGTGGTCTGCTCGATTTGCATCAGGTACTGGCCTGGCGGGATCTCGGCGGGGAGCTTAAAGGTAAACTGTTTCTTATGCCAAGACAGCCATGCTAAGTCATTCGTAGAGCCAGGCTGATGTTCAAGCTGGTAAATTTTGAACCAGTCACCAGAGCCATCGTAGTCGCGAACATCACCCGGTGCTTTGGAGAGACAAATCTAAAATAAAAGGAGCTATTACGATGAGAATATCTACCAGCATAACGTCTGGGTAATCATACCTGTAAGGGGCCTGGATGGAATGATTCTGTGTTGATATATGCTTGGAAACCAATGACATCCTGGCCTGCCTTCACCCATGTAGGTCTTCGGCTGAGTGCGGTGATTCATGGAACCCTTGTTGCAGCGGAGATCTTCGCTGTCAATGAATCTGCCTTCATCCCATGAAAGCTGGAAACCGTTTTCGTACTCGCGAACATACTAGTGTGCACCAGTAACTTGGACGTTGATGACAAAGTGAGGGAAGTGATGGTGCGCTTGAGTGAGTTGGGACAAGTGCCCGATGCTGATGGCCAGCAGGAACTTCATTGTGCCTTGAGAAATCGAAGATGGATTGACCTGTCAGAGTCTTGAGGCTCAAAGCAGTGTAATGAATAGCTTGGAATGGATGCATAAAGATGCAGGCTAAAATCAGACTCGTTATAAACTAATTTCATGCTTCCAGACATTGCCAGTCCTGGGGAATTGGAAGCTTTGATAGGCCATTGGAGGAGATGGGATTTTCAAAACCATCGCAACGCGACATGAAGTGACCCTACGGTCAGATTCAAGGTTTAATTGGCATATATTATATAATATAGGTTTAAGAATAGAGAGTAGAAGTGGCAAGGAAGGTTGACTCCGCATTTTCAACGCTAATGCACTGGCTTCTGTCTACCAGCTGTCCAGTTTAAGCAAAGCCATGAGACGATCCCAATAGGATAAAGCCAGATTCTTTCTTCTTTACTTCCAGTGGATGATTTTTATCATGTTATATCGGCCTAGAGGTGGTTTTCCGTCCAAACACTGCCGTCGTGCGCTTAGCGAATCATTCACGGCACACACACCAGACCTATAAACTCGCTAAGCAGCCTAATACTATATCCGGGCCGTTGAGCCACGATAATTTAGAATCGTCTATGCGAAGGAATGTTTCATTTGGGTCACTCGCCCGTGACAACATTTGCGCATGTTATACTGTACTTATTTTGTACATTATGCCCTTTTCAGGTGTAGAAGCGATGTTAGTGTCCAGGATAGTTCGGCTATATCTTGATTCTGTTGGTAGCTGTCGACGAACAACAAACAACGCTTGATTTAGATTCCTGTCGTCATCAAAACCAAAATAGTCAAAACAGATGAGAGTTGGTGTCTATACATGCACCATGTCCATGTCGTTTAACACGAAAGAAGCTTGATAATTCTGCTGTGAAGGTGTCTGACGGCTCACGATCAAGGACCCTTTTTCTTAGCACTGACTCTTGCCTTCAGCTGCTAGAGGGTTTTGGCTACTCATCTGGGTAGAAGGGATATGCTACGTTTTGGTGTTTGTGCTATTCGTACCTTTACACAAGCTTATACATGTGTCAACGCAGTAAACAAAGAGAGCAGAAAGGTATCCAGTAAAGTTCTAACATTGATTGAGTTAACTAAAAGCCTAGAACTGATTGAAGAATCCCCAAATCTCATCTGGAACATAGCTGCGAGCGCCACTGTCACCACCGCCATCCACAGGTGCGGGCGCGTGTCCACCATCAAACGCAAGCCATGTGACTGGATACCCAGACTTGCAGCCGGAGTATTTCGTTGTTACATGTGTCTTACTACCGGCCGTGGGCTCCCTAGGGCTCTGGCTTGTGCAACCATTGTTCTTAACGAACCTATCACGCAACGCCCGGCCGCCAGCAATATTGAGTGTCCCATCACTGATGCCGTGAATCCCAAGATACGCGATAGGGTCATTTCCACCATTACATCCACTTAGCTGCCCTCCAGAGATGACAGCAACGGCACGAAAGTCTTTTGCGCGGGAGCATGCAATGGAAAAAGACATCGATCCGCCGTAAGAAAAGCCCGTCGCAAATCTCTTTGTTGTGTCAACGCAAAGGTCTGCCTCGATTGAATTTCTCATTGCATCAAGGAATGCGACGTCCTCCCCACCGCTGTTTGGCCAACCGTTATTCAAGCCCTGTGGTGCAACCAAGATAGCACTTTCGTTGGACTTTTTCTGCATGCCATAGTATGCCCATAGAGCACCGTCAGATCCGCCACTAGAGACGTCTTTCATGGTGCCGCCAACCCAATGAAAGGCGAAAATCAACTTGTAGGGCTTGCTCTTGTCGTATCCAGAAGGTACACGAATGGTGTATTGGCGGTTCTTTCCATTGACGTTGATGCTCTTCACGCCCGACGTAAGTGTGGGCGTCTTTCCGCACCCAGCTGAGTTTGCACGCTTGACAAGACCTTGTGTAGTGCCAAAACTGGCAGCCGGCAACTTAGAAACGACCGCTTTGTTGTATGAGCCTGAAATCCTTTCATATGAGTTGTCTGATGGTGAGACTTACAATCTTGGTAGTATTCTGGTGCGCCCAATACCGAGGCCGCACTCAATAGCAAAGCCCCAGCGATAGACTTAAGATAGAGCATTTTGATCCGTTAAGATATTTAACACCACATATGCTTAAGGGAGAGAATTTCATGTTTATATACGCACACTACTTGTGGATCTAGAACCGCATCACCTGATGCTCCATCCACTCTCGCCAAGACGATCAGTAGTAACAGTAAAGCACGGTAGTCTTCAGGCCCAAAGCCTTGGGCACGATATGCGGAAAATAAACGTCTAGCACCAATCAATTTGGCTGTAGGGCAAGCATGGACCTCCTACTCCGCAGTTACGAAATTGTCCGTCATGCGCGTTGTTTCATCATTCTGTGATGGCCGTGCGCTAGCTATCTTTATACAGACGTAAACCCTTCTTAGCCATGGTTCCACTCTTGGCCTTCCCCGCAGTTTTGATTGTTGCAATCTCGGGGAATTCGTGATACTACCGGTATATTAAATGAGAAAATGCAAATTCTCCTTGCGCGATGTATGAAACCGGGCGAAAATCAGGATAATGTTTCAGAACACATACCCAGTTTCAGTAAGCAGCATTCGACCAGCCATGCACTGGAAACATTTTTTATTCTCCACCACATTGTGGGCCTACGCTGCATGCGCAGTGGACTTTTATGTCTTACCGTCTGGCTCCGATAGTAATGCAGGAACAGCAGCTGCTCCTTTCAAAACGCTCGCTAAAGCGCAGCAAGCTGTCCGTAACCAGATTGGTGGAATGGCTAAGGAAAATATCACAGTTCATGTTGGTGCAGGCACATACACGCTTTCAGTACCCCTCAAGTTCACAGTCGAAGACTCAGGCAAGAATGGTGTCCCTGTCAAATGGGTTGGAGCCGGTGCGACGATATCAGGTGGGCTCAAGATTAACAATTGGACAGCAGGGTCAAATGGTGTTTACTCGGCGAATGTTCCGGTGGGCCTCAAGTCGCGAAACTTGTATGTTAATGGGAAAGCTTCCAATTACGCACGCAGGAAGATTGCAAACCGAAAGGACTTCACTTACACGAGTACTGGTATGGAATGGACTTCAAGCACGTACGACTGGCTTTCCTCTACCCCGGGTTTGAATGGCGCAGAGATTCGCTTTATCAACTCTTTCGCAGACCGCTATGCACCCATAGAATCGGTTGGAAACAAAAAGCTAATAATGAAGCAAAACACATGGTACAACCAAATCTGGGGCTATGATACCGTGAACAAGAACAATGCGGACTTTGGTGTGTGGGTGCAGAATGCTTTGGCACTCCTGACAGAGGGTGGTCAATTCTATCTTGACTCGGCTGCTGGTAAGATCTACTACAAACCGCTTTCTGGCGAGAACATGGCAAGTGCAGACACGTACTTGGGGGTTTCTGAAGCGCTCATTGTGATTGGCGGAACGTATGCGGATCCCGTTCACGACATCTTGTTCCAGGATCTCAACTTTGTAAGCTTGAGCTTAGACCACTGCATAGACTCACCTCTCACTCAAACCACAGGCTCATACCACATGGCTGCAACCTGCTAGGATTGGATACATCGATCAGCAGACGGGAGGCAACATTTGTGAAGACGAGACGTATGACTCCTCCAACTTTGAGTCTACCCGACCCCATTGGTGTCAAATGCCGTCTGCAATCCAGATTAGCGCAGCTAAGAACATAGTCTTTTCTGGTGGGAACTACACAATGATGGGTGGCGGAGGCGTTGGTATTGGCAATGATGCGAATGCCCATATCACCGGTACTGGGCTGGGAGCGAACAATATTGCGATCAAGGACGGCTACTTCACGCAGGTAATGGGTAATAGCATTACTGCCGGCGGCATTCGAGCCGATGCACACCATCCAAGCGATGCACGCATGACAAACTCAGGCATAGAGATATCCGGTAACATCTTCTACAATGTTTCATCTCTGTTCAGTTCTACAGTACCGATTCTCGCGACATACGTTCAGAATTCCCTCATCTCACATAACGACATCTACATCACCCCTTATACCGGCATTTGCATTGGCTACGGTTGGGGATCTAACGATGCTGGAGGTAGCTCTGAGTACGTCAACCGCGGACTATACAAGTATCAACCAAAGTATACGGCTCCGACAACGTCGATGAACAACCGCATCGAGGGCAACTTGGTTCACGGCTACGGCTACTCACACACTGACCTTGGCGCGATATACACTCTTTCGAAGAGTCCATCCACATACATTGTCGAGAACTATGGCTTTGACTCTAGTGGATTTGGTGCTTATACGGACGAAGGCTCTAATTCATACCTCATCCAAAATAACATCTTCCTCTCAAATGGCCTCTGGTATGCGCGCAACGGCGTCAACACGGCAAATAACACCATTACTGGTAATTATGGCAAGACTGGACCGACTGTTTCTGGCAATACAATTGTTTCGGACATTTCAAAGGTATCTGATGCGGCAAAAAAAATTGCGCGACGCGCTGGTGTACTCCCTGAGAAGCGTGGTGGTCGGCCAGTGTCGAATCCCCCGATCTAACGTATCGAGGCGAATGAGTTACCCGAACGTAAACTAAAGCATGGTACAAGGTTTAGGTAGCTAATTTGTCGAATCGGATGTGGCATTCGTGTTCCTAGTATATGTTGTTAGAGGGCAAGGCCTTAGTCCGGTGCAATAGCAATAGAAGCCAAAACTCACCTTTACGCCGCTACATCCTTCGTCATAAAAAACTTCGTAGCGGCTTGTGATACCAGGTGAAACTTTGTCAAAATCACCAACGGTAGTGGTGGTATACTTGCGATACACAGCGGTCACTAATGTGGTCATTTCCGCCATTGCAAGGCTATTTTGAGTAAGTAACTTTGTACTGAAATCAAAGGGGGGACAATGACGTACTGGACCCCAATACACATTCTGCTTCCGCTGGAAAATGCCCAGAACCACCTGTTCATTTCGACAGTGTTCTCGGATGGATCGATCCAACGATCGGGGTTGAACTGCGTCGGATTCGGGAAGACTTTTGGGTTCCTATGTAGGATATACGGCGAAATGGATACTGTAGTTCCTGCTGGGATATGATAGCCATCAATCACAGTGGCTGTGGAGGCTTGCCGTGGCTCAGAGGCCGGCAAGGGCGCATAGAGCCGCAGAGTTTCTTTAATGACAGCGTTTACATAAGGAAGTTTGTCACTGGTCTCGACGGTCGGAATGTCGTATGGGTTGAGACTTTCGTGGGATATGCTGCGGACCTCATCGATGAGCTTCTGCTGGAATTTCCTGCTCTCGGACCGGGAGAGCGACCAGATGAGAAACATCAGGGTGTCGCTAGTGGTGTCGATGCCAGCGAGGAGGTGGTCGGCGCACTCGGAAGCAATATCAACGTCGTCCAGCCCACCATTAGTCTTTCGGGAGCAATGGTGCTTCCACAGCTTTGCGATGAACGGAGACGTCTGTTCTACGGTCTCAGAGGGTTCGGCGGCAGGTGAGCCACAGGCAAATTCCTGGCATGCGATCATAGCGTGGCGCCGGATGCCTGTATACGTGGTTGGCAACTGCATCGGGTAGAAATAGCGAGCAACTCTCCCAAAGAGCCCTGTCCTAGAATACAGCCATGCAGTGAAGCGTGGTAAGTGAACGGTAAACCAGGACAGTCTACGACGCGCAACGTCCACTATATCATTGACTAACGCGCAGTCGGCTTCGGAGCCTTCCAAACAAGACGTCCTGCCGTACTTCCCATATAAGAAGTCGGTGATGGCGTCTAGAGAAAAGTAGTGCAATGAGGCAAATATCTCACTCGAGCCTTCCTGTCGCGCAATCAAATCCAGATACTGGCGGACCTTTGCTTCTACCATGGCTGCGTTGGCTCCTTTGAGCATGGCCGATTTGGCATAGGCATTGGCAAACATCTTCTTACGCTCAGAGTGTTCGCGGCCGGAGAAGAAGGAAAACATGTTCTTGCGCCCATAGACTTGAAACATGTTGTAGAAGCTAGTCCGCTCGAAACCGCTGCCAGCTCCATATATGGTTCGCAGGGCGGAAACGCTGTTGAACGACACTTCACTAGGCCCGAGGCGCACGACGGGGCCGTACTTTTTGTGAAGTATGTGAATGGTGCGGGTGCGGGTGCCTCGGAAGTCTTCCAATGCAAGTCGCCATCTTGTAAAGGCAAACGCATTTGGACCCGGTATCTTTGCAAGAGGGCTTATGAAAAGAGGGAAACAAAGGTGGTAGAGCAAAAATGCCAGGCCGAGGGCGGCAGCGGCAGCAACTGCTACGGCCATTGCCTAGTGATAAAAGAGTAGTAGGAGAGTGCTAGTATGATGAAGCTCGCCCAAAAATCTGAGACGCTTGTGTGATGACGCTGCTGCTGCTGCTCCTGCTGAGCCCGTACATTTAGCCGTGTCATTCGTCTTAAATAAGCGCATCTCGCTCAATGCTTGTTCTGTGTGACTGTAGGGAGATAGTGATGGATTGGGGTTGGTTGGGAGGATGGTGGGATACGTAGATAGTGAGGTTGCCCGATTGTGGCTGGGGACGCCAAATCCGGCAACCGCCAGCGAGACTGGCGTCCGTGCTCATGTGCAGCCAGCGACGGCAGGAGTCTCCGAGGTCTTGTTTCCCTTGACGCAGGTGTGGAAAGCGTCTGCGGATTTCTTATCAGTGGCCGTTTGCGACTCTTCAGCGCCGCAGTTTCGACTACGTAAACATGCAGACCCGCAACGCCTCCACGTTAGGCACATACACATACATGATGAAAATTGAACTGGGCCGAATCCAGCTCAGTACTGATACATGTATAAATATCGCAACTCCTGTCAAAAATGACCACCATCCATGCATCTCACCTCTTGACTTCGGTGCAGCCTCCTTCTAGCTTGGCACCCTTACTGTCCGGTCCCACAGTCGTCGTCTTGCTTCCAATCGTTGAACATGCGATTAGACGCCTGGACGGGCCTTTTGCCCACAGTGGCCGCCCTCAATGTTGGTCCACACTACAGCCATCCTATCGAAGGTTTGTAGAACCTACACGCAACAGACTGATGGGTTGGATCTGTGCGCTAATGCGTTCATAGACCTCGATGTTGATCTTCCTTTTTCTCAACCAGTGACATTTGCCCATCTGGAATGGCAGCGCTGTCTTGCTGCCTCTCATGACAAAGTACGTCGTTCCTTTACTCGAAAAACTCACCCGAGCGCTTGGTTCCTAATCTGGTCAAAAGCCCTTGGACATTGCCATATTAGGATTTCCGTATGATACATCAACATCCTACAGGCCAGGTGCCCGCTTCGGTCCTCGAGGTATCCGAGCTGGTTCCGCCAGGGAAAAAAAGGGACGAAGCTACAACACCGTCTGGGAAGTTGACCCTTACGAGGAGGGACTTGAAATTGTAAGTTAAGGCATTCAGCACACACAAGCAACCATGTGATCAGTAGGGTTACTGCTCAGCCTGTTTATCTCTAAAATCCATCTCATTGATGTTTTGACTTTCAGGTCGATTGCGGCGATGTACCCATCACCCCGTTCGATGCAGCCCATGCTTTCAAGCAGATGGAACAAGGCTACAGGCAGGTCTTGTACCACCCAACTTCTTCAGCAAACACATGGGAACATCCGCGCATCATTAGCTTGGGAGGTGACCATTCTATCGTCCTACCTATTTTGAGGTCTCTCAAAACTGTATATGGACCTATATCGGTGATTCACTTGGATTCGCATTTGGATACGTGAGCGCTGTCTTCCCTTTAGCTATTCGAAAGAACCAACGCTAACCGTGTCGCATGCAGATGGGACCCCTACGAAGGCTACACCGGTATTAGATCAAACCAATCTGCCCTTACCCATGGCACTTTCTTCTGGCACGCTAGCCGGGAGGGCTGCATCAGCAAAGGGACCAGTGTGCACGGCGGCCTCCGAACCAAGCTATTTGTCAGTGCCGCCACTCTTCAATACTCCGACTCGAAGAACGCCTATACTAATTTCAACTCTCATCGTTGCAGAGCCCCAAGGATTATGAAATTGACAGAGATGTCGGCTTCGGCATTATCGAGGCACACGAGATCGATGATATTGGCATGAACGGTATCATCGAGAAGACACTGAGCTTCGTCAAAGACACCCCTACCTATCTTTCCATCGACATTGACGGTGAGATACCTCTTGCCCCTTGCGTCATCTGCTACTTCGTCCATGCACTTGAAGACATCAACACGCTAACTCGTCATAGTGCTGGATCCAAGCATCGCTCCAGCTACAGGCACTCCAGAATCCGGCGGATGGACTACGCGCGAACTCAAACGGTTTATCAAAGGCCTCGAAGGCATCAATCTAGTAGGTGCTGACGTCGTGGAAGTGAGCCCGCCGTATGACACCGCCGCCGAAATCACATCGATTGCGGCTGCGGACCTGATCGTGGATATCACGGCGGCCATGGCCAAATCAAAGAAGGGACCAGCGCTGTCGAGGGTGAAGGATGAACTTTAGGATTACCGAAACCGTATTCTGACATGCAACCGAGGCGTGATTGGCCATGTTTGTGGCGAGATGGATGAACACGATAAACACAAGTCAGATGGGAGCAAATTAGCTTCCAAAGAAATGCCTGTAGGAGATCTGAATGCATAAAACAAGTCAAAAAGTGAATCCCTTCCAGCAAAGGCCTATTAGGCGTGATATGAACGTATAAGAAACAACATACATTCAATGAAGAAACCCACTATTTTCTCTTAGGATCACTTCTTTAAACAATCCTTGCCTCTTATGCTCAGTTAGACCGGCAAGACCAGTCTCCCTATTCGCCGTAGCGCCTCTCTCCAACTATCCACATTCCCATCTACATCTGTAACATGCCAAACCTCTTGGATGACTCTCCACTGCCGCGAAAAGTTTCCTAGACCATAACCCTCAACCCGGGTCCACCACCTAACCCAGGGTTCGCGGTTCCTCGTCTCACACGTGGCAATAAATGCCGGCCACGACATAGGCGCGGTTCTCTTCACACCGCCCATATATGCATCCTTGAGGTCTTCCGCCGCCGTCAGGTTCTCCCAGACAGCACTTGCCTCCGCCTCAACATCTACATCGACAACGAAGCCATCGCCATCGATCACTGTGCGGCGGTAGTATATCAGCAACGCGCTATGGAACGCGCGAGCCTGGCAACGCGCAATCTCAAGCATAGTGCGCTCCTGTCGCTGGATGAGATGGAACGGCTCCGCGTCAATGACCCAGGCCATGATGGCCTCACCCAATGCCTTGTATGCTGCGCAAAGAGACACAGGAGTCGGTGTACCGGCCTGTTGGCGATAGAAGGCGAGGTGTTCTGCGATCCGACATGTTTTGTGCAGCAAGTTGGCAAGTTCGGGGGTGATTCCGTATATGTATTCGATACTTCTCTCATCGGGGTGAAAATGTGGCCGGGTGGAGGCGGGAAGTTGGTCATCGGGTGGCCACGGTCGAGGAGAGATTTCGAGGCATGTTGTTTGGGCGAGGAGGGTGAGGAAGCGGCAGATACTGGTGACTTGGTTGCTTGAGTCTCCTCTGTTTATGCTAAGTGGTAAGCCTTGCTGGCGTAGTCGTCGGCATGCTTGGAGGTGGATTGGGAAGTCGGAGTCTTCTCCAGTCATTGTCTGTAGAGGAAAGGAGGGCATTTGTCAGAGAAAGGGGGCTTGATAGATGTGGACTAAGGGGGAGATGCGTACATCGATTGTGACTAGTGACAGCATTGCTGTTAAGTGCAATGTGTACAGCTGCGGGTCGCCCGGATGGACAGTCGTAGAGTTCAGAGCACGCAGCGCCTTGATTCGGTGCTGAAGCCCTAGCTGATGAAATTTGGGTGAACCGTCAGTGGCGTTGCGCAGGTGAAATGCGGCAGCCGAGAGCAAACTGTGGAATAGCGAGGTCGATATTTGCGATGATATGGTTGCGTTTTGTTGGTAAAGAACAAGCTCCGGGCATCCTGATAGGGCGAAAGGGAAATATGTAGTCCTCCAAGGGTTACGCGAGTGCAGAACGGGTTGTAGCAGTTCGGCCACATGGTTCATATAATGGAACATGAGCATGGATGTTTCCTGGTCTCTGAACATGGGCATTGAAAGAGTAAAGAAAGGAGCAGGTAAATGATGCGCCTTTGATTTACCTGACACTGCTAGCAGATCGGCCTGGATTGTGCAACCTCGGTCCCTACCGTTCTTGAGTGCTACACATAGCTCAGTGTGTTGCTGCGAGAAATCACTTTGGAGATATATTTGAGCTGATGTACTTTCTAAGTTTGGATGCTCTTCAGCTGAGAGGCCCCAATCTGTGCAGTCAAGGCTCTCTGCATTTGTATCCCATCCATTGTCGTGCTGTCCAGTGGAAGGGTTGTCGTCATCAATGCTCTCAGTTGGTTCTGAGGATTGTACCGGGCTCCCAGGAGTCCTTTGGATAGGGTCATTGCAATTGGACTGGAAGACGCCAAAAGGTCCAATGAGAACAGTGTCTAATGGCGTAGTGACGGAATTGATGGCTGACAGCTTCCTCGTTGTTTCACGGTCGGACATAACCGGTAATGCCGGCCCACCTAGTAATTGATTAATTATGCCCGGAGGGTAGCCATTTTGGCCCGCTGAGAAAACGAATGCTGGAGGCTGACCTGTAATGATCTTCCGCCGGTGCAAGCCCTGAAGGTTCTGCACCCGGCCCGTCACCCACGACAAGTTTACACTGTAGCCAGCGCACTCCAAGCCAGCCTTTTCACACACTGCGCACCCGTTATTCTGCCGCTCGTCACATTTTATTTTGCGAGATCGGCAGGTCCAGCAGCTGCAAACTGTTAGCGAGATGCACGGCTGCGGAACACGCTGCAAAGGCTCTGGGGTAGGCTGTATTCGTACCCCGTGAATGTCACACACTTGGACTTGGACGGCCGTGCACGAACAGGATTCGACCTGGTCTTCATCACAGAGGTGCCGCGGGCTGATTGGCTGCGGCTCGTTGCATTCTGGAAGTGACGAGAAGTCTACTTGGGCCATGCGGGATGGGACAATCCGCCCATGTGTTGGATAATGCGTCATGCAGAAATATCGGATGGTGGCATGTGAGGTAAGTAGGCGGAGAGAAATCCACAGCGGATCTGGGGTCTTACTCAGGCTATCTAGTGTGCATGTCTGGGCCTGGTGATTGGTGGGATGCACGGCTTCCAGAAAACAATGGGGTAGTCGCAACCAGCCCAGATTCGCTATCTTATCGCACTGGCCCGTGGCCGGGAAAAGTGGACCTCCCGTCTTGGAAGGCGCCAGCGAGCAGCTCCTTTGTCCCCCAATTGATGCTGATGACAGACGATGATTATTTTGGTAACTACAGACTGATCTAATTGCAACATGGAAACAACCGCAGAGATAACCTCACCATCCGACAAGCTCTTCCCCATTAGCTAAAGCGAACATCCAGTCCGTTTGGAAGGACAATGCATGCCTTATCTCGGTCACACCTGCAAGTCTGCTCGAGGGCCTTGGTAGTGTCTTCTCCCGTGCAGCATCCACCACAGCCCCACGACCACAGCCAGGCCGGAGATGATGACGCTGGTGTAGTTCATCGCCTCGGCCGTGGTCGGCAGGCTGTACGGGAAGCAATAGATGACTATGGAGACGACGATATAGAGGCAGGCAACGGCATTGACGGCGGCACCAAAACGGCCCATCCAGAAGGGTCCAGGCTTGATGAGCTTGCGGCCCGACACCAAGTGCGGCAGGATGGCAAGGAGGTACGACAGCGTCGACAGCACGACGAACGAGCCTATGAAGGCGTTGAACGCCGTCAGTGAACCCACGTATACCGCCCCGATGCAAGTCATGAAGATGCCGCATGCTAGTGTCGAGTACAGCGGGCTCTGCCATCGCGAGCTGACTGCGCCAATCTTATTTGCAAATGGCGTTGCGCCGTCGCGGCCGAGTGCGTAGAGCGTGCGGCCCGCTGTCACGTAGCAGCCTACCGTTGCGCACAAAATGGGCAGAATGATGACTATCAGCAGCCCGACTGCTCCCCCTTTGGAGCCGGTCGCTTGCAGATACATCTCCCCGATGGGACAGATGGTTTCCAGCTCGATGATCGCCTCTAGGTTCTTGGTCGCATAGAAAACCACAATCAAATAGCTGAAACCAGTCACGAAGCCCATGATCACCTGACACGCGAGGGCTTTGGGCAGATTCACTCTTGGACTAAGTACGTTGATTAGCCAGTTCTCGTGTGTGTTATTTGTATAGATCGCAGCGTTAAAAGGTTTGTTTGGAGCTGAAATGGCAAAACGTACCGTGGAATCTCCTCAGCAATGTGGGTAACGCAATCAATGGCACCCACAGCATAGGCACCATTCAGCATACCCGCCAGGAAGACAAACCCATCGCTCGAATATCCAGTGCCATTGTTCCACTGCTTCCAGACGAACTCGCTCGATGCATACCCACCGCCAGCCAACCCAGGCATGACGGCACAGACGATAACAGTAACAAAGAAACCGGTAATGATGAGGAAGGATCCGAGCCGGCTGATAAGTGGAAGAGAGTTTTGTGCGAAAATGACAGTGAAGCAGCATCCCCACGACATGATGAGGTAGCAAACAAAGACTTGCCATCGCTGAGGCTCCAGCTCGGGGCGGTACAGCTTGTACGACCAGAGCACCATGTTGCTGACCATGACGCAGTTGGAAGCAACGGCAAACATCCACGCCAGACCATTCAACCAGCCAGCAAACCAGCCGCAAATCTTGCCATACTTGGTGCCGGCCGTCACTAACGCCCAATGGTAGACTGCAGACGAAACTCTATCAATACGGGTCTGATCCTACTTATAGAAAATCACGAAAGTGTGATTAACGTACCTCCTCCTGATGATGGGATTGATGATGCAAGTTCTGCGATTGACGCCGCAATGAAGCCATAGAGGATGGAAACAACTGCGCTGCGATTCCAGTCATAGCATTAGCAAGGGAACTCATGCGCTCAAGATGAAAGTGAAATTTAAAGGAGTTACGCACTACTCATATATTGCCCCAGCCGCTCCACCGTTGTGAAGCGACGTAACCTGCTCTCACTATTAGATCCAGCTAGGAAAGTGCCGATAGGTATGTTATGTACAATACCGGCGCCCAACACAGCCCAAGAGTTGCCTGTGGTAATTCCAGTCGCACAGGCGCTTAACAAATTGAAGGTCCTCGCTAGAGCTGGACCCTCGCTCACAAGAACGAGCTCGCCCTCGGCAAAGTCGGCCGTTGAGTGTTGTGAGTGAGTGCCGGATTTCTGCTCGGGTCCTTTCTCCGAGTCCGTAAGTTCCATGGTCACTTGCATTCACTTTCCAGAAGTATCAAAAAGGCAGACAGGAAGAGCGCAAAGAAATGCAGTTTTCATTGCTGAGATTTCTCAAATTGGCTTGTATATATACACTCCTCCAAGTCTTGACAAACTCTAGTTCTGCTAGATACACGGCTATGCCATTAAGCATAGTGACCGGTCCGAGGCAATGGCTCTGATAAGGGCCTTGATACGAGCAGACATCAGTGATTTGATTGCACGGATAACCTTTGACGAATTGATTAGGTGAGTTTCTGGATGAATACCTCGCTCGCGGTTTCCTTGTTCACTTTTATCCTGTTATGTGTTTCCAGTTGTAAAGATTGTTATCAGGAGTGTGCCATGATTAGGCCCAAGCCGTCGTGGGGTAAGGACTTCATTCCAGATTACAATGGCGAGAACATCTGGGGTACTGTGATAAACATGGTTCCCCACCCAATGAGATGGAAGCCTACTGGGGCATTTCTTTCGCACAGTAGCTTTGGAAATGCCCCGATCCGTACGCTTCAAGGGCTCGTCAAGACTTGCACGGCAGTGCCAGCATAGACTCTAGTGCCACTGGCGTTATCTATTGCGAGAATACTTTGTCAGCCACTATTAAGTGTCGATCATAACCCGAACTTGCTGTGATGGGCTCGCTGGCGCCTTCCAAACCCGATTTACTGGGGTGCCCCCCTAGCTCGTGGCGTTAACCTCGTTTGATTGGTTCGCTGGCACCTTCCACCACTTGAAGATACTAATCGTCAAGCGATGTCTTCATTTCTTTCAAGCCAGCGTATCCTCCTTTCAGGGTCCTCCAACTCTCGTACAGAAGCTTTAAGGATTGAATTGGCGAGTGAGTCTCTCAGCTTCTGACCCCTGCCTGGAGGCATACGAGTTTTTAACTGGCCTCCATAGAAGCATGCACTAGATTCCAGGCTGTGAACCTCGACAATCGTAGCTCCAGCGACAACTCTACAGAAATAACATCTCAGATTGATGATGCGTTCGCCGCAATTGGCGGTTCAGTCGATCTTGTTGTTGTTGATGCTCGGGATCAAGAGCACTGTGGCCGCGATCCAATCTGGGAGGTGCCTCTAACTGAGTGGGACAAGCATCATGACGCTGCTCAGATCAATCAGAGAAGAGCCTTATCCCAGATCAAGTCCATCCTCCAAAGTCAGTTTAAGAGAACAAAAGATGGCAATTCAAGTTGCGCCTTTTCTTTGGTCATTCTCGGCTACAAGGCTTCTTTTGAGGGATCCCTTGATGCTGTTCTTTCAAAGTTACAGCGGGATGTTGCATGGCTCCATCGCGACGCTTCTGTCAACTTCCTCGATGTTGTGACTTCAGGTGGTGATGCTACTAACCTATCTATCATTTCTGCAATTACAATATTAGCATCTAGCAACTCGCGTGGTTCTGTTATCTCGCTCGATGGTATTTGGACTCTTTCCAACTCACAGCCTGACGGCACCAAGTCGCCATCTCACGACACGGACATCCCACAATCTCAAACACAACTAAGTATACGCTCACCTCTTAGAGCAAAGAAACCAAAAGTCAAGATTGCGCTTTCGTTTGATTACGACGCGTTGTCGGCTTTTCTAGGCACGGGGGAACATCCGGACAACAACCTCGCAGACTACAGCACTGGTGTCTTCTCTGGGCGCGTTGGTGGCTACCGGCTACTACGTTTACTGAAGAAATATCAAATTGCCGACAAGGTTACATGGTTCATTCCCGGCCATACTATGGAGACCTTCGAAGCCACAGTCAAAGAGATCGTCCAATCCGGCGCAGAGATCGGACTCCACGGCTACGCCCACGAAGGCGCCTATCAGATGACGCCGGAACAAGAGCGCGACGTCTTGGCAAAGTGCATGCAAGTATCGGAACGTCTGACCGGTAGAAAGGTACAGGGATACCGCGCTCCCATGTACCAACTGCGCGAAACAACAGTCGAGCTCCTTAAAGAGTTTGGGTTCCTGTACGACTCGTCCTTGAGCCACCACGACTCTCAACCCTACTTCACGCCAAGTGATCCACCCGTCGAGCGCATCGACTTCTCCAAGCCGGCAAGCAGCTGGTTGAAGCCGACGCCAATAAGCGACATGGACGTAGTACCGCCCGCATCATTGCACTCACCCGCCACTGGCCTACCTCTTGTGGAAATTCCTATCGGCTGGAACAATGAAGACATGATGGGACTACAGTATTTCCCGCACGTTGCCAATACGAATGGACAAGTCGATGCCCGCGTTGTTGAGCAGCGCTGGAAGGACATTTTCCTCTGGTTGTGGGAGAACGGCGAGGCCGAGTCTGACGACGGTACCTTCATTTTCCCACTACTCATGCATCCGGACTCCAGCGGCCTGGCGCACGCCATGACCATGGCAGATCGTTTCATCGGCTGGCTGCGGAGTTGGGGAGATTCTGTCGAGTTTCATACGTATGAGAGCATAGCGTATGACTTTCTTCGTAAGAAGGGTGTCAAGAATGACAACATTTCTAAGTAGAGGCTAGAAGTATGTTGATATGGGATTCCGCTATTACGTCATGTGAAAAAAATATTGATTTCTTTTCATTGCTGCCTTGATTTTGTAACAATGGTAATGTTTCCCTAGACAATCTTCGATGATTCCCATAAAGTGCCTATTCATAGAGACGTATGATAACGAGAAGCAATTGACTTGCATCACATCAAAAGGAAGACAAAAACTTTACTTGAAAAGTTAAGAATTAAATCAAAATAGGAAGGCTAGTCCGTAGTAATCTCTGAGACTATGATAGTGGGTATGACGTATTGGAGAAGGAATAGAAGGCATGTAGCTGCACATGAAGAATAAATGACAGCCTCCGGAAACCTGAGGCGGAACTTGAGTTGGCCAGCTGTTGCATACAACTGTAATTCCAAATTTCTATGTTAGATTGAACATTAGCGGAATAAAAAGTAAAGACGAAAGAAAGTAGAAATGTAAATGCAATGAAAATGGGAAATGGCATTAGTTGTAAACCGTTGATATTAAACCTCAGAGAAATAGTTCTTTGTGCATAAGCTTGTACATGTACTAAGTGCCATACTGCTCTTTCTACCTCCTAACACTAGTAGTGTCTTAACTCTACCCGAACTCGGGCAACCAGCTCCACTAGAAAGGTACGCCATTCATGCCACCCTTGCAAACATCCGCTCCCTGTCTTGCCTTGCCGACAATCTCATAGCTCCCTGGCCATTCAAACCACGACGCTTCGTAACGGCGGCATTTGGCATCCATTTGAACCTTTGCGTAATTAACATCCTCCCGGTTGAGATTGCCACATTGTCCGGGTTGGTTGATGCAGTAGTATACCATCATCTGATTCCTCAATATTTGAACGGATTTTGTGGTATTTGGTTCGTCTGCACAAAGCGTCTCCCCGTTGCCAGCATAACCTTCGGTAAGGCTTTCGAATAACCTATCAATGGCGAATTCTTCGAGTTGATAACCCCAGCAATCGGTACGGCGCTTGGATAGCGTTGCCGATGAGAGCATGTCGCGTCGATTCGCAGCTTGTAGCGCTGCGACGTCCTCAGGGGTGAGGACAATGGGAGAAACTCCGTTTTCAGTGGAATCGTAGACTTGAGTACCATTACTGAACCTTGTCACCACGTAGTTACCTTCTGGGACAGTAGTGGCGGAAACAGTAATGATGCTGGCAGCAAAAGCCATGAGTGCAGAAGTGAGGTACATAGTGATGGGATTGAAACTCGGTAGAGTGTAATTGAAGGTGGTGGTTGAGAGTAAGTTGCAGGTGATTGTTTGGAGCTGTAGTAGTGAGCCTAGGAACGACGAAAGCACCTGTCTTTATACCTTGATGTTCTAAACACGTGCCCAAATACATCTATTGAATAATACAAAAGAAGAAATTGCGTTTATTCAGGCGCTCCAGGCCGCTCGGAGCGGGATATTAGGTGCATAATTCGGACTAGCATTCTACGAAGCTGCAGGCCTTGACGGGAGTTTGACAATACTCGGTATAGTATTGCTAGAAGCAGTCGAATGCTTCGGCTCAGCATTGTACATTAGACTCCACATAATAGAGTGGGTGTCTTGGCTCTTGATTTGAATAGGTATCGGCTTTGGTATGGAGAATTACTGTGTATAGCCCTCAAAGAATTCTAACAGAGCGTTAGAGGACCTCTGGTAAGCTATCAAGCAGCAAACATACATACTTCCATGCCTTGTTCAATTACATCATCTTCAGCCATGATTCGCATGCAGTACCTGATGATGCTGAACAAAACATATGGTGCTCGTACAACTATTTTTTCCTGAATACTGAGAGATACGCGAGACCCTGAATCAAGGCCCACCAACAAATGCGGAGGATGCCGCGGTACTAGTACTAAGGCCCGCTGCAGCAAGGCCCGCTGCAGTAAGGCCCGCTGCATCATGAACTATTCACACAGTAGCGCGAAGGACAACCGCACCTAGCAAAAGACGCATTGGGCTACTGCACAAGCGGGCTTCGCGAACATCAAGAAACAGCAAGGCGTGAGAACGCATTCGGTATTTTGTGTCAGCAACGAAGTTAAGTGCTGCTTGAAAAGACATACGTACTTACTTAGGCCTTGGGCGATGTGTGTTGAATCTGGATGTGCGCCAGCACCAGCAACAGAATACATGTAGCCTCGGTTAGTGTCAATACGATGTTTACTAGGGTAATGATGCTGAGGAAGTAGACCGAGGCCGTGGTCTACAAATTCGAACCGGGGTCGTGGGTTGAGAAGCTATTTCTGTTCTCTGGAGAAATATACCGATGCAGCGCGTGTTCCGCTCGAAAGCTCAAAATAGCCTAATCAAATGGCCCATCCACAGTCAAATTTGTGACTTCAGGATAGTCCGCCATGGTGATAGGGGGGGAACCAATTTCGGACTCACTGTCCAGGTGTTTTTATCCCGAGTTATTGAAGGCTTAGAGAGCTGGCTGGGGGAGCTGCTCTGTCCAAGACACTGCTGCGAGGTACTTCCCCAACCCCGATGCATGCATGCTATGACGCGAACGTTACTCGATACCGACATTTGCGAGTCTGCAGTTAGTCGTGCGCGTTAACAACAACGTTCAGATAGTCAATTGAAAACTACGATACTTCGGAGAGATGTGGAGGGGTCCGCGCTAGGCACAACAAGGTCGCTAAAGTAGGGGCTTCTTCCGCTTTTGTCCTGACAGAGAGGGACTGAGGCATTGACGCGTGAAAGCGACATCGCCGCCTCTTTGTCATAGATACAGAATCTTTTCTACAAGCTGTTGTTGCCTTGATTATGCGAGCTATCATACTTAGTAGGCGGAAGAGTTAACAATCCTAGCCTGTCATCCAGAGTATGTAGTGGCCATTAGCTACACCATGAATCACTGCAAACTCCAGTACTATAAAGGCAACATAAGCGATCAGCATTCTAAATCTAATCCACCTACAAAATCTTCCGCCAAACCAGACCGTCAAAGTAAATGCAATTGTAATGTACTAGCTATACACGAGGAGAATTGTGTACTGTACATGTTGATAAAGAAGCAAGTACCTAGGTGAGACTACATCCCACCCCCCTATGCTAGCATATCCCTGCCCAATGCTATACTTCGTTGAATGGCTTCGTGAATGGCACATCTTATACGTCATAGTTCTTCTATGTAAGGAGGAGCTAGCAGTGCGTGCAGACTGTCGACACACTCAGGGGTACTAGCCTATTGTACGTCAGTAAGAGGGGTGCGACTTGACAAGGCCGTAATGATAGCTGCCTGTCGGAATGGGGGTAAGGAAGGAGTGGCTTCAAGTTGTTGTGGCTCCACTAGGTAGTCAAGGAATGAACTGTAGTATTGTTCGCTATATTTTAGACGATCCTTCCTTACAACTCAATCACATGCTGATCAGTGTTGAGAAAGGGGAAAGTAGGTGATCCTTGCCACGCGACTAATAAAAAAGTGTCCGATTCAATGGGAATTTGTAAGGAAGCTCTTCCCCCAGCAGGTAATAACATTCAAGTGACACATTGCGGCGGCTTCCCTGATCTGAGAGCACGGAGGCACCTATTGTTGTCGCAATTGCGAGCCCCAGCCCATCACCATAGTATTTAATGCCCTCCTCTCCTCCTCTTCTACAACCTTTCTTCTTCCTCACCACCACTACTTGTCTTTTTATATCTGTTTCCTATGAAGCCTATCAGATCGATTATCTCAGAAGAACAGCAGGCCTCACCCCAATCTGCCAGAACTGGGTATCCCCTGACCACTACAGGTAAGTCTCCCCTTTTGTTTTGTGTGCTGATGTTTGTGTAGAGCTATCGTCCACGGAACACGGTCTACAGGTCGAGGTCCCTCTAGGGTGTGATCCCATGAAGGCTTTGTTCCTAACGCGGTTCCTAGATCAAAATAGCTGGTGGTACGCAGGCTTCTCCTTTCCCAGAGATGACTGTAAACCACGTGGTCAATGCTGCCCACGTAAAAAGCTGACATATTTCTTTGGCGGTGGAAATATGTGATGCTGCTAGGGCGCGGGCTTCTGTAGTTAGTATAGCTACATCGTTATAATGGACTCACCTTTTTGCTTTATCCCTTGTTCCAGTGCCATTCTCAGAAGAGTTGTGCTTGTTCTTCATCCAGGTTCGAGTGCAAACAGGTGTATCGCACACGGGTGAAGTTTGAATATAGGACAGCGAGGTTACGGGCTCAGATCTTGCTCATGCGTGCATGTCATCACCGCCCGCACATTATGCGCGCATAACTAAAGAAGCAGGAGCTACAATCCGCATTAGACATGAAGTCGTCATAGCGAGAAGTAGACCGAAGGTGCTTCCGAGCGTAGGTACGTAAAAGGATGCTATCTTCCTAAAGAAAGTAGCATAGCTGTAGCTGGTTTAACGTGGTCAATGCTGCCCGAAGAAAAAAACGATGTATAGAGCGAGGACTGGCATTAAAGTAGCGAAAGGAAAGTGCGCCAAGCCCCTGGACCATGGGTCTTCCTTTGGTAAGCCAATGGCTGAACCTATAGACGAGCGCAACAATTCGTAATATCTTAGCATCAACTAAATATTAAATACCCTATATAGTTATTAAATAATAGCGTAGTTCCACTGGTTGCTAAATCACCTAAGGTTAGAGGCTAGGTGTCCTTAAGTGAAATATCTTTTTATTGCTTAGGCAACCATAAAAATGGTGTACCCTAGCAAGGCCTCTCATGAGTATGAAGCGATTGAAACACACGGATTTTCTCGAGCATAGTCTCCTCATTGGCAGGCTGACCACCGGTTATATAAACTAAAAATAGGATGCGACCCAAAATGTCAGGGTAAGCTTTAGAGACTGTTGGATGTGTTGTTAATCCCAGGGCAGCTTCTCGGGGTCAATGAACAACTGATGGCCAAGGTGTGGGCTATAACAGATCTGGCGAATCGAGTAACGCTCCGGGCCACCCAGAATACTCTCATTTGCACGGATCTAGAAAGAAAACTATAGTTTTCTCGATGGATAGTGGGGTTATCTTTTGCATTGAAGAGTTGTAACTGTGGTAGGTGCTGAGCTCTTTTTTTCCCTTGGTTCCTGTAAAAGATCTCGCTATCGGTGAGATAATCATGACATTACATTTGTTTCAGAACGAAATTAACCACTCTCTGCTCCACGAACAACAGGCTTATGGGTTTCATCGACTCCAAGCCACATAAGGTCTGGCCTGCTATAATGCCCAGAGGCATCTACAAATGTCTTGGCCTTTGTCACCAAACTCAAATCCAGGTCTGCAACAATGAGCTTCTCATTAGGGTTATCGATCTTGCTCAGGATGCGTCCATCAGGGCCGACGATGCAGGAACTTCCTTGGTTAGGATGGCCCATGATTGGTGAGCCGACCGTCCCCATCATCTGAGTGGCAGCTTCAGAAATTACAGCGGTACTGTGAAGGACAAAGGCCTGAGACTCGATTGCATAAGACTGCGAGATATTGCGGCAGCCTACGATCACCATCAGCTGCGCAGCTCGGTTGGAAAATCGAACGCTACTGCTTACCTTCGGTAGTCATGGAGTAGAGTCCAGGACTACCTTCTATAAATTCATCGACAGCTGGCCATGCTGCTACGTGGATCTGCTCACTTTGTGTGAAGGTGTAATATTTCAACAAAGGTTGAATATGCTCCCAGCACGAAAGGGCGCCTACCCGACCGACTCCAGGTAAATCAACGACCTTGGACAGGCATGAATTCCCGCCTGTGGCATCTCCAAATATCGTGCGCTCCATGTGTGTCGGTTTCATTTTGCGACGGGTCATCTTGATCTCGCCATACTCGCTGATCAAAGCTTGCGCGATGTACACAGAATCGCCGTCACGCTCAGAGAAGCCCAAGGATACGTTTATCTTGTTATCGGCGGCAGCGGTACAAATACGCTTCATTTCCTCACTGTCCGTCTTCAGGGAGTTTTGCACGTATCTAGTTCCCAGATCAAAATCGATTGGGCGGCTCCAGATCCAAGCAGGGTATCCAGGAATCCAGCATTCTGGGAAGGCAACAAGTTTGGCTTCGGCTTCGGCAGCTTCTTTGATAATGCTTATTGTCTTTTGAATTGCGCCTTCCAGATCGAGCCACAAAGGCTCATGCTGTGTGACCTATCCTCATTTAATGTGTTGACATCATCAGCGACTCGCACATACTCACCGCAACGCGAACAGTTGGATGTACTCTGTCACTCATTGCAACAGGACTCTGCTCCTGTATGAATAGGGGAATCTTGTGGCGAAATATTCTCAAAACGACACCTATTTACGAATCCACTAGTGATCCGCACAGAAGTCGTTGCTGTGTAAAGCTATGAGGCAGGCCCGTTTAGTCAGCCTGCGGGCGAATTCCGTTCCTAGCGGGGTAAATAACATACTACGTCAGACGAAGATTGGCCCCACCAAACGGCCATAAGTACTCTACAACTTCTTCCGACATTAGGTTTTCATTATTTGAATGCCGAGATTGCGATTTGCCGTGATCTCGATAGTGATATGGGTTTCACGAACAGGGATTGCTATTGGTACTGGACAGGGTTTTGATCTAAGTAGTAGCCATCCTGATCTCAGCTCATGGGTATTTGTGTAACATGGGGGATAGCAGTGCTTTCCGCCGTTACCCGAGACAAGAGCAGAGGCCTAGTACACCTATGACGGAAAAGGTAATGCCGGAAATGGTTGCGCGTAAGTGGACCAGTCACAACGAGAGTCGTGACCATCGTGCCAAGAGCTTTCAACCAGACGCAAATAAAACGCGTGCACGAACGGTAGCCAGTAAATGTCCAAGTCAAATCGCCATGACAGAAGTACGTGCATTGGAGCATGCGATTCCATCGCACCTACAGACCGAACGCACTATCCCCGCAAAGACGCCAGATGGATTCGTGCCGCCCTTTCCATCATATACTGCTAGATTCCCGAAGCAGGCAAAAGATCTCGTGATGGCCATCATTGGAGTTCAGCATGAAGACAGCACCAATCTCCAAGGACCTGCCTACCAAAAGCTGGTCTCGTTCGTCGAGCAGGGGTCCGAGATGTCCAAGCCCAAGTACTGGGAAGCCGCGGCAGTCATCGACAATCGAGGGTTTCGCAATCAAGTGGTAATTCCTTATTGGCAGACCAAGGCCGACTTCGACAAATGGAGGAGCGACAGCGGCTTCGATACATGGTGGGCCAACCTGCGAGCGCAGCCAGAACAAGGGTGGTTTGTGGAAATATTCTTCCCAACCCTTGACCGATTTGAGACTGTCTTTTCCGACAATGTAGTGCCGGACGGCGCAGCTCATATGCGCTCCTCGGTGTCAGGTGAAATGCAACAGCACTTCTATTGGGGTTCGATGCGTGACAGACTCGCAGCGGCGCAAACTGATCATCTGATTGGTGAGCGCGCTTTCCCCAAGTCGTCTACGGAACGAGTCGAGAAAGGCGACACAAAAAAGCGGCGCATCACAGTGCCAGGCAGAAAGAACCTCGCTGTCATTAGAAGTGGCCAAGACTGGTCCGATACGAATCCAAGTGAACGCAAACTCTACCTTGAGACCATGCATCCTGTGCTCACCAAAGGCATGGAGTTTTTGAGAGACGAGGGCGAAGAGGTCGGCTGTATCAGCAACCGCTTCATGGAATGCATGCACAAGACCTCGCCCGAGCAGAACACTGAGCGCACCTTTGGTCTTTCGTATTTTGACGACCTCAAGTCGCTCGAAGGCTGGAGCAAACAGCACAAAACCCATCTCGACATCTTTGGTCGATTCTTCCAGTACGCGTCAGAATTGCAGAGCAACGTATCGCTGCGATTGTTTCACGAAGTAATGGTTCTCAAGCCTGAACAGCAGTTTTTCGAGTACATCGGTTGCCATGACACTACGGGGATGATGGCTTCTGTGTAGAGCAAATCTTGTCGACTAGCCTCTTGGTTCCAATACTGTTGAAGCTCTTTTAGAATTACTCGATCACTTTCGAATTCATGGCCACAACTCATCGGTAATATTTCTCACGAGATACAACCACTCCTTCTTATTCCCGAATCTGGCCCGACCCTCTTGCGACAAAGGCTGCAGCTATCTTGCATTTCTCTTCCATTCGATTCGTATTCGCCAATGCATTGTCTCACTGCTTCTGCATTTCATATCTTCCATGCTACAGCGCCGCACATTCTCTGTTGCGTACATTATTTTATGTAAGACAGGCCTCTTTCCAGTATTTCAGTTGTTCCATCATCTAGCTCTTAGCCTTGGCCAGATCTAGACGTTCGTCCCTGATGTCCTTCAATTCGGTCCAATTGGTCTTGCAACACATCGATATTTCCTTTTTTGCATTATTCTCTAACATTAATTTCTCGGCGGTATTTCGAGATGCGAAGAGGTTGCAGTGCGTTGCATCGGATCTTGCATTGACATGGCCTCGTAAGTCACTAACGGATTTCACTGCTTAGTGATCATGGCTGTCATTGGGCAGCTTACGCTTTGTGCAATGTGGTATCTCGTAATGATCGCTCGTTTTTGGTTAACGTAGTTGTTTTGACATTTGAGTAGGTGGAAGTCGTGTCAACACTTGTTTTTAGTAAGACGTCTTCTACTCTGCAGGTTCTTTCGACCGATTCGTCATGCATAGCCCGGGTATTCTCTTCGATTTGTAACTCCATGAGTCAGGCCGACTAACATTCGACCAACGAGGGTGTGAACGTATGTATGGCGCTGTAGGTAGAAGTCTCGCTCGAGCTTCAAATCAACAAACCCGCGTGTCGTCCTTGCGCCTTCATGACGATGCAAACGTAAATTTCCCGTTGGCGATGCTTTATTAGGCATTTGCAGGAGCTCTTTTTGACAGCAAAATCTTCGAACACTACCATCTTAATAGGAATATAAATAGTAAGTATATATGTATTATAAATAACTAAGTAAGCACTAGCTATACAACACACGGGAATCTCGGCTATTCATAGACAACGTACGGCTATTACTCAACAATATCTAGAATTTTGATGATGAAGTCAAATTGAACTCCGCGATAGTAATACTATCTATCTTGCAGCATAAAACTACATATGTGTGGAGATTCTAACATCTAAATAACACTTGACATTGGCTGCTTGGCCTTAAACAGATTTCATGCATTTTGGCGAATAATTTCCAACCTCTCTCGTCGAACGATGTTTGGATGCGGCAGCTCATCCTCGGAGTGAAGCACCCAGTCCTCTATTTCCCTATCTCCTCTATCCCCCTCCAAATAACCCAAATTTTCCCATCTCTCCTCCAAGCACCACCTGTCTACGCCATGAAAGTGCAGTAAAGCGACACGACAACAGTCATTCCAATGACTGTCCAGCCTGTTCTAATAACATTCTGATTCTTGAATCCGATACCAACATCCCATGTCAAATGCCTCAGTCCGTTGAAGCCGTGAAAGAAGAATTTAAATGCAAGGAAAGCCTTGACACCCATCTTGATAGCAGTGGGCCACGCAGCGACTGCTGCAACAATAGATGTGGTGTCCACGTGCCATCCAGTGTAAGGCGCCACAAGGTAAGCGATGCCGAAAAGATAGAGGCAACCGGACAGGGTAAGGCCTGTGATACGTTGTAGTGTCGAGGTAACCGAATTGATTTGTGGCCTGTAGATAGATAAGTGGGGTGAAACGGGGCGTTGTAAACGTTGTTCAGCAATTATTTTGGCGGCTTGGCCTTGCGATATGAGCCTGCGTGATCATTGTTAGGAAAAGATATGATGGGTAAGGGAGAAAGCTTCAGATGAGCTGCCATGACATGCCTCCGCTGGACTAGATGGCCCGTAGGCTGCACCCTTAAGCCAGGTGCCGTAGCTCGACGAAGACCAAGCTGAAATACCCGCTGGAAGTTCATTGGAATGGTTTGATATATGTATCAATCGATGCTATCGTTCAGTGGGGTAGTAGTGTCGTCGTGATATCTCAGTGAATCGTCCAAGCGCACGAATTTAAGTGCTCTGAGTTGCCGACAACCTGGCTTGCCCGCCAGCGTTAACGTACTGGACGCCATTCCAGTCATAACACAGTGGGAGGATTGCTGCACAGTTTCATGGCAAGGAATCGATATCTGTGGTGCCGTAGCCTAACAAGGCTCTCATGCAACCGATGAGACGAGAAAATAGGGGCCTCTCCAAGCAGCGCAAAACAATCCAAAAGGGCTACTAAATTGCCACCTACTTCCTGGTTAACTTGGTATTTCTCTATCAGATACGAAACGATTGTTACGATTGTGTAAATCGTAATAGACGTACCAGTCGTTGTTGATAGCTAATTGGGTACGAAGTAGTTGTCGCTTATTTTGACCCTTCGGTTATACCGGTTGTATGGAAGCAGCGAGCAAGGCTGCAGAAGCAATGACTTCGGCTAAGGTGGAGCAAAAAGCCACTGCAACGGTGACAAGTACGCCCTACCTTGATGAGAAAAGGCACTATCTTTGCACGACAGATAAACGCAGATAGAAGATAGCAGACACAATCAACACAACAGTTTCCTGCACCTCCGCGCGCAAATATTAGTCACGTGGTCGACTACAGTAGGCAGCTAGAGCCCACTCGCTCTCACTATTCTCCGCAATATAAATGACTGCAGCCAATCTTCGCTTGGGGCAATACATGTCTGTTTTCTGCGGTTGCAACATGGCTATGCTATTCCTAGCTCACCGCATTTGTATACAGAGACTGTAAGACGACAGCTCAGCTCCACTAAGCCACGAGGCCCGAAAAGGTACAGTGCACTGCATGGCAGTATTTGGAGCTGAATAGCATATATCTACAAATGACAGGGACACTGGTGGTTTTTACTTAAAGCTGCCATTGCAGCTTACTGTGTGGGATGTCCATTAACCATAAGTATGACACAGCCCTCTGGGGCTGGGATCGCGGCGCGACTGTTAGCCTCCGAATAGGCCCGAAATGGAAGCAAGCATACAGAAGCACAGCCGCGGCCTGTAAAGCGAGTGGGTCTGGTAGAGGGCGCAGCGCCTCAAATGCGTCTGCTGCAGCCAATGAAAGCCCTCCCTAGTGACTCAATTCCAGTAATGAGACTTGACCCTCTCAGCCTCTACAGTGTACACAGCAGACAGGTCATTGAGTCAAACATCATAGCGCAGAGTTGATAAGTCTCGCGCAGTACCGTGTGTCCTGGAACACTGTACATCGATGTTTTTGTTTCCTCAAACTTGAGTTCTAAGAAAAAATCGAAAAAAAAGGAATGGCGCACTACAAAGACCTTCGCCCACAGCCCTTCTCGATCCGAATCGAGCCATCCAAAGGTTTTTCACACCCACTATCTAGTCCCCCGCCAACTGTCACACCCCGGACAGATCTCCCGGGTACCCCCTTTCCCTTCCTTTCGCTCCCCCGCGAATTGCGTGATTTGGTTTATAGCCACACTTTCCACGGCCGCGGGATCCGCTATGGCGACCGCATTAAAGCTCCCACGCGATGGAGCCAGCGACGAACACTCCCGTCCCATCTCAACCTACTCCTCACAAGCCGCCAAATTCACACAGAAGCCCTATCCACACTTTTTCGCACACAAACCGTCGAGATTTCTCCACGCAAACTCCACCGGACGCGGAAACAAGCAAATCAGCTCTCACTCTCGCACCTACTATGCTCGTTCCCGCTCGCGCCCGCGCTTCTGATGACGCACGTTCAGATTGTGTACCACGAGCATTCCATCTACGCCCCCTCAAAATATAACACCTACCCTTTCCCACCGGCCTGCGACGCAGAACTCATGATCACCATGTGGGAGCACATAGTCCGCGATGCGTGGACCTTGAAAGAACATTTCCCCCGTTTGATCAGATTCGAGGCGTGTTCTCGCATGTTGAGGCAGAAAATGGGGTCTACATTTTTCGCCGAACAGCACGATTGTCATACCCTTGATGAGTCGGAGCGGCGCCAGAGAGTGAATCAAGTAGCAGTAAGGCTGGTGGCGTGGCTGGAACGAGGACTAGGCGCGGCCGAACTTGCTCCTCCACCGTGGTTGAGGATAGTTTTCAGCGAGGAATCGCAGCCGAGCACCTCGCGTATAACGTTCTGGAGAGCTCAGCCCGAGGTGCCTGACCAGTCGAATGAATCTTTTTTGCGGTTTCAGCACGAGGTGCTTGAGCACGCGCATCAGTTACTTGCGAAGAAGAGAGCGTTGACGCAGGAGGAGAGAGAGGCGAGTGGGAGGATATGGTTGGAGCATTGCAGTATGAAGAGAAAGCGGGGACGGACGGGGTGGTGCGAAGAGGTTGATACAGCGCATCTTGATCCCAAGAATGACTAGGGTGAGGCCCGCCTCTTCTAATGCGGAACTTTGTATTCTTGATCACCATAACTTGAGCACGGCAATAGGTCGTCTCCCCCAAGCAGACGTCTTGGCCTTGCAAAATAAACATCCTTATACTACTACCTTGGGCCATGGCTGATAACATATCTTTGTTCTACCTATTGATCTAACTCCAAGGACTCACTATTCTCTTGGAGACCAACTCCTTGGTCGTGACTGGTGAGGTGAAACTCCCCACTCCAACCTGTGCATATCTCTCCTTTCGACTATCAAGCATGCTAATATCATAATCCATAATGAGCCCGATGAGCAGCATTTTGATTTCACTGGCAGCAAAAGAAACGCCCAGGACAAGCATGTCTTTCATAACCGCATGCTAGGCTTTCTTTGCAGATGTCAAGTAGAATTGCCGTTGCTTCTCAAAAGTGCTGTCATCGAACCTGGGTAACTTTGCCAGTTTTAATCTGGTGTTGAGTGTGGGGAGATTCACTATAAAAGAATCATCACATTCCCGTCTAGATTCCCATTACGAATTTCTACACAGCATTACAGGATCTATTTTCCCTTCCATGCTCCAATGATTTCCCTCATTGATTTTAGTTTAATCTCTGGGAAGAGCTCATTCAGGTTTTGCTCCTCGGTTGGCTTCAGATCAAAGTATCCATTGTTCACCAAGAGGTTGAACGAAGAGATGAGACCTTGCAGCTGTTCTTTAGGGAAGAAGGGGTACGCGAGTAGATGAGAAGGGAGCTCAGTGATGTGTCCCTGTTTGAGTGTTTCGACCGAATCGTATTTGACGTCAAATTTGACGCCCTTGACGTCCTCGGCAATCTGAAGGACTTGGTTCCATGTAAGTTTGTCGCCAATGATGTAGTATTCTTTGCTCCACTTTGGCAGAGTCAAAAGAACGGCAACCATGCGTCCGATATCAAAGGTGTAGGTAAAAGTCACGGGCACGTCACCTGAACCTGAAATGCAATGCGCATCTACTCTTTGTCTCTTGCACTACTAGAATGTTAGCCTCCAACTCTGCAAAGTTCGTCGTAACCTGTAGTTCTCGAATATCAGGTGATGTAGCGTTATTGTTGGCTCATCAACTACGCTGAACGCAAGGCCGCATTTGATGATATAGCTGGAAGCACAGAATTACAAGTAATCTGTATGTGACACATAGATACATGGTTGGCATAGTGTAGGTATGAATGGATGTCTGGAGACTCTGCATCGATTTCGTACTACATAGCAATCTTGTTGGTTGTTGTTTCCTATCAAAGGACTCTCAACTGCTTGCACTGTTTTCCTTTCAGTAACAATTGCTTGAACAATCTTTCTCTTTTAGCTGCCCAAGTATAATTACTAGCAGCTCTCTTTCAAGATAGATCATTAATTCAATCATCTCTTTCTGTTCAACAAAATCTTGGGTTGCTTCTCGCAATATCCCAGGTGCGTGTGATGTAGCTGCACACGACGCAACGCGACACCTGTCGGACTGACTCAGCATGCCTCAAGAACGAGTGATTGCTTCTATGTTTCGAAGTGGTCACGTTCTGGCAACAGCACTCCGTTCTCATCATAGTCTTGGAATTGTGATCCGCTAGAGCTGCATCTGCCAAGACATGCATTGTGACCAGAAGGGAAAGGTCGGCCTTTGGCGACACTTACTAGCGCTCGCCAGCCAGTACTCTTGATTGCGAGAGAGCCACTTCTGGACGGCTGTTATCTCCCATGCCTATACCGACCCACTTTTATCACTGCGGGGATGGGTATAAAAGGCATAATGGCAAGCGTTGAGATATGTGGCCGACACTCGTTGGTACTACAGTACTATGGCGACCCGCTCCATTCTGCTAATCGCATTGCTTGCAGCGAGTTCTGTGACAGCTGCTGCTGCCATCGAGAGGAACCCGTACAACTTTGTTTTGAGCGATCCCGTCGGCCATACCATCTTCGATCTCGGGCATGTTTCATACCTAGCAGATACAAAGAATCCAAAAGCAAGTGTGCGCTGTACTGCGATCACGTATGACCAATCGACTTCGGTTCCTATTGCCTTGGTCAAGACGAATGTCACGCTCATCACGAAAGACACATTGGAAACCATCATTTCCACGTACCTTGGAGGCGACGACGTGTTCAGCCATGACTTCCTAGACGGGCTGTACATTTCGTCGCGGGTTCAGTCGTCCCTGGACGCCTCTGCTGTTGAGTACATATCCTCCTTCAACACCACCTGGCTGTTCCTGGATCCCTTGGTTACTGCAAACACGACGATGAACAAAATAGCACTGGAATCTTCCGCCGACCTACCAGCGGGACCTTATCTCGCCTCTGTCGACGGAACCTCGATAAGCTTTTCCACCGTTTATCGCCTGTACCCCGATACGTACAAGACGTTTCTGTTCGGGGCATATGGCATGAATGACGGTGAAAACACACACCGCCCTGTTGGCATGTTCTCGCCCAAATACCAAGATGCATTGATACCGTCAGTTTTCCAGTGCCTAGTCTTGTCGTGATTGAATGCAGAATACGTTTACTAAAAGCTTTCGATAGTGTTCCGTCCAGAATCTATTCGTGGGACGACGCTCGTCCCCTGGCCGGGTCCCGTGTAGCCATCAAAGATCTCTACGACATCAAAGGGCTGCAAACAAGTGCGGGCAGCCATGCATGGTCGGTCATTACACCTGTGGCAAATGGCACTGCACCGTCTGTGCAACATATTCTGAATCTAGGTGGTGTAGTGGTTGGAAAGCAGAAACTAGCTCAATTTGCGTCTGGGGCGAATCCATGGGAGTGGCAGGACGAACAGTATCCGTTCAACCCTAGAGGCGATGGATGGCTGACTTGCTCGGCTTCGTCATCTGGAGGCGGATGCGCGGTCGCGGCGTATGAATGGTTGGATTATGCTGTGGGCAGTGATACAGGGTCTTCTATGCGAAGACCGGCCGCAGTGGCTGGCGTATATGGGTATGTTTTTTTGTGCCCCAATATCATGGTTTGATCTGGCCCTATTATTGCAACTAAAAGACAAACAATAGTCAACGTCCAAGCCAGGGTCTCATGTCGCTCGAACGCGTTATTCCTCTCGGCGCTGCAACAGACACGGCAGGTGTTTTTAGTCGCGATCCTCACAAATGGGTCAAATTCGCCAAAGCATGGTATGCTCCTCATTTGTACCAAGATACATCCATTACCGGCCTCTCGCCCCTCGTTGTGCCGGACACGGACACATTTCCCAAAACAATCATTTATCCCACCGACTACCTGCCGCTGAACAACTCGGCCGCCGAACCAATCCTGGAAAAGTTCATCGAAGAAATGGCACGTGTGTTCGACATGCGTGTCAAGAAGGTAAACTTTACTGCTACTGTCCAAAATTCCACGGATCCGATTGCGAGTAATTTTACTGTTATGAACCAAGCAACAAGCACAATCAACTCATGGAGTTCATGGCTGGTGGTCGGCAAGCCTTTGATTACAGCCTGGAGAGACATGTTCGAAGGCCGTTTCCCACCAATCGATCCTGCACGACGACCCGGATGGATAGGCTTCAACGAGAGCATAACGAACCAAGCGAGCTATGATGCAGCTCTCGAGACGAAGAGGCAGGCAGTGGCGTGGTATGAGGACGAGTTCCAGTACAGCACAGCCGAATCATGCTCCGAGTCGGTCATGCTATATGACATTGGTACGGGTGGGCTGCCTTCATTCCGTGAGCGCATGCTTAACGAGTCACCGGACGCATCTTATCTAGCGGTTCGGCCCGAGGGTGCTGCCGTGACGGGAGCAAGTATCTGTCCCATTTTTGGGTGTGCTGATTTCACGGTTCCTATTGGACAGGTGCCATACCAGAGCAATGTCACGTTTCATGAAGAGATGGTGCCTGTCACGATTAACATGGTAGTCAAGAGGGGCTGTGATTTTGTCCTGTACAATATGATTGAGAAGCTGGGTGACGAGGGGATACTGAAGACGGTCAAGACGGGAAGGACGGCGTATTGACGAGTTGGATGGATCCATCACGGTGTTGGGTGCAAGAAAGCAATGGAAGCAAATGTGTGCTCAAGGCCAGTCACCTGCTCTTGGCAAAGTGGTCAACTACCGAACCATGCAACGTTGCTCTTGCGAGTGCTCTTTTTTTTTAGTGGACGAACAAGACGGCATCAATCATAGCTGAGAGGAGCAGTACCTGGCAATGCCAAATTGCGTTATTGTGAGCCTGGCGTGGCCCGGCAACTCTTTGCTACAAGAGAGCGGTCAATGCATCATTCTACCTGACGAAGAGCTACCACAACGCCATGTGTAGAAAGCGAAACAAGATAGTGTCAGATGTCTATAATAACCCCCCCGAAACTTTTGAAAATCCCGTGTTGATGCAATATTAGAGGAAGGGGATGGCGAATGGAGAGGACAAAGCGAAGGTGCAGCAGAGGGGCAAGTCTATGTTCGGTGCATGGTACATCGGTCGAGGGCGTCGAGCAGTTCCGGGCGTTCGGCCAAGGCCTGTCGGGCCTGACTATAGCTGAACCAATTCCGATTCCGCTTGTGCTGCTCGGGCCATTGGGCTTCCTGCTTCTCGACCGTGGCCTCGAAGAAATGGTACGAGGCCTTTGGGGCCTGCGAGGTGAGCTGGTCGGGCCTGCGCTTCTCGGGGATGAGGCCGAGGTCGTAGTTGATTTTGCATATTATGCCCGCCTCTTCCCAGGCCTCGCGTTTGGCCGCGTCTTGGGCGGTTGCCTCGTCAGTCTCCCAGCCGCCTTTGGGGAGGACCCAGCCGTTGCGTTTGGTCGACTGGATGAGGAGGACGTAGTACTTGTCGGCGGAGAGGGGCACGACGCCGGCGACTAGGCGCTCGCCTTGGGAGCCGTAGCCTAGGGCCAATCAGCCAGGTGCAGACAAAGGGGAAGCGGCAAAAGACGGGCGAGGGTGGATTGGGGAAGGTGCCGAGGGCAAGTGCGTGTGGGGTCGCGTGAGCAGACTTACGCTGGTTGAGACGTCCTGTGCGTGACTGCATCGACAGCTGTTGGGTAGCGGCCATGTCGCGACAGAGCTGAGGACAATGCAGAGGGAGAGAGAGGGAGAGCGAGAGTGGCGAGGGCTGGTGGTGGATGCGACTCGGGCGGACGCGACAGGCGCGCACGACGGGTTGGAGGAGCAGCGTGGGAGGAGCAGAGAGCGTGGCCAGGCGGTGTGAAATGAAGCCGAGCAAGCAGCGAGCGTGGCGGGCGGCGGGACGGGGAGCGGATGGGGGGATCAAGCTTGGTCAAAAAAAGGGGCGGGGGGGATGGAGGGCGGATGGGCGTGGCAGTCTTGTGGGCTGTGTGGGCTGAGCGAGGCTCAGTCCCGCGGGTGACGGGGCTGAGGAAGGTGAAGGAGCCTGCGGGCAGCAGAGAGGGACGGCATGGTGGATGGGGATGTTTTAGTAGGTGGTTCGGGTCAGGGACTTTTTTGCGTGCGAAACTAAGGGCTGGCGGAAGCGTCAGGGCTGTTGCCAAGGCCGGGCCTGCAGGAGAGCAGCGAGAGCTTGGTCCGGGGGCGGCCCTGGAGCGTGCAGCTGTCGCCAGTCCCACAAGAGGACAGATGGGCGCACCATGGGCATGGGCATGGGCATGGGCATGGGCGTGGGCGTGGGCGCATGGGGGGATGCGACCAGCCAGNCACACACACACACACACACACACACACACACACACACACACACCCCAAGCCGACGGCCAGGCGGGATGGGCGAATGCACCGCCATGACGTACCTGCCTCGCCCGCCGTTGCTGGCTGGCTGCGGGCGGCGCCCACTAGAAGACGCCAGACGGGCCCCGTGTGTGTCGGCCTGGGCTGTGTGCAGCATAGATACACACTGGCGACCTGCTCACTTGGATGCTACATACAGCCTAGGCAGACACACATGGCACATACATACATAGTACACACAGCCATCCATCCATCCATACATACATACATGTGCACACAAACAATCTCCCACACATACTCCCACCACACGCACTCACTCCCTCGCCCTCGCCCTCTTCCTCCTCCTCACAACCCTGCGCCGCCACCATCCCCCTCGTCCTCGCGACTGGCACCACCCCCACCGCCGACCACGACGCTTATGCTGCCCTCATGCAGTCGAGCGCAACGCCCGCCGGTATGTCGTGCTCCAACCACTCTGCTGCCCTCCGCCCCGTGCCTGTCTGGCTGGTTCCTGGGCCTCGCCCGCCCTCGCGCCGCCGCTCCGCTCCCTGCCTCCGACTCCCTCGCTCTCATCCACTCGACCCGCTAACCCTCGCTGTCCAGGCTACCGCAGCAGCGATGAGTGTGGATACTGCAAAGACGACGCCAATTCTCGTGCGTCCTGCCCTTCCCTCCCCCACCCCATCCCGTGCCCGCACTCGTCGCCTGCACTTGATGTCCCGTTAAGGTTGCACAGCTGCACGTGCAGGGCCCCCGCACTGCAAGCAATTCTGCTCCCTTGGTTGGACATTCCCCCCTGCCCAGCCCATCTCCCTCGCCCTACCACACCCACTACTGTTCGTCTGCCGGCCTACAGTACATACATACACACCATACACACCATACACACCACAGCCGCCCCAAGTGCATCCACCCTCTGCACTTGCCCTGGCCGCATTTCTGCTCTTGCCTCCCTTTACCCCTCCCCCCCCCCCTGCCGGTAACCACGACCACGGGCCATCCCAGCACCGAGCGGGAGAAGCCGGGATGACTGTCCACCCCCAACTAACGCAGCCAATCAGGAGCCAGCTTCTACTTTCTCTCCAAACGCTTGACCGTTGAAGTCTACCAGCTGCTGGTCGACCGCGGTTGGAGGAGGTGACGGCCCACCACTACTATACCCCAAGTACGCCAGCTGCTGACACGCCCTTGCAGATCCGGCACTCTCTTCTACAAGCCAGACGTCCTGCGCCACTGCTGCCCCCATTACACAATTCGGTAAGCATTGGCCCTGTCCGCCAGCCCAGCGCTGCTGACGCACAACAAGCCTGCCCGTTGCCTCGTTCAAGCCCGCCAAAGACCAGCGGAAAGCCGTCAATCATTGGAACGACCATGTGCTAGGCGAGTCGTATATCAAAGAGGCTTCTAGGCTCTACCCGCTGTCCAAACAGTCGGTGCACCCCACATGACCCATCCCGCGCCTAGGCTAATGATGGGCAGAGAAAAGGCTCGGCTAAAGAACACGTTTGACCTTGTCCGAGAGGTGCACAGAGCAGAGCTGCAAAACATCAAACAGCCGCCTGAACCCGCCCATCGCTTCGAGGTGACACTTGAACCCGCAGTCTTCACGGCGGAGAAGTACGACTTGTTCAAGAACTACCAACAAACTGTGCACAAGGAACCCCCCAGCCAGATATCACAGTCAGGCTTCAGGAGGTTTCTCTGCGACTCTCCACTGCAGCAAACCTCACGCACTATCAATGGCAAAGAACAGCTCCTGGGCTCCTTCCATCAGTGCTACCGCCTCAATGGCCGACTGATTGCAATGGGCGTGCTGGACCTGCTGCCCCATTGTGTCAGCGGTGTGTACATGCTCTATCATTCCGACTTTGCAGAATGGCAGTTTGGCAAACTGAGTGCTCTACGCGAAGCCGCCCTTGCACTCGAGGGCGGCTACGAGTACTACTACATGGGCTACTACATTCACACATGCACCAAGATGAAGTACAAAGGCGACTACAAGCCGCAGCACGTTCTCGATCCAGAGTCGTATGAGTGGCACCCCTTGGACGGTGAACTGCGTAGCCTGCTCGACAAGAAAAAGTACGTGTCCATGGCCAGGGAGCGCCGGAGACGGGCGGACGGCGTCGACACTGCAGAACAAGACGACTATTCAGACTATCCCTTAGTTTCGCCTACCGAGGCCGCAAACGCATGGATGAACGGCATGTCGCTTTTCCATCTCAAGATGCCAGGCGTCATGACGGCCGAAGAGATTGAAGAGAAGATTGATCTGGCTACAATGCCGTTTCGCGCGGGTAGCCGACTGGTAGAGCTTCAGGTACGCCACTTTTGACGGCCAATGGTTGACTGGCTGGCGCTGACCAACTTGCAGGATCTTGTATCATGGGACAGTAGCGATTTGCGGGATCCTCATTCGATTCAAGGCATGGTGGGTGAGATGGTGGCTTGCATGGGCCCCGAAGTTGCATGGCAGATTGTAGTCCAGTTGCGGTAGCAGAGAGACAGAGAGAGAGACAGAGCATCAACTGTGACTGGATGAAGTGGTGGCATAACATCTTCCTGTCAGCGCCTGTGACGTCTCGTTCGCTACTTGTTCCCCAATTGTCAGCAAGCAATCACATGCTCAACGACAACAGCGAGGTGCAAAGACAGTCACACCGTTCGTGAAGAACCTCGGTACTTCACATTGTCAATTCAGTATTCTATGATTAGTTGTCTTGGTCAAATGGCTGGTTTTTCTTGACTCGTGGTTGAGCGTGTGGTAGTCGATGCATGCTCGCTATGCTCCTGTCCGCCTAGCTTCCCCGGTGGGCCGAGGCACCTCAACCTAAGTAAACAGATGGTCAAAAGTCCCGCCCTCCGCACAACCACCTGCCTCTTGCACATCACAATGTCCGCATCACCGCTCACAATTGTTGTGCGCCCCCGAGGTAAGGACAATTCTTTGCAACAGCTCGACCCTCCTTCTCTCTGCTGTTCCCCGCTTCTCCAATAGCAACCGGATTAACCCCTCGATAGGCCGCCCGATCAAAAACCTTCCCGAGACGATTACCGTCAGCGCCGACGCCTCGACCTCTCAGATCTTTGAGGAAATCGCAAAATCTTCACGCTTCTCAATCCACCGCCTGCGAATCACAAAGGGCAGCGATGGGTCCCCAATACCAAACACCAAGGATGTCAGGGTACACGACACAGGCTTGAGGAACAAGAGCGCCGTCGACGTCAAGGACTTGGGTACGCAATGCACTTTCTCACAAAATGTCCATGGCTTACCTTAGTTCAGGGCCACAGATATCATGGCGAACTGTCTTCATCGTCGAATACCTCGGACCCCTCCTCATCCACCCGCTCATCTACTTTAGCCGCCCTCTGATCTACGGCACCTCTGCGCCCCCGTCCCAGCTCCAGACACTCACCCTGGCCATGTGCGTTGTGCACTTTGCCAAGCGCGAGTTTGAGACGCTCTTTGTGCACCGTTTCTCGTCGGCCACCATGCCCGCAATGAACATTGTGAAGAATAGCGGCCACTACTGGCTCCTTTCTGGCTTGAACCTGGCTTACTGGAGCTATGGTCCAAACAGCCCGGCAGCAGGACGCCCGCATCCTCTACTCACATACCTAGGTATTGCCTTGTTTGCCATTGGCGAGGTGTGTAACTACAGTACACACGTCACGCTGAAGAACTTGCGTCGTCCAGGCAGTACCGAACGCGGTATCCCTCAGGGCTTGGGCTTCAACCTGGTAACATGTCCCAACTACATGTTTGAGTCGATGGCCTGGCTCGGCGTGGCCCTCATCAATCGTAGCCTCTCGACGGTGCTCTTCATTGTCATTGCTGTTGGCCAGATGGGCGTGTGGGCATGGAAGAAGGAGAAGAGGTATCGCAAGGAATTTGGCGACAAGTACAAGCGTAAGAGGTACGCCATTCTGCCAGGCATCTGGTAAATGGCTTGCGTCACGCGACCTCAGATGGTCGGGGGGGTTAGTGGTCCAACCATGGCTGGTGCCAATGCTTTTTACCAACATCGTTACACAGCATCTGTACTCATGGGCTTGGGTGTGTAAATGCGGAGTGCATCGCTGATTAGGCTGCCTACATGCTGGATCCTGAGCCAAGCGGGAGGGCCGGCAACACGGGGGGATTGTTTTCCTGCTGCGTCCAGCTCGATGCAAGCATCTAGGCATCCAAAGCTCCTCAATCCCCAATGACTAAGGCCGATGCAAAATTTCATGCAAGATTTGAGTAGTTTAGGCTTTTCCATTTTTCTAATAGTAGTGGTAGAAGTGGTAAGGTAATCGCTAGATCCATAATCACGGAGCGAGAAATAGTTTAAAATCGCATTCCTTCCATCCGGATCACAACAAAAGAAGACTTAACTCGTGTAACCGTTTAACTTGATATATGGATTGTCCATGGTGTAATTTGATTGGCGTGTAAAGCATCGCTGTGGCCGAGAAGGCTTTTGTGGGTTGGGCCCGTGTTTCGCTATCTTGCTGCCCCCCAACCCCCCGGTGCTGCATCCAGCGACCGGCCTCTCGACGGATCACATCGCTACCTTTTCATTTCGTCGCCAATCAGATGAGCGACCGAACACCCCGACAACTGCTGAAAAATTAGGCGTATAAACCTATGCCAACGGTGTACCGTTACCGTCCACGTCTGCTTTCTCTCCTCCATTCAGCACTACAAAGTAACATTCGATCTTACTGGCGGGGGGAAGGGGCCCCCGATTGAGAAAGTCGGGGCCGAGCGAAGAGGCCAAGCCGAGGCAAAACAAGTGGCAGATCAGGCGACACATGGACAATACGGGAAAGGCCACAAGGAAGGTAAAAAAAAACAGTCTAGTTGCCTATTTGTTTCTGCCTAGCGAAACAAGGCAGACACACTAACTTGAACTCTCTTTTTTTTCTTGGGACGGACATGGGCGCGCAAGGCTGATGATGATGATGACGATGGGCGGGCTCGCGGCATGTTGGGGGAATATTTCTCGTTTGAGAGGGAGGCGCAGGACAAGAACTCTATGTGTGTGTGTACGTACTACTTTTGAGACGGGGGAAATGCAGATGACGTAGTTCACCATGTGTACTGTAACTTCACATCAGAGATGGGATTGTGACTCTAGACTGGATTTGTGCAATGCTGCCTTGCCTCGAGTATGGAGTAATGAGAGAGGAAGCCCAATTCTAGCTTGAGTCATTTGTTGCTGTTGCTCGTGGATGATTTGCACGTCTGCATCTTTGGTCTGATAGAGGACGGAACGTGTCTTTGTGAATATTGTTTAACTATGTGAAATCAAATGCCCCTCTACTTGTAGTCGCAGTACGGATACCATGTCACAGTAGATGTCTCGTTTCGCCTGCAGGGAGTACGATCACCATGTCACGTTTTTGTGTGCTCGTCACCCTCACCTAGTCGGTTCGATGATGTTGCTTTGGGTTTTGGAATCGAAGATGATTTGCAGGGACTTCCAGTGGTCCATCTCTCCTCGTCCCATGTCAGCGAGGCAGAGCACGTCCAAGCCAACCAATCAGCGTGGATTCCTCGCGTGAACGCACATGTCATCACGCTAGTTCCCGATCAGGGCAAGCGTCGCCGGGACCGTACGCCGCATCCGTGCAAGCAGGGCGGCAGCACCACATTGGGGGCGGTCAAAGTCAGCCCCAGGGTCGCATCAGCCTAGTCCAGTCGAAGCCCATCCATCTGCCGAACTGCCCAATGTCCGCCTCTCCATTGGCCATGGTCATCTTCTGCAGGATGCGGAGAGGCCGCAGACGCCATGGATAGTTCAGCTTGCAGCCTTGACCTACAGTTGGCAGCTGAAGGCGACCGCCGCTTCGACGGTAGCTAGTGGAGCACCTACATACATTCACAGTAGATTCATCAGCCTTAGCCATGGGGGCGGGACAACTGCTGCTATCAGCAAGCACGACTCCGCATGGCGTTTTGTCCATATATAAGAAGCGACTCGGCGGAGTGCATTGCACCCATTTTTGATTGACCCTTCAAGCCTTTGACCCTTTTGCTTGCGAGCGTATTTTCCGCCCCACGCTTGCTGTTCTTCTGCTGCTATAGCAGGTACATACCAGCCCGGTTTGGCAAGTTGCCTAGCACAGCATATATTGCCAGCCTTCCAGGATTGAGAGTCGACGGCTGGTCTTGCTGCCATATTTATCAGCCTCGACGCTGTTGATAACACGTATGTGCGTTCAGTAGCCGCATCTTTTCCTTCGTTTTGCAGCCTTTCCTTATTCTTTGACCTCTTGTTTTCTTTCTTAGCGTTCCGCCCCCACTATCCGCACATGAAAGACACCTGTACCACAATCCTACGAGCACATCGCCTGGCTTCCTTGTGCCAGAACGCAGCATCATTGCAGTTCTTATAATCTCTAACCAGACGCAGTAAAACATGTCCAACGCCACAGAAGAAGCCAAGGCAGCTTGGGATGCTCATGTCGACACCCGCACAGGCGTCGAGCCCCCCAAGCCTGCCGATCCATCCGAACTCACCAACCTACGCAACACCATTGGCTCTTCGTTCAGTACTGTTGCGTCTCTAATTGGAGCCGTCAAGGCCCCAGTACCTGATCAAACTGGCGATGGCTCCAAGATCGCACCCGAAGAGAAGGCTACCCTTTACAAGAAGATTGAGGGCAGCCTCCGAGACATGTCTCACCTCGGAATCCAGGACATCAAGTCGTTGATCGATATCCAAAAGGAGAAGATGTTGGGTGGTTATACTGATGACAAGACATATCTAATGGAGGGCCTCATTCGAACGGCCGCTGCGTTGCCTGATGGCTCCAAGACAAGAGACGCCGTCACCCACAAGTTCCTCGAACAGTTATGGAACGACTTGCAACACCCCCCGCAATCATACCTTGGTGCACAGTATCAGTACAGATCGGCAGATGGATCGAACAACAGCCTTATGAACCCTCAAATCGGTAAAGCCGGAACTCCGTATGCGAGAACAGTGAAGCCAGCTGCTATGCAGACTCCTGCACGCCCGGATCCTGGCGTCGTCTTCGACAGCCTCATGACAAGAAAGCACGCAGAGCTGCACCCCAACAGAATATCAAGCATGCTCTTCTACCTGGCTTCTATCATCATTCACGACTGTTTCCGCACTGATCACGCGGACTATTCCATCTCGATGACATCGTCATACCTGGATCTCGCGCCTTTGTATGGTAGCAACCAAGCCGAACAAGACATGATGAGGACATTCAAGGACGGAAAGATCAAGCCTGATTGTTTTTCAGAGTCAAGACTGCTCTTCTTTCCCCCCGGCGTTGGCGCACTGCTGATCATGTTTAACCGCTTCCATAACTACACTGTCGAAAACCTGGCAGCCATCAACGAGCAAGGCCGCTTCACCAAGCCTTCTGCTGAGGCACCAAAATCGACTGGCGATGTGGAAGTGGACAAGAAGACAAAGGAAAAGTATGAGGCAGCATGGAAGAAGTATGACAACGACCTTTTCCAGACTGGTCGCCTGATTACCTGCGGTCTATACGTCAACATCATTCTCATCGATTACGTTCGTACCATCCTGGACCTTAACCGCACAGACAGCAACTGGCAACTGAACCCACGCGCTGAAATTCCAGACTTACCCATGGGCGTCGGAAACCAGGTTTCGGCTGAGTTCAACCTCGTGTACCGATGGCACTCTACTGTCTCTGACCGTGACGAGAAATGGACGCAAGAAATGTGGGATGGTCTGTTCGGCGAGGGACGCGACCCCAAAACTGTCAACAAATACGAGTTCTTGGGACGCTTGAATGAAGTGTACAAGAGGACCGACCCCGATCCTGCCAAGCGTAAATTTGCCGGCCTTGAGCGCAACAAGGACGGAACATTGCCTGATCAAGGTCTGGTAGATATTCTGACCTCTAGTATCGAGGACTGTGCCAATTCCTTCGGACCGAACAGAGTCCCTGCCGTATTCCGTGCCATTGAGGTCCTTGGTATTGAACAGGCACGTGCCTGGAATCTGGGCTCACTCAATGAGTTTAGGAAGTACTTCAAGCTCGAGCCACACAACACTTTTGAAGACATCACGTCCGACAAGTATGCCCAGGAGCAGCTCAAGGACCTCTATGATCATCCTGACAAGGTCGAGATCTATCCAGGCATCGTCGTCGAGGACGCCAAAAAGCCCATGGCTCCCGGATCCGGTCTCTGCCCCCCATACACCGTGTCTCGTGCCGTTTTGTCGGACGCAGTAGCACTGGTTCGTGGTGACAGATTCTACACCCATGATTACAACCCACGCACCCTCACAAACTGGGGCTACCGCCAGGCCGATAGCGACACTGCAATCGACAACGGATGCGTCTTCTACAAACTATTCCTGCGCGCCTTCCCCAAGCATTTCAACTACAATAGCGTCTACGTGCACTATCCACTTACCATCCCTTCGGCTATGAAGATTGCTCTGAAAGATTTGAAGAAGGACAATCTCTACGACTTTTCGAAGCCAGTACAGACACATCACCCACATTTCTTCAAAGAATACAAGCTAGCTACTCAGATTACAGAGGATCAAGATACCTTCAAAGTGGTCTGGGGAAAGCCCATGGAATACATCATGGGTCCTGCATCAGCAGACTTTATGCTGGCTGGAGACGGACCTAAGAACGCAGCTTCTCGCCAGTTGGTGAGCAAAGCTCTGTACATCTCCGAGTGGGACAAGGAAGTGCGCGATTATTACACACGCAAGACGCGTGAGCTGTTGAGCAAGAAGAGTGCGAAGATCGCCGACTTCACCCAGGTCGACATTGTCCGGGATATTGGAAACCTGGCACATGTTCACTTTTGCTCGGAACTTTTCATGCTGCCTCTCAAGACGGAAGAGCAGCCGAACGGCATCTTCACCGAGGCCGAACTCTACCTCATCATGGCATCTGTCTTTACTCTCATCTTCTTTGACGCCGACCCTGCGTCCTCGTTCCCCCTGCACGTCATGGCGCGCAAAGCAACTCAGCTCCTCGGCAGTATCGTCGAGGCAAATGTCAAAGCGATTGCAAGAAGCGGTATTTTATCCAGCATTATGCAAGCAATCTGGCCCCAAGAAAGTGCACTCAAGAACTATGGAAAGCACATGATCAAACGCCTCCTTGAAAGCGGCATGGACCCTAAGCAGCTCGTTTGGGGCCATATACTAGGTACCGCAGGTGGCATGGTAGCAAACCAGGGCCAACTCCTGGCACAAACTTTGGAATACTACCTGATCGGCGAGGGCAAGGAGCACTGGCCTGCAATTCAGAAGCTTGCATTGGACGACAGCGAAGAAGCCTTCGAGACACTGATGCACTACACAATGGAAGGCGGTCGGCTGAACGGCGAAACAGGCATCATTCGCGCCGTAGCAAAGGAGATTTCGCTCACTGAAGATGGCAAAACGACCAACCTGAAACCTGGCGATACTGTTTTTGTCAATCTGCGTGCTGCCTCGCATGACGCCTCTGCTTTCACCAACCCGGACGCAGTTGATCTTACGCGTCCTCTGGATTCGTATATTCACCTTGGTCACGGCCCACACCAGTGTCTGGGTCTCCCAATGACGCGTGTAACGCTTACAACCATGGTCAAGGAGGTAGCCAGGCTGAAGAACTTGCGACCTGCGCTGGGACCGCAGGGCAAGATTCACAAGGTTGCTAAGAAGATGGAGCCAGAGGGTGTGGAAGAAAAGTACCAGTATCATGCTTATTTGACGGAGAACCAGGACATGTACTTTCCGTTTCCATGTGGTAAGCTGATGACTTGTTTCAGACTTGATTGATTAGTTTACTAACATGTTGTAGCTTTGAAGGTGTGCTGGGATTAGTAGACCACCTCGATACGGACGTAAGCAATACAGGTTTTACGGCAAGATCGGCGGTATGGCGGGCGGAAGATGTGTCGCGTGTATACTTACACTGATGTGCCCATAGACGGAGGACCCAAGAAGATGAACCGTTCGGCATGTTGGCGCTGGTACTCTGTTCTATGCATGGCTTTTTTTGTGTATTTCCAAAGGGCCGTTCTTTGTAGAAGGCTCGCTTTCGTTTCTGTATTTTTCATAGTTGTTGTTTCATGGCTAGGAGATTCTAGTGGCATCGTGGAAGTATATCGCTCAACACACGTAGTATTGCTCATCTGACATGCCGTGAGAAAGCTAAAAATAGAATGCAAACGGCCCAGAGCACCAGCAGATAGTCTCGGGCCCAAAGTGTAAATTCCTCCGAGATACCGCATTTCCTCCACCGCTTATTGGCCCAAGCGCCCAGCCTCGTATTTGCGCCACCCCTAATCGTTCAGATGACGTCCTTGACAAGGTCTTGACAGGCCAACTTCACCACCAACATATGCGATCTTCGGGTAACATTGCCAGCTTCTACTGGAAAGTTTCGAAACGGGAATTGAGCGGGCTTCATTAGCCGCAGATCCCAGAGCGGCTGCATCGTGTGCGGCACCTGCTTTCGGATAGTCGGATCGTCCCAATTCCCAGAAACGGGGATTCTTATTCAACCGGCGGCCGTCATCGAGGAGGATCCACTATATGGGGACTGTGCGAGGAGAAGAAAGTTAAGAGTGTATATAAACAAGTTTGTGCCATGCAGATCCAACTTCACCACACGACGAGCCCCACATTTGCAACTCTCACTGATAGTCTTAGTCTCCAACCACTAAACATCATAACCTCACCCTCTCATACATCATGGTCTCTTTCACCACTATCCTCACCCTCGCTGCCGGCGCTCTCGCCGCCCCTGCCCCTGCCCCTACCCAGGCACCACCAAACCAGATTCTGCCCCCAGGCTACCCCAAACCTTGGGCCTGGCACGTTGAGAACTTCGAAGCCGGCTGTGTGCGCAGCGGCTGCTTCTACCGATTCAACCTCTCAGTTCCAGCAACCGAGGCCTACCCGCAAGGCGGAAAGTACTACTGCAGCGGCGCCGAGAATGGCGAGTTTGGCAATGAAAACTCGTTTGAAGACTGCAGCATCGTTGGAGATGCCAATGCTGCTACCGCTGCCGCCAAGTTGGGTAGGAGGATCAACCAAGAGCCTCCCAAGCAACTTTATGTGAGCTTCTTGAAGCCAGGTTCCGCAGCCAAGCAGGAGTGAGTTTCACCCATAACTTTTCTTTTTTTTTCAAGTCCTTGTTCTTGCTTGTCACATGCCTTTTACTAATACGGATGGATTTTAGGAACCCATACAACTTTACCGCAATCACTACGGATTGGACCTACAACGCCTTTGTCGCAGTCGATGAGGAGTTTGACGTCTACCCTACTATCTGGCAGCAGTACCCTATTCCCCAGAGCAAGTGAGGTTGATTTCTTTGAGGGACATACGGAAAGGAACGGATATCGGTACCCAACCCTGGGCTATGTCATAGAAGTGCGTCACGGAAACTTCTAGTCTCGCCGATTCTCTCGCTTCTCTCCATGTTTCCCACGCTAGAACCTTGTACATATGTAATCATGTAGATATGACCATTAGACTTTGATGCTTTTTTTGATCTTTTTTTTTCAATAATTGTATAGTGCTCATGGGACCTAGCAAAAAGTGGGGACCCATTGACATAATACAGTAAGTTCGGCCGGATTTGGTCCACCCAATACATATTGTATCCACAATCCACCAATGGAATCGCTAGTCCAAGACAACGCTTCCTGCAGTAGCATATGGTGATCTTTTCCTAAGAATAATTGGCGAAAGTTATCATGTCCAAGTCTCTTGCCACCTCCGCACTGGCTCCGCTTTCTGGATGGGCTGGTTGGTCATTGCACAGGAAGTTTGCAAATATATAAATGCAAGGTGACTTCCCGCAACATGCCCCCTTTCAATCTCTACCTAACAACCATCGCATCCCAACAACTCAAAAGTGCGCTACTTGAAAAAAAAGTATTCTTTAATCCTAATTAATTATCCGAAACAAAACAGCGCCCCACCCCCTTCCCAGCTTCCAATCTTGCATATCCATCCGGAAAACAAGAACCACAACAACCATGGTCTCATTCACCACGCTCCTCACGCTTGCCGCGGGTGCCCTAGCCACACCCGTCACTCCCGTGCTGACAACGCGTGATATGAACATCCCCGCCAACTGGACGTGGCACGTCAGCGGGTGGGAAGCCGGGTGCCAGCGCCAAGGTTGCTACTACAACTTTAACATCACCATTCCCAGCTGGCGGGCTGCCATTGGCGGCGGCAAGTACTACTGCAACGGCTACGAGAACGGCTGGTACCGCAAGGGCAACTGGTTCGAGGAATGCAAGCTGCTTGAGCTGGCCCCTGGCGACTTCTTGTCCGAGGCCAACAATACCGTTGCGGCCAAGTTGAGCGAGCAGGTTGGTGATGATCCGACGCCGAATGAGATTATTGTTAGTTTTGTGTGGAAAGGGTATACGCCGACTGGGTAAGTTTTTTTGTTCCTTTGGTCCTCCCTATTGTTGTTGATTTTCTGCCTGATTATTCGGGCAAGAAGAGAGAGAAAAAAGCGAGACACAGAAAACTAACGCATTTTTTTTTTGCTCTTGTTATAGACGCCCCTCGTACAACTTCTCCGGTGAGGCTCCCGCGGTGTACAACCAGTTTGTTAGCCCGCCGCTGGAGTTTGACATTACTCCTTCCGACGTCTTCGCTGTCGCTTAAGGTGCAAAATAGGAAAGTATGTCTGAGTACCAGCGTAAATAATGAGTTGGAAATGTGGAAACGAATGAAATGATTGTGTCTTTATATGTTCATCATTACTTTGCTACTAAAATTGATTAGTACGTCTGTTTTAGCGTGTAAGCGTATCAGTCATTTTTTGTTTCCCTCAAAAAAACAAAACAAAATGGAAAGGCATCAGTGTTGATAACTCCAAATTTGGGCATGATGTTGACAAGTGAGAGAAGCTGATTCAGTATGATAATGAACGACGTTTGTATGTTATGACATGCATTCTGAATCTTATGCAATAGCCCGCCAAATAATCTCATGACAAGAAAGCTTCATTTTGTGAAGGTTGAGATGCGCGCATGGTACCCCTACGTACTGAATACTTATGGTCCGCCAATAGGAGATGTTCCTACCGGAAATATAAAATCATATGTAAGATGGTCATGCCGCGTGACATGAACGTACACCTTTTGTGTGTGAGTATTGCTCGTAGACACGAAACGAACACACGGAAGCGTCAAGTTGGATTCAAAGCACGAATAGAACGAATGTCAAAGACAAAAGACACTTTGCGCCACTTACCTTGGAGATAGCAGGAGTTCCGAAGCATGAAGCGGATCGACTAGTCTCTTTAGTTCCTTTGGTATCATGGGTTCGAGGGGTGAAAGTTGACTGCGTCACTACCAAAGGTTATACCTCATTCCAAACAAAACAATGACCCTATTACTAACAGACTAAACTCATCTCACCAACTACAGCGCTGCACAACTCGAAACAAGTATAAAACAACTTGTACAACCTGCCTCTAGCTTCTCTTATTATTTATATTAAATTNCTTCGACCGGCGGACTAGTAGTCAGGTGGGTGACCACTGGCGAATCCCCGCTGTTGTATGTTTTTGTTTTTGCAATTTGATCCAATAGATGTTGAACGGCTATAGATAGGAGACAGCTACAAGTCGTGCAATGAAGCATACGAGTACCTTCAACTTCACCCATACCATCTAGCAGATAGCTGGATGGACGAGGAAACGAAAATTGATGTTGATGTACTAGATAGGATGAAGACTTATGAGATTAGATCATTATCTATTGCAAGTAAAAATTATCTTGTACTCTCGACTTGAACGAAAGTTATCTGCCCAAGGGTTACTGTGTATCCTGTACACCAACATAGTATCTGCATTTTCTTTTGATACTGCTATAGTTTTTCTTTCTCCACAAGGAATGCTTGTACACAACCAAAAAAGTAGAAGTAGATATCATGATGAGGAAACAAGAGTATAGTGATTGGAATGCAAACTATGTGAATTACTATATCTCAAGTGAACGTTTATCTAGTAAATGAAGGGAAATGAGCTGCAAACAGCAACAGCTATCATGATTCGGCGGTTTGGCATGAGGTACACAGGCACCAACTTTGAGCACATCAGTCCCGTTGGTGAAAGAGCCATCGTTGGTGTCGGTCAGGTTGGCGAAAGAGCCATCGTTAAAGTCGGTTCCATTAGTGACAGAGCTATGATTAGAAAAGGCAAAGTTGGGCATAGAGACATCGTTAGAGAAGCTAAAGCTAGGGCGCTTAAAGAGGGCCGGAATGCGAATAATTTCGTCCTCGGTGACGCCGGTTGCTTGCTTGAGGATTTGCAAGTTAGCCTCAATGCGCTTGGCGCATTGCTCCTGCACGGAGATGAGATCCTTGTTGGCGAGTACTTGGTTGATGGTGGTAGACTCCACAGGGATAGGCTGGCAGCCAGTGTCGTTGCAGGGATTCGATAAAACCGTGTCGTTGTTGCGAGGTAAGAGGCGTTGTGAGCCCTGACCGCTAGCTTTGATCTGCTGGAGCATCTTGACACCAGCCATGGGATCATTGGCCATGACAAGCCAACCGCGCTCCGAATCAAAGGGCACGAATTGGATGAACTCGTCGACATGACCGACGAGTAGCCAGTCGGCATCGAGAAGAAGAGGATCCTGGGTTTCTTGGGCCGGGAAAAAGGGTAGCATGGCGTGGCTTTGCTTGCCATGGTTACTGAGGATCAAGCGTCCAGCAGGCCAGAAAGTACCGTTGAATTCGTCCGGAGGAATGGTCTCGATATTACCTCCAGAATTGATTTCGTCACGTGAGCCGCCAAGCTGTTGGACGGCGCCGATGCCAGTGTCGCGGTAGTACTCGAACAGCTGTCGGCCGGCAACACGGTCGTCCTGCGGACTTCGGACTATGATGCGCAAGCTAATGGGCCCGTCAGGACCAGGCATTGAAGCGAATCCCGGTTCCATGAAGTCCTGAGCCCAGATGTCATCGCTCCCAGAGAAGAGGTAAAGGTCTGACGATGTGCCATTGGAACTTTTGACGTCGAAAGTTACCAAGACTCGGCCATCCCAACCATTGGGACGACGGATGTCGCGGCCATGAATACCAAGGACAAGGCCCTTGCGGAGTGCGGTTGCGCTAAAGGTAGAGTTGCCGTCAACGTACGTCCAAGTGCTGTTACAGATCGCCTGTTGGAAGATGCGGACTTTGCTGCGCTGCACTTGGTCCTTTACATAGACACGGCCGGAAGCACCGTCGGGAAGGCCAGGCATGGAGACTGTACGGAGCGGAGCGAGGAACTGCTCAGAGCGCAGTTTGTTACTATCAGAAGCATCGTGACAGCGGTCGAGCTTGTCGTTGGCCACGGCAGGGCCTTGGAGCAGAGCCTTGGAGCAACGCTTGTCCGTGTCTCCTAGTATGTTGGGTAGGAAGATGGCACCAGAGCCGGCGGTCCACGTAGCTTTGGCTTCAGAGTCCGAGGTGGCTGTGAGGTCGACGAGGCCATGGCGGTCAGTGTCAGCTCGGATGTCGGCTTTGAGACTAATGGCCGTTGATGCGAATGCGTCGCATCAATCATCGTCACGTGGAAGCGCTCTGCCAAGGGCAAAGGGCCCAAGGGCTGGGCCGTCTTAGCATGACACATATCACGTGTGAGACGGTGCTGTCAGAAGTATGGGTGCTTACAGAAACCCGAAAGCGTAAGAAGCGCTTCGAGACGCATCTTACTCCAGCTAAAACAGGCCTTTTGTCTTCGGCTGTTCGGTATGCACGTAGCAAGATGTCTATAGGTTGGCTGAGCGAGCTGGAATGGTTGCAGTGCATGTGCTGGCGGCTGAAAGTGCTCGTTTCAACGCTGCTTCGTCCATGTGATGGTTGTTTATATTCCCTCTATTCGCACAAGAACATGCCAACCCAGCTACTTGGCTGCCCATTCATTTCCAAGTCGCTGCATACGTAGACAGGTCGTCACTCTCTCTGCGTATACACACAACTCCCCGCCCGGCGTATATCTGGCGAAACTGCGCCAAGTCACGTTCGGCCATCTCCAATTGACCCGATTTGGTAGACGAGGACTCGCTTAAGGCCGAGCCGCCGCTACTTACTTTGCGACTGTCCTTGTGGCAACCTGGGGAAGCTTAAAATAGGAGCAATCTCCCGATTGGCCCTGTTAGCCGGCTTAGAGTGAATGCCCTCTGTCTATACGCGCTGGCCAATTACAGCCTCCAAAATACCACCGTATCAAGCCGACTTACCGGCCCATAACGGAACTGCGCCTCCCTTCCACGTTTTCCTAGCCACACCCCACGACTCTTGATGATTCTTATGATCGTGGCTCCTACAAGACCTGCACCGTCTTAGTCAAGACTCTCACAACGGCCGAGCTTCTACGATGCACATCGACAACATGACCCGTCCGTTATACGCGACAACCAATGACAACCTCTTGGGGTTGCCAGTCCGCTCCAAGGCGCCTCGAGTGCGCGCATTCTCACCCAAAGTTCGCACTGGATGTATTACATGGTAAGTTCTTCAAGACTCGAGATAAAGAATCGTTGCTGGTCGTTGTATCGTATCCTCTCTACCATCCTGACTCCATTACCCGTCCGCCAGCCATCTGCATGAGACGACGCGAACTAGCTCGCAGGGCGAACTTTGCGACGGCTCCTGCTCGTCTTCCAAGATACTTTGGCACCAACTGCTATGAAATTTTTGTTAACGCTTTGTGACAGCAAGTAAGTGTGCTTCAGTGTCAGATAGAGAAAGGCGTACACTCCTCATGTGTACATGGTGATACCTTCCCCTACCTCGCCACATGGCCTCTGCTCTTCGGGCAAATGCGAGAAGAGTGGAGTGTTTTGAACTATTCCACCTATTAGGTTCAAGTCATGCTGACAGCACTCTTCTTCGCCTCTAGAATTCGCAGGAAAAAATGCGACGAAGAAAAACCAGCCTGCCGTCGATGCAGAGACAGTCAAGTCAAGTGTGATGGATATGCACCTATACCGGCCCAGAAGAAGAGATCGCCTTTGCAGAAGGCCGTGTCTGCGAAGGCGAAGAAGAGAACCATTCAGGCTACTCCCGAAATGGTCCAAACCGTCGTTAAGCATTCACAGCCACGTTTTTCAATTCCAGGCAACAAACTGAACCTCGAAATCGACGGTAGTGTGTACGACCGCATGTTTTTCCACCACTTTCGCTCCATTACCATGATCGACTTCGTCCGTCTCGTCAATCCCAAAGATTTCTGGTCCCAGAGGGTGCTCCCTATGTGTCATGATGAGCCTGCCGTGCGTAATGCGGTTATTGCGCTTGGCGCAGCCCACTATGTTTACCTACAAAAGCTCTCCAAGCCTTACCCGCGAGAAGCCGACACATCTATGACCTATTTTGAGTGCGTGGCAACGCAGTATTATAATAACGCTATTGGACAGCTAGTAACACTCAACGATGCCAACAACTCGACACTCTGGGATTCGCAACTTAGGATCCTTACCTGCTGCCTACTGTTTATATGTCTCGAGAACATCTTTGGCCGCAGCGATGAAGGACTCCGTCATATGCAAGCCGGCGCTCGCCTCCTTGAAACCTTCGACTTGTCTACTGCCCCACCTAACTTTCAACAACTAATACAAGAGATTGCAACTGTGTTGCTTCACTTTTGCGTCGATGTCTCTTACCTTGACGACGACTTCGATGTCCCGAATATGCTGCCATATGTTGCGCCTCTGGTGGAACTTGACGACAGGGTGCAACCATTTGCCAGCCTCGCGGAAGCCAAAGACGCCATGTGGGACCTAGATGTTAGAATGACCTACATCGAATGTCCCGATCACGAATCAGGTGTAGTACCTGACAAAGACCACTACATACCCGACAATATGAATGAACTCATCGAGCCGTTCGAGCGATGGAAGACCAAGTTTAATCTTCTCGTCGCTTCTCAGATCGACAATACAGATGTCCCGATAGAGATACAAAGGGAGACACTGACTCTAATGCTTCGCCGCGCCGTATGGGAAGTCATCATGCCCATCAACTCCGATAACGAAGCCGAGGAACTGGCGAGGCTCCAACGCGAGCTGGTTGACATGGCAGAGCTCTTATACAGCATTGAGAGCTCATGGTTAGATCGACCTATATTCACATTGGACAGTGATACTATCCCTGCCCTGTACTTCGTTGGGTTGTCCTGCGAAGACCCTGCATTGGCTCAGCGCATTCTCGCTCTCTTGCGAGGTTCCCGAAGAAGAGAAGGGCCCTGGGATAGCTGGAAGGTGGCAGACAAGCTTGAAGCCGAGTTACTGAACCCCAGTCCTTGCCCGTTTAAGAGCGGCTCGGATTCTTCTTTATCATGCAGGTCAGGGAGTACCCCGAATTCTGCGGGATCATCTCCATCAAGTGGCACGCCAGATTTCACTTCCTCGTTTTCAGTTTGTAAGACGGAATTTCTTTAGGAATACCATTTATACTGTTTCTTCAATCATTCTTTTTCCTCTTCTTCTTCTTCTCGAGATTTGAACTCCAAGACCCAAGGTGCGGGATTCTGACAGTTTCTTTTTGACTCTGCTAGATTACCACTTCACCCACTGCAAGTCGGAAAAGAATCCGAAGCTAATATCAACCCCGCCCTCTTCTTGACGACGCTCTGGCGATCGACACGCGCCGCCTGTACCCCATTCATACTAGCCAAATTTTCCAATGTAAGTTTCCCAGTTTCTTTGCGAATCAGTACTTGATCGAGGTCAAGTCACGATTCAGCGTCAACCTCATATTGTGAAGCTCTGCTCATGCCGGCTCTCAGTATCTGCAGTGGCGAGATTATCGTCACTAGCACGGAAAAAGAAACGATATAAATGCTCATAAGCTTCCACATAACGGTGACATTGCCTCGTTACCCTGGTATCCGCCATGGCTACACTACAGCTTGCATCCTGGGCTACCAATCTAACATATAGCAGCCTCACCAGCAGTGTGCTTGCAGCTGCTAACAAATCCTTCTTCAACTGGGCTGGATGCGCAATCGGCGGCTTTCCTTTCCAGGCTGCACCGCAGATTGCACTCAACACCACACTCTCTGCGTTCTCAGGGCCGCCAACGTCTTCGATTCTGGGCGCGAACGATTCCATCTCACGAGTTCTTGGGGATGCTCAAACTGCTGCTCTGATAAACGGCATCGCCAGCCATGTCGATGATTACGATGATACGCATCTTGAAACTATCATCCATCCTGCCGGGCCCGTTGCAAGTGCTCTCTTAGCAGTAGCCGAAGCGCATGGACCTATCACTGGCCATGATTTCATTACTGCATTTGTGGCAGGTGTAGAGGCGGAATGTAAGTTGGGGCTATCTGTCTCTCCAGAGCACTACGATGTGGGATGGCACATTACTTCCACAACAGGATCCGTTGGCGCAGCCGTCGGCGTAAGCAAACTTCTCGGATTGAACATTACGCATACGCAACACGCTATCGGAATTGCTGCTACCCAAGTGGTAGGAATGCAAGTGTATTTCGGCTCGGACACCAAATCTTTTCATGTTGGCCGCGCCGCACAAGGCGGTATTCTAGCTGCTCTGCTCGCAAAGAATGGCTACACTTCTTCTCTCGAAGCCCTCGAAGCCAAATATGGATGGCTTCATGTTGTCAGCACGCGGGAAAATGCAACGCTGTATTTCGACCAGCTGGGAAAGATATGGGAAATCGAAAAGAACACCTTTAAACCCTACCCTTGTGGGATCGTCATGCACCCGACCATTGATGCTGCCATCTACCTCCGCACTGAGACACTATCAAAGAGTCTTTCAATCGAAGACGTCGATACCATACAACTGCGCGTCAACCCCGAAGTTCTCATTCTGACTGGAAAGAAAGAGCCACAAACTGGACTCGAGGGCAAGTTCAGCATCTACCACGCTGCCGCTGTGGGTCTGGTTTACGGAAAAGCGACACCTAGTCAATTTACCGATGCTGTTGTCAAAGACCCGACAGTTATAGGCGTACGCGACAAGGTCAATGCGACTGAAGATGAAGGTGTATCCCGGTCCGAGGCATATGTCGCTTTGACCTTCAAGGACGGTACAACGCTACAAAAGCACATCAAACATGCCAAGGGCAGCATTCAGAATCCGCTTACCGAAGAAGAACTGAAACAAAAGTTCATCGGGCAGGTGAGCCTGGCGATTGGACCTGTTCGTGCGTTAGATGCGTACGCGTCGTTTTCAAACGTGCAGGAAATGTCTGATGTTGCGGCCATCCGCCATACGTATTAGCTTTCAAGGACCTAACATCCATTTGGATTGTGGTCAGCGGTGCGACCACCAGGTTACGTGGGCTATTCGATTGGGGACTCGGCCACTTGCGATCTTGGTTCTATCACATCACGCCAGTGCTGCTACAATAGATGCGCTATGTTACTACAAATTCTTACTAATTGTATCAATTTCGAAGTAATGTTTTCCATGTTGATGTGTTGTTGTATATGTTCTTGTTTGTCAAGCTCACTTGGCCTCATGTTTATATCCTCTTTCAGGTTGTTGTTTCATTACCCACTATTCTATCTTCAACTCTGTAGTTAAATCAGAGCACCCTAGTGCTTTGCAAGTCTAAAATCAGTACACGGTTGTACAAGGTTATGTGAGAATGGGTAGAGTAGATCCCCAGCCGATCTTGCCAAAAATGGTGAACGTACCCTATTGTAGTGGTAGCTTTGTATTTTGCCCATGTTTAATCATTCCCGTTGGTATCATTTTTCTGCACAGTAGCATGCTTCTGCTGAAACTCATCTTGATCCAGACGTTACTCATAGAGGTTACCCATAGTCCTGGCTACGGCTTGCAGCATTTCATCGCACAGGGATTCTGGACGATGACTCAGACTCAACAAAGAAAAAACTTAGGTCTAGGAATGTCCCTTCAGTTGCCATCACTTTTTTCATGTCATTCAACACATCATGTTCGGAATATCACGGAGAAATGTAAGCCACATTGTTGCACCCTGTTCTGCGCCAAGACTAGTAGAATGTGTATTTAAATACGCGTAACAATCTCCTCTCACAGGGCATTTGTAACTTGTAATCTCTAATGCCCCTTACTCATACGAAACTCAACTGAATCATGAATTCAAAGTTTGTTGTTAGTGCCTGGACATTCATCAGTGTCGTCTTTGTACGTTCCCACTCTTAGTACAATCTTTAGACCCTGCTCAAATATAACCTCTTAGCCTACAATAAGTATACGAAACAACGTGCTCGTGCTATGGTACATCTCCAAGCGTTACGCAAGACTGCTGTGTATATGGGGGGAAGTACGAGATCACACTTTACACACGGCCTATTGGGATGGAATTTCGAATACATGCAGGATATTAGATGCAGATGTTCGTGATTCCGGCACTTTCTCTGATTGTTGTCGCACCTACAAATGTATTTATGGTGGTAACTGCATTCAAGGAACGACCTGTGGTGGCCATCAGAGTCAGCGGGTAAGCGCTTGGTAGCTTCTTGCAGGCACATGTTTTCCATGGATATTTGGTTAAGAACCCGCTCAGCTATACTTTTCTGCTGCTTTTGAATCTCGTGCGTTTGCAATACTCGAAATCTGGGTTTCATTGGTTCTTCATGTTACGCAACCGTGTTTCGTCTTTCGCATGTTTTGCATCTTTCGAATTGCAGATCGGCAGACAAAGGTCTCGTAAACAAATGTAGTATCTAATTTGCAACGATGCAACAGAGCATTTTGGGGATTGAAAAACCCGGTATTAATTGGAGAGGGAAAAGAGTATTACTTGCATGATCAGCTTTGTGGCACGTGACGAAGCACCGTTAGTGGAGCCAAGATTTCAAGGCGGAAAGATTTGGCAGAAATAATTCTAGGACTGCTGAACATGCACGAACCGACTTCTTCACGCGCAACCCAATTCTCGGATTCTTTTGCTTTCCTGCCCTGAAAACTCAGTTGCGAGATTTATTTCGAAACTCTAAGAGATACACGGAAGCGCCACAATCATGGCTTCCGGACGTAAGCCTGGAGCCAATACTTCGCAACCGGGGCGCAAGTCGCACAACAGCGCACTTATGGACGAAGAAGCCCGCGCAGTCGCAGAATTCACCCAAAAAGCCACACAACAATATGGTCGCGGCGATCGGATACGGCCGAAATCAGTCAAAGATAAGAAGCTGCGGGCAAATGTGAAGTCACTCGAGTCGAAGAACAAACAGGCGGCGATAGAAGCAAAGACTGTCGAAGTCCTGCTTGAGAATAATGCTGGGCTGCTGGAACCAGAGAATGAGCTGGAAAGGACATATCGTGTTCGGCAAGATGAGATCAAGCGGGAGGTCGGCCTAGAGACTGCAAAGAAAGGGTTCGAGTTGCGGTTAGACAACCTTGGGCCGTACGACGTGTGCGAGTACAGTCGCAATGGGCGCGATTTGCTGATTGCGGGCCGGAAAGGCCATGTCGCAACGTTTGACTGGAGAGCCGGAAAGCTGGGCTGCGAACTACAACTCAACGAGACGGTGCGCGATGCGCGGTGGCTGCATACAAGCAACCAAAAAAACTTCGCCGTTGCACAAAAGAAATGCGTCTACATCTACTCAGGCGACGGTGTAGAAATGCACCAGCTCAAAAACCATTCGGAGGCGACGCATCTCGAATACCTTCCGTACCACTTCCTCCTCGCCTCAGTATCGACAGCAGGCATAATACGGTATACAGACGTTTCAACCGGTCAATCGCTGCCGCAGCTCTACACCAAGCTTGGTCCTGCCACAGCGCTCGCGCAAAATCCACAAAACGCAATTCTTCATGTTGGCCACCAAAAGGGTCTTGTCACACTGTGGTCGCCGAATAGCGCCACTCCCCTGGTCAAGCTCCTCCCTCACCGTGGGCCCGTACGAAGCATTGCCATGGACAGATCAGGCACCTACATGGTCAGCACCTCTCAAGACCGGCGTATGTCCGTGTGGGACATTCGCATGTTTAAGGAAATGCACCAGCATCACCTGCGCGTCCCAGGCACCACTCTCTCCATTTCCGATCGCAACCTCACGGCCGTAGGCTACGGAACCCAAGTCTCCATCTACAAAGACGACATTTTCCAACGCAGCCCCGAAGATCAATCACAACCCAAGATGCCCTATATGGGATGGGGCGGCCAGGGCCTCGATGTTGGCCGCGTCCGCTTCTGTCCTTTCGAAGATGTACTCGGCATATCGCACGACCGCGGCTTCTCCTCCATTATCGTCCCCGGATCTGGAGAACCCAACCCCGATTCCCTTGAACCGGGCACCAACCCCTATGAAACCTCCAAGCAACGCCGCGAAACCGAAGTCCATGCCCTCCTCGAGAAGCTCCAACCCGAGATGATTGCGCTCGACCCCAACTTTGTAGGCAACCTTGACCTGACGTCGCACGAAGAGCGACAAAAGGAGTACCGCGCGCAGCGGGGCGAGCGCGAACCAGATAAGGTGGATCTGCTGAAGAAGAGGGGCAAGGGAAGGAACTCGGCACTGAGGAGGTATCTGAGGAAGAATGGCAACAGAAATGTTATTGATGCAGAAAAGGAGCGCGCACGCGAGGCGCTCAAGAATATGCAAAAGAGGCAGATTGAGCGCAAGGAGAAGATGAAGAAAGAATACGGCCCCGCGCTCGAACGATTTGCAAGAAAGTAGGTGGTAAGAAGGAGACCTTAAAAAAGCTTTTTTCCCCATTGCATTTGCGAGGCGTCTTCGTGTTTCTTTTTTTATCTCTGTATTTAAGATACCTTTTATATACTATTGGGCATTGACTGAATTGTAACAATGACGCAAATGGCATAGTATGAACGTATGTAGTAAGACGTTTGCTTCAAAAAAAATAAAAAAGAACGCCATGTCCATTTTTGACCTATCTAAAATGCCCATTGATATCATAAAACTCGTGCTTTCCCTGATCATCTTTACAACAAGGAACTGGTAGCCATATATACTTTACTGGTCCATCTCGCCCCTCCAAGCCCTTGCGCTTCTCGGCCAAACCCTCTTGTACAAACTGACAGCGACGGCATCCATCGGACTAATCTTGCCATCAAACGTAGCTTTGAAGTAACCATGCGTACCCAGACTCTCCTTGATGAAACCGCTTCGTCCGCGCTTGGTCCACAGCGGTAAGCTCTTGAACCACTTGACATCTGTGTCGTTGAAGAACATGTAGCGCACGGTGACGACACGCTTGTTGATCTTGTAAGGGTGACCGGTCAAGATGATGCGCTTGGCTACGATGCGGTTTGTCGAGGGAGGGAGAGATGTTCCTGTTGCGATTAGGCGAAGAGGGGAGGGGTGATCGGGTGTAGGTGTCGTGCGAGTGAAGTAGAGAAGCGGGACGTTACCCCATGTAAGGGGGCCGATAAAAGTAGCAATCGCTGATTGTCCAGGGTGCAGGTAACGGGCAAATTTGTGCACGTTGTTGGGCGTATTACCTGCATTTGAGAAAAGCTGTGAGAAGTGTTAGTTGAAGTCATGTCCTCTTCAGCGTGTTGGGTGGCTGATCCGACTTACAGGGTTAATTACGATCCTCCTTGCACCACATTGCACGATTAACTCTGTCTTTGACTTTATGGGAGACTCGTGCTCGGAGCTGAGCAGAATGCTGTAGTTGCATGCTGTTCGCTTATGCTCGTGTCTGAGTAGTGAGAACATGGCCATTGGCCGCGATCCGCTCTCTTGGAACTGCAGGGGAACTCCTCGAATGTGCACGCTCACTCGAGTACCAGCCTTGACACCCCCAGCCCATGCTTCGCGCATGAACTTGGTGGCGGTGCGCTTGTAGTCAGAAATCTCAAGCAGCCGTTGCCACTCTTCAGGCTCGTATGGTCGGTCTTCTTCCGTGTCCCATACGCTGGTCTTGAGGCTCTTCAATCCTCGGTAACGGATAAGGCGCTCGCGTGCGTTGACATTCGGGTGTAACTCAATCTCATCAGGAAACTCCAGATCCTCGTCCGCTTCAGTTTTCCTCGACTTGCGATACTCCTCGATTTGCGCCGCCTCATCCTCTGGTGATGGGTCCAAGAACATCTCAGATTGTGGGTATTCTGAGGGTGCACCCTCGGTCATTGCTTTTCCGTCGAGATCCATGCCCTCCTCACCATCTGCTGGATGGGCGGGCTGGCTCTGGTTATCTTGTCCATCATCCATGTCAAAATCCTCAAGATCGGAGCCCGAATCAGACATGTCATCAAGGTACCAAGCAGCCTGGTAGTTACTAGTACCCCTTGGTAATCGCCTCTTCTGCTTGGGTGCAGTTTCTTCTTCTTCGTCCGAGAAGTAATGGTGATCGTCAAGCAGTACACCTTTTCGCTCAGAAGGGGCGACAGATGTGGCATAGTTGGTTACGTCGTCCATGAGTGTTTCTTCAGGAGCGAGTTCTGCCAAGTCGTCTTGGTCGTCGGTCGGTCGCTCCAAGGTATCATCAGTAGAATCGACGGCCATTTCTTCATCTTTAGTCTTCTTTCGCGACTCTAGCGGGGCAGCAACAATCTTTTCAACTTGGAATTCACCCCAATCTCCAACCTGGACCAGCCGATCTGCCTTGAGTCCAAGTCCCCGAACGACACCAGTGACAACGACCTCGCCAGTGCCATCCTCGCTGATGGCCGACTTTCCTCCAGGCCAAGCGATATCTTCAATGAACATATAGCTCCTCTGGTCTCTCCACCGGACACCTTTTGTAGTAGTTGTGCATAGTGATCGGACAAGGTTTGCCCCCTCTTGTCGGTTGTCGAGAGAGTACACACGGTCGGTTGAGGGCAGCCAATGAGTAATGTACGACTTGAGTGACGAGATGACAGAAGGTCTTTGTTTGGCAGGCTCGACCTTGTCCAATCCCTGGACTACGGTAAATGTGTTGGAGATACCCTGGCTTTCTACTGACTTAAGTATCAACTCGCCCTCTGCATCCACCTCTTCATGCGCTGACAGGACAAAGACAACAAAGTCAGCGATGCGGCAAGCATCAAGAGCGGCCAACAAATCCCTCTTGACAACCAGGTATTGCACCTTTTGCTTGAAGCGATCGATGTTTGTCCTGGTCCAGCCAGCCTCGGGCACGTCGTCATCAATGTCGAGGCTAGAGTTGAGGCTGCGCACGGCGGCGGCGGCAGAAGTATCGGAACAGAGGGGGATGACGGCAGCGATTCGGGGGGCGCCGTCCTTGCCAGCGAAGACGTTGGTCGACTTTGCGTGCTCGTGGTCCTTGTTGATGCGCATCTGCTTGGCGCGGTTGCGGCGGTCGAATTTGTTCATGACCTGTTGGTGGGGTGTCTTGCGGCTGCCGAACTCGAAGGAAAGGGAGTTCACCTTGCCTGTATAGCCGTGTTAGAGGGAGAATTGCACTATGAGGAAAGTCGCTTAGCACTCACCCTTACTCTGCTCCTTGAGCGCACCCTTTGTGGCATGGCGAGACTTGAAGCCCTTCTTGTCCTTCTTGGTGGTGCTGCGATGGTGATGCGGCTCCATTGGGGCCATGTTTGCGCTGCCACCTGCCTTGAAGCGAAAAGGTATCGACGCCACTGTGAATGTGAATATCGACGACTGTCGGGACTTGCAGCGCTGGGGTTGGTGGGGGCGAGCGCCGGACGGGCGATAATTTTGTTATCGTCTGGCTTATCGAGAATAATTTTGGCTCCTCGGCTGTGGCGTCATGCGGGATCCCTGTCTTTTTGCGCCCCCTACCAGCCCCATCTTAGCCACAAGCTCGTCTGGACATGCAACACCTACATGCGAGCCACATATGGACAAACACAGATGCATTTGCGTTTGCTCATGTAGACCACATATTTCTACTCTGACATTCACAAAAAAAATAGAAAATACCAGACAGTATGACAGAGTTCATGCAAGGAGTAGGCTTAAAAACACGTTTACTATTGACAGGGCCAACTGATCACTCTGGTATATAATCACGAGACACGAAAATTACGCCTGCAACTACCATATGCATAGTACCAGATATAAAAGCGTTCATTCCTACCGCTGGTTTATACTTAACTTTTACTATCAAGGTGTCGTTACCTCTACTGCGGCTGGTCACATACGGCGGAACACGCTAGGATCAGAACCAGGTGTATTATGGCTATTTTGCAATCACCTCGGAATCTATTAAATAGTCTAACTTTGTTATCATTCTACTTATAAGAGTAGATACGCTTATCGTTTCTTACATTCGCTTAGATCGGAAGTAAATGCTAAAGAGTGTGGATGAAATAGGTTTGAAGCACCTCGATGGATTTTTAGTAGCGTACAGCTCTAGAGTAGAAAGGCACAAATATTTAGAAAAAACTTACAGTGAGAGAGCTTTAAAATAACTATCGAAGAGTATTATGTGGGAGGGACGTTCCTGGTATGGAAAACTGACTAATCCTGTATTTGTTACTTTGATAGGGACCCCTGTGCATTCCATCTTATGTGACGGTCGGCAGTGGAGGGCGTACAAAAGGTGGGGTAAAAAGATGATATTCTATTCGCATAGTAGTGCTGAGCTAGGTTTAGCAAATCGATGACGTAAACTAAGCACTATTTCAAACAGGACCCGGCTCACACCACTGGCAGGCGGGTAATGTGTCTTGTGTCAGAGAGCATTCACATCATTCTCTACGGAAAAGATGCAGCATTAAGATTGCACAGAGAGACTGTAGAACCATATATATCATGACATGCTAAACTCCCATTTAAAGTTGCTTCATGAAATCATCGTGTTCATGCCAGATTTCAGACCCAGAATCAAGTAGGTAGTAATGTCTATGACAAGACACTACTGATGTGCCGATATAAGTGACGAAGCCTCCATCAACGAACAAGATAGCGATGATAGAGCAGTATGAGTGAGACGTTGGAGGAAGCACCTAGGCACCCAAACATGGCACAGAACACCATGTTCCGTACTTCCGAAGCTACCAGCGCTGTATTGGCAATAAAGACATGGTGGCGGCGGCCTCCAATGACTAGGGTATTAACTTGGACTCTGGCCAACCAACGAACACGTAAGCGTAAGTCTGGGGCAGAGAGTTTGAGTCCAAGTGCCGATGCTCCGCAGTACATTGTGCCGCTATTCCAGTAAGAAAATAAGAATCCTGACTCTAAATGCCGTCTGACTGCTTACATGCAGACGTCATCTCACCCGCTATGTGCCGGTAAGACATAAAAAGCACTTCTATCACCCTTTGCCTTCTATTTTGATGCTTTATAAAGCACAAGTTTTAGCCAGATCCACTACCTCAACTTGATTGGTTGCACGGTCATATCTCATAACAAAATCTATATTTGTCATGTACTTCAAATATCTGTTTGCCGTACTGGTCGCAATGGCGGCTAGTACATCGGCTCTCAACATTGTAGGTGAACGACCCCGAGGGTGGAAAGTGGGCGCTGACTGCCTCATCAGTGCTATTCCGATGGAGATTGCACCACATACGTAGAAGAAAATTGTCCCAATGGTGGTGGTTGCACAGCCAGTCCAGGCGCTTGCAAATGCAGCTAGAGGCTAGATGAGGTTGTAGCTTCTCTTAAAGATCGACGTGTCATAGTAAAGAATCAGGAAGCCAATCGCAGAAAGTGTCGCTTAAACAGAATGATTCTCCACGAGATGCACAGACAGAAGGCCACTAGAAGTCAAGAAACCGGCGAAGCAACAGTTTCAATATATTCAACACCAATAACAATTTTGCGTCCCATGTGTAAATTATCGTTTGTTTGTTTCTGCATGTCAATCAACACGTCACATATATGCTTCTTGGTATGGCGATATGGTCTATGATGAGCTCAAGTCATTGACATTTCGCGAAATGAATACCAAGACTTGCTGCATGCTGTACGGGTCCCCTAGGTGATTCCGCGCCTTTACTTTACTGTTTCGTCTGAATCTTTAGTTATGCCATACGCCTGGTTCAAAGCCTACGCTCACAAAATGCCATTCCACGACTTGCACAAGACTCTTTCGACACAAAGTTGCCTCTACTTCTCAATTTTAGACGCCGGACTTTCTCGAAATTCCACCAACCATCTCATTTCTTGATTGCTTTGTATACCAAGATAGATACCTGCACTATGCAACAGCCGCTCCTGCTGTTTGTTACCCTCACCTGAGCGCACAGCAAACACTTACAAGCACTGACCCTCCTCCGCTTCTACACCGCACACTCACTCTCACCCTCGACACCCACAAGACAAAAATCATTATACCACCTCAGTGACTATTACTTCGACATAGCACTGCTTGTTGCAGCTGGACGATTGAGCTTCACGAGCCCAAGACTTGATCTTCTCAATGCCCATCATGAAAAGCCGCCGCAATCAGGTTCCTTACAGCCAAGATGAGATCGAAAGGTATGAGGGACCAGGAACGCACGATCGCCGCCTGGCTGACCCTCACAGTCTCAAGGGCATTGCTCTCCCCGCCAAAATCAAGTGCGGTCGCTGCCACAAGAACCTCCCCCAAGCAAAGTTCTCCTCAAAGCAGCTTAACGATGCCCGTTGGCAGATCAAGACCTCGAGCCAGATCTATAAGCCCATCAACTGTCACAGCTGTACAGGTCAGCAAGTAGTTGAGGTTGAATGCACAATGTGCGGAAAGACAAAGGGTCTCGAGAGTTTTGCAAAGTCTCAACGCCGAAATCCTGATACAGCAAAGTGTTTCGCATGTGTTGAGGGCCAGCTTGCAAATGAGGCTTTTGACGAGGACAAGTATGAAGATCCTGACAAGGCCTTTGTCACTCCAGATCATTCCAATGGCCAGTATCCCGAGTACTTCACAGCGGCCACTTCAGATACATCTTCGTCCTATGTATGTATTGAGTTCGGACTTGTTATCCCCAGAGTCGTGGCCTTTCCAAGTGGGTGTGCGCTGACTTTACCAGGGCGATGATGACTGGAAGACTGTCAACGAGAACCACCAGTCAAATCGTCTCACAGCCAAGGATGGCGGGATCAAATTGTCGGCTGATTTCCAGCGGGCCATGTCTATGAACGGATCTGCGGATGAGAACCTGATTGATTACGAGTACGCTTACCCCGTCGGCCGTGAAAGGACTAGCAACGACGGCTTGAGCGAAGTTCGCACCAAATCATGGCACACCCAGTCCAGCACGGCTCTTACTACCTGCTCAACTTCGACTATCAATGCTAATAGTCCTTCGTATGCCTCCGCGGCACGCTCGTCTCACTCGTTCACCTCAAATGTGGCTGAGCGGTCTAGTACTTCTGAGCTTTATCCTAAAGATGGGGCTATGGCCACAGCCGCACCTCGAGGTCCTCTTGTAGTAAGTGCAGCTATTTGCAAACGGCCGTGCTGTCAACTGTTCAACTAACTGTGCTGTAGGAGCCTATGGGAGATGCTGCCCGCGAGAATGGTCCCGTTGTAGACGCGTGGGATGATTCTGACGATTCTGACGACGACGATGATTATGATGACGATGATGATACTATCATTTAGACCTTCATTGTCGCATCTGATGCCGAGAGGTTAAGGGGTTTCAATGAATGACACGACTGGATCACGAGCAATCGTGAGTAATTCTGTGTAGTAACAAAATCATATGGATGCGAATGCTCAGTGTACGATTTGGAAATTCTTTTGCGAACTTCATTCTTGCTGAAATGAATCAATATCATACTCCCATTAATCCAAGATATCCATCAATACATGATCCGCCACTCAATAAAGCACTGTGTGGGCGGACTGGCAAAGTAAATCAATTGTCAGGGGTAGACTTTGCTTGATGCAGCCAGTAATTGCCACCACGTGATTTCGCGACTGCCCGGTGGACCCCGGACGCGCCTTCACCACTCACTGTCTCACCCCCGCTTGTCGGCCTCCAACTCACCTCAACACCACCTGCTCAGCTCCTCGGGCAATCAGCCGTATCTTTCACACTCCATTTCCTTTGCACTGCTATAAATTGACAAAATGTAAGCCATCAACTAGCACTACATGAACTCAGCATACAATACTGACGAGTGGCGACAGGAGCGGACGGCGACAAAGAGGAGCGGGTATCCGTGGGCCACACTCAGCGCTGACAGATTTCCTGGCCGTATGTTGACTCCATGCACACATTTCTGCAATATGGCTTTACTAAGAACTTGTGCTGATTACGCCACACTAGGCAAACAACATTTCCGCACAAGAGATTCGTGATTCGTACCAGCAACGTGTTCGGCAAGCCGAGCAGGACGCAGCGCAAGCCGGTAACAATGAGGAAGGATCTGCAAGTGCGGGTGCTGAGGACGAAGAACCTGAAGAAGACCTACAAGCAGAGTCATCTGCAATGGCAGCTGAACGTACTCGCAAACGGAAACGCGATCAAGATGAAGCTATAGCGAAGATCAAGAAGGGAAAAGCGGCCAAAAAGACCGCCAAGAAGAAGAAGAAAGGCCCAGATGATGACTCAGATTTTGAAGATGTTATGGACATGTACAAGAAGGCCAAACCTCTGCCTGGTCAGCTAGAGAATTGCGAGATCTGCAATAAGCGGTTTACCGTCACACCGTACAGTAAAGCTGGTCCAGAGGGCGGTCTTCTTTGCACGCCATGTGGCAAGGAAATGGCCAAGGACGCTAAGGCAGAGAAGAAGGCCAACAAGCCTGTTGTGCGCAAGGGTCGAAGAAAGATTGAGAGTAACCGTCTTGATGGGTTGACTGTGCGTGGGCCAAAGACATTGCAGCAACTCTGCATTGAAAAGCTGGCAAAGCACTCAGAAGATATCGAAGAGCTGGGCGAGATGCCGGAGTCGATTATGAATCGCATCAGCGAGATCTTTTCGAAGAAGCGGGCAATGAACCCTACGACGATGAAACTCTTCCTGCAGCCTGACATGGAAAATGTTGCTATTCATGAGGCTGCATATCTCGAGACAGAAGATTACGATCAGATATTTGCAGTGTGTCCGACTGTCAAGCGCCTGTCACTCCGTAACTGCTGTCAGTTGAAGGACAGCAACATTGACTATATGATCGAAAAGGCCAAGGCATTGGAAGAGATTCAGCTGCTGGGAGCCAACCTGGTATCAAACGACAAGTGGATTGAGTTGTTTATTGCGCGCGGTCAAGATCTCAAGGCACTCAAGGTTGAGTGGCTGGATGCAGCCTTTGACGACCAGGCCGTGAAGGCGCTTACTACCTTTTGTCCGAAACTTGAGCGGCTGAAGTTGGAGAGATGCAAGAAGATTGGTCCAGAAAGCATCGACGCAATTGCTGAACTAAAGCACCTCAAGCACCTCACTCTCCGGTTCTACGATACCATTACGCACGAGAAGCTAGTGCACCTGATCGATTCTGTTGGCGCGAATCTGCAGACGCTGTGCCTAGAACACTTTGTTGACAATACAAGCGAGCCGACTGATGATGTGCTGGATATCATCCATAAGCAGTGCCGGAATCTCAGCAAGTTCCGTTTCACAGAGAACCACGAGTGCACCGACGCTGAATACGTGAAGCTCTTCTCCAAGTGGGACAACCCACCGCTGCGCTATATTGACGTCAATTCGACACGCGACATGGACAACAGCAACCCGGACGGACCTCTAGAATCGCCTGTCGGGCTTGCAAGCAAGGGTTTCCGTGCACTCATGTCGCATTCTGGCTCGCGGTTAGAGTATCTCGATGTCTCATCGTGCCGGCACATTTCGCATGCTACTTTTGCAGAAGTGTTTGATGGAGTACAGCAGTACCCTCATCTACGCGAGATCAACGTCTCGTTTTGCCCTGTAGTGGACACGGAAGTTGTGGCAGGGATCTTCCGGTCGTGCCCTGCACTGGCCAAGGTAGTGACGTTTGGTTGCTTCGAGGTCAAGGACGTGGTTGTACCTCGAGGCATTGTGCTGATCGGGGCGCCCAAGGCACAGGACCAGATTGAGCAGTTTGGTGATGTGGTGTTTGACTTTGCAAAGGAGCTGGAACAGAACATGGATCAGATGGGGGTCATGGGTCGGGTTGTGCCTGTCATTGGATAGTGATTTCTAAGAGGTTACGAAATAGCTTGCGGGAATGTTCAGTGTCTCGGAGTTTCATGGATTATTATGGCGTCAAGGGAGACATGATTTCAGGGCGCTTCTTTCTGCGAGTAAGGATTGATGATTATAGACAGATCAGCAAACGAGTTTCTATTCGATACAGTTTTTTTGGTTGTTCTCATTTCCTATGCTATGAAAGATGGCCTTGACCCATGCTGGCCCTAGACAAGACATAGGCTCGCTAAGAAAATGAAGCCTCTAGTACGTAACGCTCACAAAGTAACATGAATAGACGTGGAACCCAAGCTTATGGTGCAGAATCAGCTCATGGCTTATACCCTGGTTAGCCACATCATAAAGCCAAACTGAACAATGTAACTGTAGACGAACAGAAACTGGGTCCGCCTGTTCTTTTGGTTCTTCGCTGGGTATCCGCCGGGGGCGGGGCCTCCAAAGTTTCCTTGACCAGTCTGGTCGGGAAGCAGGACATATCGCAGGCTGCGAAGGAGAAAAAAGGCATTTGCACTGAAGCAGTAGAGGAAGATGATCCAGTTGACCATTGTGCCACCAAAGCCGAGCCACGAGGCAAAATGCGTCAGAAGCAGCGAGACAATAACATGGACAAATTTGTAGCCACTGTATGCAACCAGATCAAGGAGTTGCGAGGAGCTGCTAATGGCGAGCAGAAAGGTGCCAGTGCGTATGATGAGAATCTCCAGAAGGGTGACGGAGATTGCGACAGTGGCCGTGTAACCAAGCAGCTCTGGGTGGAAGGCGCCCCTCAGTCCAGCCAACAACGTCGAGAGCAGGATGTAGGTGACGAGGGCCATTATGGGAATGTACATGTCGGGCGAATTGACATCTTCGCGAGGAGGCTGGTAGAGCAGAGCGGCCGAGGAGGCAGCGGGATCAGAGGTATGGCGTTGCTGGCGGGACCAGGGGCGATGCCACCACGGGACGAGGATGATGCGCAGTTTGGTAAGGACGTACGAGTTCGTGACATTGAAGTAGTGTCTGAGGGCAGAGACAGATACGAAGCGTCCAATCTATTGCAGCGAGTTAGTCTTGGCCTAGCTATCGTGATGCGCGCATGGCATGGGAAGTGGGCGCGTCGCCTGTGCGGTCGCTTTGCGCATAACGTCACGTACATTCTGCTCAACGTATTGCTGCCCCGCATCCACAGCGCTCTTTCCCATCTGGAAGCCGAGCTGAGCTGTGGGGTCATTTATGAAGCCGCCAAACGAGGGGTGCATATTGTAGCCTCCCTGCTGGGGAGGCATCCCCCCGCCCTGCTGCCCGTATCCATATCCGCTCTGTGGTTGCGAAGGCGGGGGAGGGGGTGAGCGCAGCTGGGGGACTGTGGAGACGTGCTGTGGAATTGGGTGGTGTACTGTGGCGTGTCAGCAAAGGTGCGCCTGGAGTGGGTATATGTATATGGGGAGAGGCGTACGGGGTGGTGAATGCGCGGGCGGCGGATTGCTGTAGTTGGGACGCTGCATGGCTGCGCGTGATACCGGGGCCGACAGTCGTCTTGAAGATGGAGGGCGAGATGGAGGAATGGGAAGACGAACAGCGAGTGACCGGGCGAGGCAAGGGGCGTGAATTGAGGGTGTGGTGTATCTGTGGAATTTGTGCCTGTGAGCTTTCCGCTGCCTGTCCGAGTTCCGACCATCTGGCAAGAGGCGGCCCGCACGGCCCTTCGTCATCGCACGAACATTACCACCACCACTACGCACCCCTCTCGCATGCCAGCCAGCACCTCATGCGCCACTCTCGCCCATAATGCTCGACACTTTTGAGATACTCACCACCTCAGGAGTTGTGCTGTGGTCCCGTACCTATGTCCCCGTCGGCGCAAATGTCATCAACAGCCTGATCCGGGACGTCTTCATCGAAGAGCGCATCCAGCCTCAGGCCGACGACATCGGCTCTAAGCCGGCGTACAAAAAAGATGGCTATACCCTCAAGTGGACTGCCGCAAAGGACGTTGGTCTCATCTTTGTCGTATGTTCTGCACCATAAGAATGACAGGCGAGGGCACGGAAAATGCGCTGGAGTGGCCTCTTGAATATGCCAGTGTGCTAACAACCCGCATAGGCTGTATACCAGAGCCTCGTCCACCTCACATGGATAGACAAGCTCCTTGACAATGTGCGCGCCCTGTTTGTCGGCCTCTACGGCGACAAGCTCCAGTCGGATAGCAGTGTGGTCAACTGCGATAAGTTTGGCACCTACTTCGATCGCCAAATGCACGAGTTGGAAGGCGCAAGCGATTCGGGCGCCCCCAGCATCAAGCTCACCACCCCAGAATCAAGCACAGATAACGACAGTGCTGACGACACCGCGATCAAGCCTGCGGGCCTGCAAAAACCCCAACGGCCCTTGTACGATACCAGCGCCGATTCAACGCCAGTGCCTACCCCGGACACCTCGAGGCCCGCCACTCCAGCACAGAGCCAGTTGCTCACAGGCAAATCGAGGCCGATTGGAGGCAAAATGTCTCGGAGGGATAAAAAGAAAGCCTCGGCCTTCAGCTCTGCGCCTGTATCGTCGGGTGATGAGGCGTCAGCAAAGAAAAAGGGGAAGGGTTCCGCAAAAAAGGGCAGGGTGTGGGGCGAGTTTGGCGCAGAGGAAGAGGACGACTCTATCCTCGACTATTCTCAGTCAGATGTACAGGGTGACACGTCAGGAAACGAAGCACTGGAAGAGATCAAGCAGGAGACATGGGGCCGCAAGACCAACAAGGGCGAGTTTGTACTCAAGGACCTCGACGATGAGATGGATGCCATCATTGCAGCCCAAAATGCAAAGAGGGACAAGGACACACCGGCTGCAGCTGGTGGCCTGGTTGGGTCGAGTCTAGGCGCAATCGGTGGCCTGTTTAGGAATGTGGTGGGCGGCAAGACACTGACCAAGGAAGATCTCGCCAAACCTCTCAAGGGCATGGAAGAACATCTGTTGCGTAAGAACGTTGCGCGCGAAGCTGCAGTACGGCTGTGCGAAAGCGTGGAGCGTGATCTCGTAGGCATCAAAACACCCAGCTTTACTAGTCAGTCATTTCACTCCCTTTTCTTGCCTGATCTCTTTACTAACGCGACCATGACAGCCATCGAGACAACAATCAAGGCTTCAATGGAGAAAGCTCTTACCAAGATACTTACCCCGACTTCTTCCCTTGACTTACTTCGCGAGATCCAGCACACAAATTCTACCACTACTCGACCCTACGTACTATCCATTGTTGGCGTCAACGGAGTTGGAAAGTCGACCAACCTGTCCAAGATTGCCTTTTTCCTGCTGCAAAATCATCATCGTGTGCTCATCGCAGCAGCGGATACCTTCCGTTCTGGTGCAGTGGAGCAACTACGGGTACATGTCGATCGATTGAAGGAGCTATCCCAAAGAGAAGGCGGGCACGTCGATCTGTTTGAAAAGGGTTACGGCAAGGATGCCGCTAACATTGCTGCCGATGCCGTAACTTTTGCGACCAAGAACAACTTCAACGTAGTCCTCATTGATACGGCAGGTCGGCGCCACAATGATCAGCGGCTCATGTCGTCGCTCGAGAAGTTTGGCAAGCTAGCCAACCCTGACAAAATCCTCATGGTCGGCGAAGCCCTCGTCGGCACAGATTCTGTCGCTCAGGCCAGGAACTTCAATGCCTCTTTTGGCCCAGGACGAAATCTCGATGGCTTTGTCATTTCAAAATGCGATACCGTGGGAGACATGGTGGGCACGCTTGTATCAATGGTACATGCAACCGGAATTCCAGTCGTCTTCTTGGGCACGGGGCAGCATTATAGCGATCTAAGGACATTGAACGTCGGCGCAGTGACGAGGCTACTCATGAGTTGAGGTAATGATTGGTCAGTTCGTGAGATGGCACGACTATGTAGTGTATAGTATTGGGCTGTATTATGTCATGATTATACAAGCACGCGTTGTTGCTTGATTATTTTTTTCCATATGGAGCCATCAAACTTTGCTTTATGACTGCGCCATGTCCTTTTGAGCAGATGTTACCTACACGCAAACAAAATATTCGAGGAAAAGGGCCATGATTCACACTGATGTTGGCCAAAGCAACCGTTTTCATGGCAGACATGTGAATGACGACATGGGTGCGCCAAATTAGCTCCCGCAACAACACCAGGTGCGCTCGTATCCACAAGCTTTACTAAGTGCCACACTGCCGTCTTGGATCGACGTAACTGCATGCTCTAGCCTATCCCATGCCGCTTCTCATTCTCATCGCCCGATACCCCGCGCTCATTCCTCTTTGTTCTGCTTCACATGTTGTACGAGGCTTGGATCACCGCAAAGCCACTAATCGAAAGTACCGTGCCGGACAATGCACTATGACATTGGATCCTTTATGAAACCCCTTACGAAATATGGCGCCTATGATGCAATTCCATTGTTCATCGTCGCTGCATATGCGCCAACTACATAGGACGCTGCTTGACCTCGCAAATATGGACACTATAGCCTTTGTCCCCGCATTGTGGCCCCTTTCTCTTTCTCTCTCTTTCTCTTCCCCACAGTCACCATGTCTGAGCAACAAGGTAGTCATCGCGATAGTGGATCCTCATTGTCCGCTCTTGTCTCAACACTCGTGCCCAGTTTTGTCGTTGCTGTTGCTCTGGTTGTCCTATTCTTGGTATTGCGTAACAAGCAGAGGCGTCTCTATGCTCCACGAACATATCACGATTCACTTCTAGAAGAGTACGCTTTTCCAGATTGGTTAACACGGATACTTGCTGATGACCTTATGTAGTGAGAAAACACCTCCAGCAGGCCAGGGTTTCCTAGGCTGGATCAAGAAGTTCACCAACTTGAGTGACGAATATGTCCTCAATCACCACTCTCTCGATGCATATCTATACATGCGTTTCCTCAAGGTACTTACCCTGATGGCCTTTGTAGGTGTCATTATTACCTGGCCTGTTCTATTCCCTGTCAACGCCACAGGTGGAGGCGGTGAATCTGGTCTGGACATTCTCAGCTTCTCCAACATCGAGAATGAAGTACGCTACTTTGCCCACGCATTGATTGCTTGGGTTTTCTTCGGCTGGGTATTATTCCTCATTGGCAGAGAAATGCTGTACTTGGTCACACTCCGAAGAGCGTACTTCTTGACCACATGGAATGCGAGTCGCATCTCCCAACGTACAGTCCTCTTTACCGATATCCCGCAAGAGTCTTTATCTCTCGAAGAACTTCATACTATGTTCCCTAGAGTCGCCCAAATATGGCTCGTTCCCAATGTAAATGATCTAGATGATGATGTCTCAGACCTTGACAAGGCGATCATCAAACTTGAAGCCAGCGAAACAAAGTTTATGCAAAAAGTCACTAAACAGCAACAGAAGAAGGGCAGTGAGAAAGGAACATTCGACAAGGCATTGCGCCCAACACACAAGACCAAGTTTTTGATCGGTAAAAAGGTGGACTCAATTGACTACTTTCGCAACCAGATCGAGGAGCTACTCCCCAAAATCCAGACAGCACAACGCTCGCATATCGCTGGGAAGGAAAAGCTCGACAGCGCAGTATTCATCGAATTTGACACTATACTTGCGGCAGAGACCGCCTTCAACGCAAACCAACATCGCAGACCCACCAAGTTTAGCTCTAGACAGATGGGTGTTCTGCCAGAAGAAGTCATCTGGAAGAATCTCAACATGGGCTCCAAAAGCAGATCTCTGCGCCACCTCATCGCCACAATCTTCATTTCAGCTATGATTCTCTTCTGGTCTATACCCGTTGCTGTAGTTGGTTCCATCAGTAATATCAACTACCTCACAGAGAATGTTCCGTTTTTGTCATTTATCAACGACATTCCCGAGGTTATCCTTGGCGTCGTGACTGGACTCTTGCCAGTCGTTGCCCTCGCTATCCTCATGGCTTTGGTTCCCGTCATCTGTCGCGGTATGTTATCAAGACCAATCTCTCTACATCTCTCCCAACTAATATTTTGGTAGTCGTTGCCAAGTTGGCCGGTGCAGTCACCATCTCCCAGGTCGAGCAACAAACACAGAAATGGTACTTTGCTTTTCAAGTTATCCAAGTATTTCTCATTACAACATTTACTTCAGCTGCCGCGGCAGTAGCCAGCCAGATCGTCTCAGACCCCACAAGTGCCGTCGGTCTGCTGTCTAAGAACTTACCAAAGGCCTCCAACTTTTACATTTCATATTTCATCCTCTTCGGTCTAGCTATATCGTCGAAATATCTCTTCAATATCGGGGGCTTGGTGGGTGTCTTTATTCTAAGCAAATTCGCTAAAACGCCGAGGAAGAAGTACAACCGTTATGTGGCACTGGGCGAGCCATCCTGGGGTGCAGAGTACCCAAAATGGACAAACTTGGGTGTCATTGCCATCTGCTACGCCACGATTGCGCCGCTCGTTCTTGGCTTTGCAGCTGTCGGTATCGGAATGATTTACGTTGCGTTCCGCTATAACATGATGTACGTTCACGATACGCACATCGATACCAAGGGAGGCTTCTATGCGCGCGCTTTGGAGCAGCTCATGGTAGGAGTGTACCTTGGAGAACTTTGTCTACTGGGACTTTTCGGTATTGGTATCGGCGGTAGCATTACCTCTGTTGGGCCGACAGTACTTCAAATGGTTCTGATTGTTGCAACGGTCATCTTCCACATCTTCATGAAGCGAAAGGTCAAGCAGTTGAACCTTCTCGAAGACTCGGAGCATTCTGGGCAGCAGAGCAATGCAGAGGCCGGACATTTGTCTGCCACTAAACGCATGGCCCCTGGATGTCAGAAAGATGGAGTTCGGTCTGAACAAGCTCTTGTTTCGCGCTACAATAATGAGCAGCGAGCTGTTAATGGCTATGAAGCTACTGGTATTGCACCTCCTGCCGACACCCCACCACAGCGATCGTTGCTAAAGAGAATATTCGCTCCACACACGCTGTCTACTAGCGAAATCTCTGCATCTCTCGCAGCTCGGCTTTGTCGCCCTGTTGCACCATACACGGAAAAAGAAGTACTTGAGGCCTACCTGCATCCAGCCTTAGCTGAACGCCAAGACGTCATATGGCTCCCCACGGATCGTCCCGGCGTCAGCAAGCGTGAGGTTGCTGAGTTACAGGAGAACCTTGGCACATTTGGAACTCGAGTCACGGATGAAGGCGCTATCATGAATGAGAAGGGCAAGGTAGAGTGGGATGTTGACAGTGTACGGGAGGCGCCGCTCTGGAAGCATCGGGTTATTTATTAAGTCTGTTACTTTCTTCATCACCATATTCTCGGGGTGTTCCGACAATCATACTATCCAAGTGTCTCGTACTGTATGCATGTACCTCTTCCTGGAATTTGTAGTATAAATACCAACCCAATTTCCATAAAGAGACCATGACACAATACGACGCGACAATCTCCAGTACCAAGCGCACACGCGTACAACCAGCCCCGCACACCATCTAGCTGAAAACAACACGAAGACTTGGTTGCGCGAAAAGGAGTTGAAATGATCGATGTCATACATAGGTACTAGCCCCGGGACCTACTCCGTCGTTGTTCAGTGGCGCATGTTAGTGCCACAGCACCACGCCTCGGACTATGACGTCGCTTGACCATGAAAGTGGAAGCCACGCGATTGCCAACTTTCAGGTAGACAAGTAGGGTAGTTGGTGGTGGAATAAAAGGGCGTCATGATACGGGGTGAGTAAGATGTGAATTTGTATAAACACTTTTCTTCGCGTCTTGAGCATAACAATCACGAAACATCATCAAACGAATATTTGTCCCAGAATTTAAGTAACTTGAAAGAATTAGATATTACAAAGATGCCTCGCAACGGAGACGGATCAAGTGACAATGGACCTATTGAAGGCCATGAGATTCTTCACGGTACAACTGGAGATGTACGGTGCCCTCTCCAACGCATACGAACTCTTTCTGTTTTATCGAGTCATCAAGCACAATCAAACACAAAAGTATCCTATATCTAACCTAAGCACAGGACTCCCTCCAACACACCAAACACGTAGCACCCATGCCCGAGGGCGAAAAAGGAGACAGTATGTTCCCCACCCCCATTCATCCATTACAACAACACAAAAGAACACACTCCAACGCATCTACATATACCAAACTAACCCACCATCACCACAGCCCTCCCAGGATTCTCAGGCGGCGGCACCACAGCCCAAACATCCACCTCCACCTCCTCCCTCTCGGACTCCAAAAAACGCTCGGAACTTCACCACGCCTCCCCCTCCCCAACCTCGCACATCCAGCAAAAACACTCCAGACTAGACTCCGACGAAGCCGGCATCGCGGGTGCGACTTCGCACGCTGAGGCAGTGCACGCACGCGAGCAGCGGGTCAAGGACGCGGTGGGGTCGGAGGATGTAGGGAGTGGTGCTGGGGGGCATGCGGATGTGGAGATGTTGCATGGGGAGGCTACATTGGATGGGCAGGAGCAGAAGAGTGAGGAGGGGCAGGGTGGAGCGTGTGATGCAGATTTGCTTCAGAGGAAGAAGGCGGAGAAGTTTGGGGGTGTGAATTTGAGTGAGGACGGAGTGAGTGGGGAAAGTGCCAGGCATGAGAGTGAGGCTTATGGGGGTCCTGTAGGACATGCTCATGGCTCCAAGAGTAAGACTGAGGAGTCGTTTGGTACACACACGCATAAGGGCGGCGAGACGCAGGGTAACAGCAAGGAGCATGGTCACGATATCGCCCATGAGGCGGATCTGTTGCAGAGGAAGAAAGCTGAGAAGTTCGGGGGCGTGAACCTAGGGGACGACGAGGCTGATGGGTCTTATATGGGGAAGAGCAAGGCTCATGGTAGCACTAATGAGGGAAGCAGTGGTGATGGCGGCTCTGTTGGACATGTGGATACCAAGGGTCACAATGGAGGCCATGCAGGTACTGAGACGCAAGGCAAGAACAAGGCTCGCGGTCACGGTCACGATGTCGCCAATGATGCGGAACAACTGCAAAGGAAGAAGGCTGAAAAGTTTGGGGGCGTTAACCTAAGTCAAGATGGGGCTGATATGTCTTCTGGACTGAAGAACAGTACTCGTGGTAGTACTGATGGGGGTCCTGTAGGACATGCACATGGTACCAAGGGTCAGAACGAAGAGTCTGGTGCCTACAGCCGAGGCCATGCGGACATTGAGACGTACAGCAAGGGCAATGGACATGCATCAGAGGGTAAGAAAAATGACCACGGCCTTGATCTTGCCAACGATGCGGACCTGTTGCAGAGGAAGAAAGCAGAGAAGTTCGGGGGCGTTAATCTCGGCGATGATTAGGCGTATTCATTGTCTTCTTTTCCTAAGGTAACTTGTTTATTCTACATAGCTGCCCGATATTATGTATGTGTGCCTAGTCGACAGAGTATCTTTTTTTTCATATTAGTGATAAATTTTGCTTTCTTTTCTCAGACGTATGAGACCACACGTGGATGTTGTTAAAAAGCAAAAAAAGAATGCGACAATCAAGGGTCCATGGTAAATTGTCTGTGCCAACGCCACCAGTTCACCGATCAAGACAACGGGAGATGCTGCAAAAGTGGTCTTCTGGACAACAAGTCATAGAGGTCTCACATTACGAGAAGATTTTACGCAATATCTTTTTTCGGCATTCATTTTTTTTTTCTTAGATTGGATACGGATCGGGGAAGAAGCCTGGTATGGCCAGTGACGCCAATTTCCCGACCCCGCAAACATTCCTATCATCTATTCCTCGTGTCCGGCGAGATGCCTCCGAACAACCTCAGCAGATGGTTCTTTGTTTTTTAATAATGAATACCAGAGATACTAGCGTTGCCACCGCGGCATTCAGCAATCACCTCGGGAAACAATTGCGTCGAGTTTGCATCCACGACCAGGTACTGGCAAATCTCGGCGGATCCGTCCAGCACGGCATCAACTTGATCCTCAGTGCAGGAGCCGAGATCCCAAGTGTAGCAAAACGTCAGCCTTTCGGATGTGTACGCCTCAAACTGCACATTTGGATCCGGCCGTCCCGTGCTTATGTACGTGCTCTCTTCATCCGTACCGGCAGTCGACTCGGTACCGGTAGCAATATCAAGGTTGAACAGGGCACGCGTGAAGATCTTGAAAGCCGTCTCGGGCTGGTAAGCAGGAATGGCGTGACCGGCTTGGTAGGTGCGGATGTAACTCAAGTTTCCGTACTGGCGGACGAGACCGCCGACATATGAGTCGTTCGTCTGGATCTCGGCGTATTGTGCAGATGCATACCCGGCGGACCCTGTCCAGTTGATTGCTTTGGCCACGGCATCGCCACCGCCCCACTGATATGTCTTTTTGTTAGCAAGGAGATTGCATGAGTAAGGGTTGCGTTGGGCAAATGATACTTACGGGGCAAGCAAAGTCGAGATCTCCGTACACTAGTGATACCTTGATCCCATTGTCGAGAAGGAAGCCGAGATCTTCAACCCATCCATCACGCGGGTAGTCACCAATGGAACGGTAAGCTGTTGAAGACTGTGGGGAGCTACCTGTCCAATTGAGAGGCACACCGAGCTCCGCCTGGACCCACTCGCGGTTCAGATAGCCCTCATGGAAGGGCGGTGGGAAGGGCGGAGGTGATGGTGTGGAGATGTCGTAATAGTCGCGCCCAGCGTAGTTGTTGTAGGGGGTGACGATGTTGTTACGGCAAAAGGTTTCTGCACCCTCACAAATGCGATTGACACCAGCGTCGATGCCCAGGTTTTCCGGATCAGACACAGCAGCGGCGTCGCGGCAGTTTTGAATCCTCTCTAGACACTCTGGCACAGCGGCAACCATGCCATTGTAGATTGTCTCATTGACAGCTTCAAATCCATACCCGTTGCCTTTGTAAGCTTGTTGAGGGTAGTAGGGAAATTGGATATAGCGGTCAATGCAGCCGGAAATAAGAAGCAGGGTATCCAAGTGCATAACGTAGCCTTCCTTGAGAGTGCCATTCTCAATCTTCTGGTTTTGTTCCTCCCAGAAAGCCATCATAGCGGGTCCATAGCGTCCGCCGTACGACTGAGCTGCGAGACTAATGCGAGTGTCATTGGGCACAATGTGAGGAAACTCTTGGAACCAAGCCTGGGCAAACTCCCACGCTGCCACGGCGCCATTGACGCTACCGAAAAATGTGGTGTTGGGGTTACGGCTAGGGTAGGTGCCTGTAAGAAAAGTAGTGTTTTGCTCAGGGAGAGGCGTGGTGTCATTCAGCACCGTGACCTGTCCTGTGGCAAGGTTTCTGGTGACATTTGCTAAAGTGTCGTATGAACTGGAACCGATTGTCAATTAATTTGCCATGAGCCTCTTGGATTCAAGAGAACTCACAAGCCAACCTGCACTGGTTGATCGAGATAGAGCATGTTCGATGCTCTGTTCCAGCTCCACTCAGCTGGTCTCGTTGAGTTCGAGTCTGGGTTTGCGTAGCACGGCCCATTTTCCTCGAGCAACCCATACATAGAAGAAGAACCCGGTCCACCGTTCAACCAGATTGTAAGTGGTGCATTGGCCGGATCGTCACGGGCTTCAAAAAACCAAAAGAACTAGAGCAAAAACTTAGGACCTCAACAAATGAGCCATAGCGACATGCTTCTTACGGTGTTGATAGGATAATCCTGTCCCTGACCCAAGTCCGCGGTTCCGGGGGGTAGGTAGACATAACCGGAATATGATTTGACGTCTGGTGTAGTCTCACAAAGCTTGTTCTATACATTGCTATTAGATAATCTGGCTGTGATACAAAACGACCTTTTTCCAATGGCTTCCAACCTCTTTGTAAGTAATCTTCACACCATCTCCGAAGCGCGACTCGAGCACTTTGAGGCCCGCAGGCTCAGATGGAACTTGAGCGAGAGAAGGCGCAGCCAGTGCCAACAGCGCAATGGCTGTGGAGCGAGCGGATGGAAACATGTCGCAACGGATGTCCCTACAGGACAAAGTACTGAGCATGGGCGGTGTAGTATTTATTTACTACGTAGTATGTGGGGGCATGTTGGCCGCCAATTCTTCCAAGCATCGATTAACCGTTGCCAGTCCCATTCTTGCCGTCATAAGCAGGCAATTTCATCGACGGCATACTTGGCTGCATCTCGGAGCACAATCAATTTGGTGGAATGCTCAAGTTGGACCGGCTGTATCCGGAAGGTCGAAGAAGAGGTCGCCAAGTACCAAGTCTTGCTGGGAGCGGGGTGGCCTTCTTACACGCGTTAGCGCGAACCTTGCATTGCCAGCTTCCACAAGTGATAACAACCATGCGATGAGTGGATTACACAGTACGTGCTACTGGCTCAGATCTAGTCGGGACACGGAAGAACGAAGATAAAACCTCGGTGCCTGAGACTCGAAAATCGCTCTCGCCCAAGATGTATGAGATAGCACTAGCGTCGAACGGCCTGTGGAGCGTGCAGGCGGACTGAAGCCGGGTTGACACCAACACCACTGCCCTCGGCGCCTGGTGAGTTTGATCCAACATCATTCAACTTAAGAAACCTTTTGGAGGCTACACTAGGGTGGTTTACTTGGCAGCCTGCTCGTCCATATGTTGTATATGAGATGGGAGCACCACCGAGTCGATGTCTGAATAAATCGCTCGCAGTTTCGACCGAAGATGAAATGCTCCAAAGCACTTTTTGTGGAGAATGAGACCGCCCTGGTGTTTGAATGTGTCGGCCGTAGCTTTGGCCGGGTCGCAGTTGGTTCGCTTTACATGGGCTGCCATCTCTGCATAGTCGTGCGATTCAAACGTAAGAATCTCAGCAGCATTTGCATGATCATACAGTTGCTGAATACTCAAAGAGGTCCCGGAAGCCGCGCGTCGTACTGGGTAGAGATTGCTTTCTAGAAGGAAGGAGATGAATGAACCCAAAACCATGGCGCGACACTTTTGCTCACATGATTCGTCCACTTGACACACATAGACGTGTGTGATGTCGTCCAAGATGTCATAGAGAACATCAAGCATAGCTGTAAGAGTTGCTTCTCGGACTTCCATTATCCGCTCTTTGAGAGTGTCAGTAAAGGGTGAAGGCGTTTGAACAAAAGACGGCAAGGCGGCTTACCAAGTAGTGCTGGTGGCATATGAAGCGGAAATGCCTGGCCATTGTCCATCATTGCATTCCCACGTTGATCTAAACCAGTCCTTTTTACCACAAACTTGGCAAGGTTTTGGAAGCTGTCCTTGTAGCCAAAGGTCCATGCCACAAAGAACCAGGCTGGATGACATCGTTCCCCTGAAGTGGTATCAGGGTAGTGGCACTGAGCCCAGCCGTAGAGATCCAAGAAGGGTCGAACCAGCTTGACAAGATCGTATCTGTCGCACACGACCGAGAGTTGGAGAAGGGCATCGATAGTGAGGCCATTCTTCTTGGGCAATTCGTGGAAGCGGAGATGAGCTATTCGGAGGGCAATGTGCATGGCATCTAGCTCATCGTCGGGTAATGGGATAGCGGCGGTTCCATTCTCATTCCAGTGCCGCTCGAATATCTTCTTCCACACCGGACTGGCCAGAATCATGGCCGTCCGAGATACCTGGACGGGCTGGTGGCCCGACGAATCGGTGCCCAAGACCAAGATAGAGTCACCACTGTCATCAAAAACAATAGTGGGCTGTATTTCCGAGGCATCAATGTGCCGAAGCTCCGAAGGCGCAACCTCGTCATCAGAAGCTTCGTCGGGGCTGCCAAGTGGTGGTGATGACGATGCGCTCTCAGGGGCAGGGCGGCCCCGAAGAAGAAAGCTGGAGCCCCAGAGCATTCAGCCAGCCTCGATTGCTTGTCGTGGAGGAAGATGGCAGCAGGGTCAGAGTCTCCCGGGGCGCGTACCGTGACGTACTCGCTTGTACGGCTCGGGATGCAGTGTTATTGTTGCACGTTGTTGCACATGTTTTCATTGAGTGAACGCGCAGGGATACACGGCCCGTGCTTCAGAGCCAGTGTGTTGATTCAGCCGCGCGTCAAAAAGAACAGGCCAACAACATCCTTATTTCCATCCGCGCTCCCTTTCGCCGCCGCTGAGGTCTCTGCGCAGTGCCACCTCGGACAGGGGCGATGAAGATCCCAAGGGCTTGCATATACACAACCATTTGCCTGGGGCGACGTACATGCAGTAGTACTTACAGCTTTGCCGACCCTTGGCCGATCCGACCCGACCCGACCCCACGAAGGACGTCTTGCCACAGCAACCCTCAACCACCACATGTAAGCGGACGGGAGCAGAATCCGACAGGGAGAGTACGATAAATGTACTACGTAAGTACTCCAGCCAGCCTCCGCAACAATCTCCCAATGGAGACTACGCGCTCGGGCCATGGAGCCGTCAGCCTCGTAGTGTGTGACATCAGCCCTACCCTTGGTGCGAAGTGAGGTAATGACTCTTCGCGCTATCCGCTACAGACAAGGCCAATACAATGTCATCGAGCGAATCATGATACCACTCTCCTTCTGCTGTTGTTCACTGGCCATCGCTCAGCCAGCCTCGATACGATGTCCTCTGCCGTCACGAAACACTGCTCTCACAAGAAACCAATGTGTGTGTAGATCCCATTTCAGCTCAGATTAGGGCACACGGCGGTTGGTTATGCAAGTTACGTACTTATTTTCTGCAGTCCCATGCAGCAAGCCCAAGTTCGTTGTGCAGTGTAAAGAGTAGATATCGAGAGTGGTCCTTGCAATATGAAACGGTTCAGGTGACCCCTCTTTCCCTGTAATGATGATTATTACCAGCCGTCTTATTAGGCCACGTACAGGGAGAGGCTTGAGCTACCTAACCTGTTCAGAGCTAGGGACACAACACGTGCAGTCAGGCGGGATTGCACAAACCAAACATTTGAACCATCTTCAAGTATCCCACCATTTCGTAGGACAGTCGTACTAGCCTACAGAACGCGTGCATTGCATACGCGTACTGTAACATTATATCGTGTATTGCTTTAGGCAAGCCCAAAAGGTATCCACAGTGGCAATCCACTTGTTCGGTCAGACTTGCCCCGATTCCTCACTGCTTTGCATAGCACATGCTACCAAATCTGGAGTCAGGTGCAGGCAAATTAGTCGAGACCTGGGCACATCCTGTGAGAGCTCCATGATCACATTACCAAGATCTAACATGGGTAAAGCCGAACGTTATCTGCAGCGCACGCCTGAACAACGAACGCTGAGTGGATAGTGCGTTACCTTCCTTGATTGCATACTGTGTATGTCCATCAAAGGCAATACTAGTACCACTGGAAGCTTCGATGATCAGTGCCCAAGTGGTACAGACAGGCCAGCATGCACAGGTCGTTTCTGTGAACTAGACGTCGATCAGCACATGGTGTTACAAGGATGTTACTGATCGGAATTTAGCGATTGTTCGCTTGTACCGCAAGCGTAGCCCGTTGCACAACGCTGGCAAGAGCAAGAGGGCAGAGTTATAGTACAGCGTTTCAGATAACGACGCAGAGTCGGTTACATTGTCAGGCGGATGGACCGGGACGAGTCAGTAGCTTGGGCTTCATCAGCAAAGTCTTAGCACGTGCGCGATGATCTCCAGCAACGTTTAGGATGTCGGAAGCGAAACTTTATCATTGCATCATCGAATCACGGCGAGTTTCAGCCTTCGGAGATTCGGCAGTCATACTATGTTCATACTGCATGTACAAAGTTCTTCTGAACGCCACTATTTTCCAGCCTCCGCCCGACGAATGAGACCGGCAGAAGCCGGATTGTACATGTGAGATCCGGTTCAGCTAACATATTACGAGCCGGCCGGCATTGTGTGCATGCTCTGACCGTAAAACTGCTACCCCGGAGTGATCAGAGCTTTTGGGCAAAGCGCATCCTAACGCCCGATGTAGTCTTCATGAGCGTCTCGTTACGGGCAGTGGCTAATTGGCCCAAGAATGTGGTTTGGCCACAACGTTCGTGGGCCAACCGAGCTGGTCAGGGCCGCACGCCGCCAAGTCAGTATTGAGACGAATTGTCGGACAGATTCTACGCCACAAGAAGCTTCCATCGACGTGACCATAGCTTGCCGCGTCTGAAAGGGTTCGCTCGATTGCATTGGCTGTTACTCATGATCCCGGAAACGGCTAATCCCCTCCTCCGCTATCCTTTTTTTCGTCGCATGCAAAATGCAACCCCAGGGTACCTGACTGAAGACTCTTCCTACTCCAAAGCGTCTTATCATGTGGTACAAGAATCTAGAGTACCGTACCAGACGTCACAAACGCTCACCCCGGAAATAGCACGTCACACAAGGCGAGATGCAAGGACGTTGAACTAAACATAAACGAGTCGAGCGCGGAAGTCCAGGCTATCAGGTTCTCGGCGCCAGCCAATGTCTTCAGCTGCCGACTCGCTATTCAAGCCCCCACCAATCGTCGAATGCCTTTCTGGACCTCATTGTCTCGGCATTGGGAGAAAGATCCAAGTTTCACATCGGGTGTGTCCAGACTGTCTCCAACGACACGATCCGCAACAGCTCCGCGTGTGGGCCAACAACAACTCTATTGCTATTCTAGCCATCAACGAAGAAACTGCGCGTAAGCAGGTGTTAAAGAGAAACATCGAAGCGCGTGGTCGTTACCTGTGCGCCTTTGAAGATCCCGATTACCAGCATTGTCGGTGGCGGCTGCTTGACTTGAGCCTCCGCGGCACCCGTCTCGATTGCCCTTCTGTTCGCAGAAAAGGTACTGCCTGTTCAAAGTGCTGGAGGAGACGACTGCGGAAGATCAGGGTTCTACAGTACTTTACACCAACTGGGCTCTGCCATGAGGTAGTCGATAGAGTCGTCACGAGGTCGGCAAGCTCAGAGGAGGACAGTGAGGAATCCGATGACGATGTGGAGGGCTACAACACAATCCTAAGTTCAGACCCGACATAACTTGGATTCAGCCTTCAAGGTAAGTAATCTTCCTCCTGATACTATTGCTACTAACACTGTAAGATTCATCGCCGTACGATTTTGCTTGTCATGCGAGCTCCGCCTCCAAGGACACACTGCCTACTCGGCGCTGCTTGTGACTCCTGTCCAGAAGGACAAGAGCAAGGTCCAGAGATATGTTCCTGGTGTAAGAATATGAGCTTTGAGGAGCTATACAAGCGGTCAGCAACGTTGCCGGATACGGAATCAATAAACCTTGTCATCGACACATACAAACGCCAACTCGAACTGGAAACCGCCGAGCGCATCAGAAAGGGCTGGTCATTCCTGTGTGCCTGTAAAGATCCAGAGTACCGCTCTCAGTCATGGCGCCGCAATTTCAATCCAAAGGATTCGCGTCTGTGCGGTACGGTGCTCCATCGCGGACAGCTATGCGTGCGGTGCTACCGCAAAGCACGGGAGCAAAACTGCACGTGGCTTGAAGAATTCGACGGCGACCGTCTAGGCTTTCCCTGCGCATTCGACGACACGAGGTTGCGGCGGCGCATCGATGCCAGCTGGAAGATTGGCCCGCTAGATAGACACGGGCAGCCTGATCCAAGTTGGGAGCGAGACCCCAGAAGAGATGGTCGGTGTGAGAGAACTAGATTGCGCAACCAACTTTGCCAGAAATGCTTCAACCGCATGTGCGAGATTCGAGGGTTTGGCCGGTTTTTCGACTCGGAGTGGGGGACGTTGCATCGGAGGTATGGAGCGCGGTAGAGGCTTCTTTGTCGGCAATGCGATATTGCTGCTTGAGCCCTCCCAGATGTATGATACTACTGTTGAGAAGCAGTTGTACGGTTTCCCTTGAGCAAGTACGTAGCAGCACTGTGGAAGCGCTGCTCGTCTAGGACGGGAATTCTGTGTTTTACTACAATATTTCGATTAGCATTTGGGGTGGCGTATTTGGGTGGGGTTTTTGTATATTATTATTATTATTATTATTGTTTAACGTCCTGTGTCAGCCCGAAGGCTATATAAGACGTGCAAGCTGATAAGGCTTACAGGTATCTACGTAGTGCTATCAATTTGGTGTAGTTGGGGGTGGGGGTTATCTAAAAGGGGTTTTTGTATAGTTTAGCGTATACTCCTAGATTGTGGGCTGCAAAGTCAAAAGTATGGGTAGGTTACAGATCGAATTTGTACCTGAGAAGTTGGCTTGGTGCGAGCGGCTTGGATTATATCAAGGTGTTATCAACACAGCCTCGGATCATGCTGTAGAGCAATGTTTTATTGGGATGGTACAGGCGCCAAAAACATTATGTAGGGTTGAACAGAATTCTACAGTACAGATGTGGTTTGGACCACAAAGAAAAATACAAAGAGTCACAGCGGATATACCTTCCATACTGATACCTCTCAGAAGCACATCAGAATTCTCTCTGAGTGTGCAATGAGATCAGTACTAGCGGCCGAAAAGGTGGTTGAAGGGGTGAAACAGATACACCGCTGCTGCGTAGCTGTCGAGCCTGGAATGAGTGGGTAAAGCGGCATGCTAGACTGAACAAGTGAACCTCATGGAATATTTAACTCGGTTCTGTATAATTTCTTGTAGTAGAGGACCAACAATGTCGAGGCCTCTAGCTGTGGAAAAAGACGTGTCGTGGATGAGATACCTGCTCTTTGGCATCATACGGTTAACGGAGGTTGATCCTGTTCATCCGATGCAATTGATCTGCTCTACGCAGATACCCTTTACTCTTGACAGGGCGTATCTGAGAATATAGTTGCAATAGAGAGAACTTGTTTTGACCAAATATCCATCATGAGTTTATGGCATGTGTTCGCGGTTTTGATACCGATCATGTAGACGATACAACCCGGAAATGCTCAAATTCTCAACTATTTTAAGCTCCCGAGATCATGTTTAATGTAGTTTGTCTCAAGTGTCGCTGTATAAACTCAAGCACCTGTACATATACTGATATATTTTGAGCAGTTGAGGCTTCCGGATTCCTCACTTGAATGCATCAGGGTCATGGTTACGCATGTACAGTGTCTTCTGTCAGAATCCGTGGCTGTGATTGATGGCAGCCATCAGGTAACCGAAACCAGATTCAGAAAAAGGCTTCTTAACCACGCAAGCAGCCGAACACGAAAGGCAGAGCTGAAACCGAGAATTGAGTCAATCATGTTCTACTTTCGGCGAAATGAATCAAGAATACGCGTTAAGCCCGACTGAGAGCTGCCTGTTAGCTCAACACTTCCGAAAACGAAGCCACAAAGTGCGAAATCCTTGACAATATCAGCCCATTACTCCACTGGTATCTAGGGACGGTTTCAATAATTTGCAAGGTGTTCTCGCAAAGGCAAAAAAAAAAGAGCCGGGGCAAGATGCGCCGAGGGCTAACACGAATCAATCTGAGAGAGTTTCAGACATAGGATGTGTAATGGCATGGTAACATGATTCCAACCATGGCCGACTCGACACACACTTAGTACACAGAGCGAAAATACCAAGCGGATGTATCTTGCCGTGTTAAAAACGTTGCATTGTCGACCCGCATCATCGCCACATGACGTTGACGCGGAAAAATCGGACAGCGAGGCTGGACTGGCCTTCTAGAAGCAATGGTGTTCCTGCACCCTTTAGCCACGTCGTCCAATCAACGGTGCGGGGCGTAAGGACCCCTCCGACATGCCGCTTTCGGCCTCAATAAATTGTGAACACAAAAGACTCATACGTCTCCAAACTGCTCCTCGAGTCATCCGCCGCCTTCAGTACTGTGTGACTCAAAGTTACTTTACCAAAAAGGACGCCGTATCCGGATTTGCTTCGTTATCACACTTTCATCGTCGGTACTCAGCATCATGGACGGAATCAAGAAGACGTTTGCGCAATGCAAGAAGGAGGGCAGGGTACGTTTTGGTGCCGATTTCGAGAGAAATTGATTGTTGACAATGTCCAGTCTGCCCTCGTCACGTATGTGACTGCAGGCTTCCCTACCGCTGAAGAGACTCCCGACATCATGTTGGCCATGGAGGCGGGCGGCTCAGGTATGCGCCACAAGCAATCGCTCTCGCAACATGACAGGACAAGCAATTAATGCTTCCAGACATCATCGAGCTCGGCATGCCTTTCACCGATCCCATTGCAGACGGTCCAGTCATTCAGACAGCCAACACAGTACGTTGACTCAAATCGCCACTCCCCGCATCAACCCCACCTGACACTGTGTGTCTATAGCAAGCTCTCAAGAATGGCGTCACGATTGCGCATGTCCTCCAAATGGTCCGCGATGCGAGAAAGCGGGGTCTCAAGGCACCTGTCCTGCTCATGGGATACTACAACCCTCTGCTGAGCTACGGCGAGGAGAAGATGTTGCAGGATGCAAAGGAAGCGGGTGCCAATGGCTTCATCATGGTAGATCTTCCACCTGAGGAGGCTCTGCGCTTCAGGAACTTCTGCCGCAGCTATGGGTGAGTTTGGCAGTCAACTGGACGGAAGACGGAACTGATTATGACGGGCAGCCTCTCCTACGTCCCTCTGATTGCGCCAGCTACCTCGGAGCACCGTATGCGCGTACTCTGCAAGATTGCCGATTCCTTCATCTACGTCGTCTCTCGTATGGGCGTCACTGGCGCTACCGGAACCATGAATGCCGCCCTTCCCCAGCTTCTCGAGCGCGTTCACAAGTACTCTGGAAACGTGCCAGCGGCTGTTGGTTTTGGTGTCAGCACGCGCGACCACTTTTTGAGCGTGGGCAAGATTGCTGAAGGTGTTGTCATTGGTAGCCAAATTATCCACACTCTGCTCAAGGCTGCACCTGGTACTGGCGCAAAGGCGGTTCAAGAATACTGCGATGGCATCTGTGGAAAGAGCAGCCGGGAGACGACACGCGAGGTTGGCATAATTGAGACTTTGAACGATGCCAAGGAGCCAACCGGTGTTCACGTGGACAAGGTCATTACTGATGCTGATACACCCGATGGACCCGGCCTTGCCGACCAGCTGGACATGCTCAACACCAAGGACGCAAACGGAGATGATGACTTCAAAGAAAACCACAAGTTCCCCGCACGGTTTGGCGAGTTTGGAGGACAGTATGTGCCTGAATCGCTCATGGACTGTCTTCGGGAACTTGAAGAGGGCTTTAATTCAGCGATTGAGGACCCCAAGTTCTGGGAGGAATACCGCTCATACTACGAATGGATGGGCCGACCAGGACACTTGCATCTTGCTGAGCGCCTCACTGAGCATGCTGGAGGAGCGAACATCTGGCTGAAGCGAGAGGACCTCAATCACACAGGAAGTCACAAGATCAACAATGCACTCGGCCAGGTATTGGTTGCGAGGAGACTGGGAAAGACTGAGATCATTGCGGAAACAGGAGCTGGTCAGCACGGTGTTGCAACGGCGACTGTGTGCGCCAAGTTCAACATGAAGTGTACCATTTACATGGGCGCTGAGGATGTCAGGCGCCAGGCTCTCAATGTGTTCCGCATCAAGCTGCTGGGTGCGCAGGTTGTGGCCGTCGAGGCTGGATCTCAGACTCTCCGCGATGCAGTCAATGAGGCCATGCGTGCCTGGGTTGTTAACCTTGACACGACGCACTACGTTGTGGGATCTGCGATTGGACCTCACCCGTTCCCGACAATTGTGCGTACTTTCCAGTCGATTATTGGACGTGAGACCAAGGAGCAGATGCAGGAGAAACGCGGCAAGCTTCCTGACGCTGTAGTTGCGTGTGTTGGTGGTGGAAGTAACGCGGTAGGCATGTTCTACCCATTCTCCAAGGACCCTTCGGTCAAGCTTCTGGGTGTCGAAGCTGGTGGAGATGGCGTTGAGACGGGACGGCACAGCGCGACGCTTTCTGCGGGAACAAAGGGTGTTCTTCACGGAGTGCGAACCTACGTTATCCAGAACAACGATGGACAGATCCTCGAGACACACTCTGTGTCTGCTGGTCTCGATTACCCCGGAGTTGGGCCCGAGTTGGCCAGCTGGAAGGACAGTGACCGGGCAAAGTTCATTGCATGCAATGATGCTGAGGCTTTTATTGGTTTCAGGCTCCTGTCGCAGCTGGAGGGCATCATCCCCGCGCTAGAGACGTCTCATGCTATCTACGGAGCGGTTGAGCTGGCGAAGACGATGAACAAGGACCAGGACCTTGTTATCTGCGTGTCTGGACGCGGTGACAAGGACGTGCAGAGCGTTGCTGAAGAGCTGCCCAAGCTAGGACCCAAGATTGGCTGGGACCTCCGATGTAAGTTGAGCGTGAATGGCAGGTTTGAGATGACGTGGGCTAACAGCGAATCTAGTCTAAGCGGTCAGATGAGTGCGAAGAAGGACTTGGGACATGTACATGGATGCATGGATGTAGCATACAGATATGAACGAAGCAAAGCCAAGCTTGCTGTGTAGTCGTTGTACTGTGTATGCATGCGCATGAGGTGTGGGCACGTGAGACGGCAGGCGCTGTCTAATCAGCAGTAGGCCCAAAGTCACGTGTTGGCGTGTGATTGGCGGGTGTGGATGGTGGCGGCGACCAAGGCTGCTGCGGGTGAATGCCGGCATTGGCTAGCTGGATCCGATACAGGGCTGAGGGTTCCTACCGACATAGCACACTCAAAGCCACCCCCATGTGGGATGGAGGCCCGCGTGACGATTCATGTGTATGTATAGGCACTGCTGGCAACCCTCCATCTCGCCTGTCCCATCGGTGAGGGTGTGGCAGCGGCGGCGGAGGGCCAAGGGGAGCCAATCGAAGGCCCACATGGCCGTGCTTGGCCGCCTCACAGTTCGCGGTGACGACAACGCACCCACTTCCAAATCCCCCCGAGCAACCTCATCCATGCCGTGTTCCAGATGCCGCAGCCCACATCACATGGTCTGCCACTTCTCCGCTCGCCTACTTGCATTCGCTGCCCCATTAGCCCGCTTGCTGCCTTAGCCTCCACAACAACCCGCCCACCGTGGACGCCCTTCCCTCCCCATTCCGTGACGGTGCGCCCGACCAGGCCTTTGAGCTTCAGGACCTCGCAGCCCCTACCCACCCCCTCCAGCCCCGACAGCACCACAGCCCCAGGAGAGAGCAGAAGCGACGCCAGAAGCTCGAGCAGCTTCGCGAGGCCGATGACATGAAGTTCTCGCACAGCTTGCAGTTTAATGCCGTGCCCGACTGGAGCAACCACTACATTGCATACAGCAATCTCAAGAAGCAGTACGTTCTGGCCTGCAACACCGACATGCCGCGAGCATTCAGGCTAACCGGCGCCCGCCCATAGGATATACAGCCTCGAGACCCAGATCAACCAGAGAAATGCGCACCTCGACGCCGAATCGTCACCCCTGCTGAACGGGGATGCCGCCGACCCCGACAAGGTCTTTACCAATGCCCTCGACGTCGAACTCGAGCGTGTCACGTCCTTTTACAAGCTCAAGGAAAATGAAATCTACGAGGAAATGAGTGCACTGCTCGAGGACGAGGAATCGTTTGAACACCACCAGGCCGAGTACAATGAGGAAAACGAAAACGCCCCGCCAGGAAAGAAGATGCGCAGTGGCAGTATTTTCAAGTCGATTGGATTCCAGCGCCCGCGCGCAATGAGCGGCACAAGCGGTCACTCGACAGACCACGGCCCCGACGACGACTCGGATGAAGACATGGATGAGACATCGCGGCTACGTAAGAAGAGCCCGGATGGCCAGCGCCGACGTCGGCGGACCAACGAGGAGGACATGGCGACCTCGCATGCTTCCTCGCGACGGTTGAATAGCGTTGCCTTCGAAGACTACCACGACATGGCCTTTTCCGCACTGTACGAAGAGGGCGTATCATTGAAGAAGCGCACTGTCAGCGTATACGTTTTACTTTGCGAGTTGCGATCCTTCATTCAGCTCAACAAGACAGGATTTGAAAAGGTTCTGAAAAAGTACGACAAGATATTGGACCGAAAACTCAAAAAGACGTACCTGACCAAGTACGTCTATCCCGCCTATCCCTTCCAGCAAAGCACCATGGACGAGCTGTCACGCAACCTCGAGCGCATAGAAGCGGCGTATGCCAAGATTGGTACAAAGGGCGACATAGCAGAGGCCAAGCGCGAGCTAAGACTACATCTCCGAGAGCACGTTGTTTGGGAGCGAAATACGGTTTGGAGGGAAATGATTGGCATTGAGCGCAAGGCGCAGGCAGCCAACATTGGAATCACCCAGACCTTGCTGGGCCGCGAAACTACCGGTGGTAGAGTGCGGCGGCAGGGCGACGACGACGAATCAGACATGAAGGAGGTGGACACGCCAATTGGAAGATACAGATGTCCCCAATGGCTTATTAGCAAGGCTTTCTGGATGCTCCTTACATGCATTGCCATTTTTGTAGTGCTGTTGGTAGTACCAATCATGGAAAAGCCTGAGCAGCAGAATTGCCTGGCCATGGTTGTCTTTGTTAGCTTGCTCTGGGCGACGGAGGTATGTTGAACCGAAGTCTGGGCTAGTCGAGCTTGCGCTAACGAGAATAGGCGATTCCTCTGTTTGTCACATCGCTTCTAGTGCCATTCCTGGCCGTCACCCTCAACGTTGTTCGAAGCGATGTCGAGCCCCATCGCCGGCTCGACTCCAAGCAGGCTGCTTCATATGTCTTTTCGGCCATGTGGACGCCGGTAATCATGCTCCTGCTCGGTGGTTTTACTATTGCTGCTGCGCTTTCCAAGTACAACATTGCTAAGATGATGGCCACTCTTGTGCTTAGCAAGGCAGGCACCAAGCCAAGAACCGTCTTGCTGGTCAACATGTTTGTTGCCATGTTTGCCAGTATGTGGATTAGCAATGTAGCAGCACCTGTGCTGTGCTTCTCCATTATCCAGGTATGCTCTTCGACTGGACTGGAATTTCCATGATGCCAAGCTAACATTCGTCAGCCCATTCTTCGCAATCTTCCCGCTGACTCGGACATGACCAAAGCACTGCTAATGGGAATTGCACTGTCGTCCAACATTGGTGGAGCTGCATCTCCCATTGCCTCGCCACAGAACCTGATTGCGCTTCAGAACATGCAGCCCGAACCCTCTTGGGGCGTCTGGTTCTTCGTGGCTCTTCCCGTATGCATCATCTCCATCTTGCTCATCTGGGTGCTTCTCCTTGTCACCTTCCAGCCCGGAAAAGGTACCAGCATTGTGCCTATCCGCCCGCTCAAGGACAAGTTTACCGGTGTCCAGTACTTCATCAGCATCGTCACTATTGTAACCATTGCCCTCTGGTGCGTGAGCCACCAGCTCGAATTCATGTTTGGCGACATGGGCGTCGTAGCCATTATCCCGATTGTGCTCTTCTTCGGCACGGGAATCCTCACCAAAGAAGACTTTAATAATTTCCTCTGGACCATCATCATCCTCGCTGCGGGAGGTCTGTCACTCGGTAAAGCAGTCAATTCGTCTGGTCTCCTACACACAATTGCCGAGTCCATCACGGCTGGTGTCGAGGGCATGAGTCTGTACGGTGTCCTTGTTGTGTTCTGCGCTTTGATCTTGGTCGTAGCGACGTTTATCAGTCATACTGTCGCAGCGCTTATTGTGCTGCCGCTGGTGCAGCAGGTGGGACAGCAGATGGCGGAGCCGCACCCCAACTTGCTTGTCATGGGCGCCGTCCTGATGGCGAGTGGAGCCATGGGATTGCCTACTAGCGGGTTCCCCAATATGAGTAAGTTTTTTGAGATTTCTGTCATCTGGAAAAAAAATTATTAGATCAAATGCTGACTGAGTTGAATTAGCTGCTATTATGATGGAAGACTCTCGGACGGGTCAGCGGTATCTTGCCGTCAAGCACTTTTTGACTCGCGGTGTACCTGCTTCCATCATGACGTTTGTCGTGATAGTCACGGTGGGTTATGGTCTTATGCTTGCTGTAGGATTTTAAAAAGACACGGGCTATCAGCGCTGTTTCCCATTTTATTAGTTGTCGTGTTCTTTTTTCCTCGAAAGAGATGAGTTGTTTTGCAGAGCACCTTGAGCGTGTGTGGCATTTACCCGTTTTCGCTTTCGTCATGCATGTTTTCTTTTCTTTTCTTTTTTTTCCCCCACAGATGCTGGGGCCTATATTTTTGCCGCTGCTTTGCATTCTTCTGGGGGGGGCAAAAAAAGGGAGGTGGGGAGGAGGTGGGCTGTTCTGACTGGTGCTATATTTAGACGGAAATTTATGAGTTAGATGAATTTACACACACACACACACACACACACACACACACACACACACTCAGAGAAAAAAAACCAACTTTTTGAAGTTTGTATGTTGCGTAAAGCAGTTTTTTCTTTCTAAATTTTTCTTACCACGTGAAAAAAAGTACTTATCATGTTAAACAATGAATCGTGAACAAAACAAACTTACCAGAACCCAAACGCTTCCTTCTCTCTTCTTACTGATGCTCAACCTTGACGACCTTGAGCATCTTGAAGCCCTCTTCCTTCGAGGACTCCTCCTTCTTCTTACCCGCCTTGCTCTTAGTCTTTATAGACTTGGCCTTCATCTTCAGGGCGTCACTGACGCGCTTGCTGCTCTTCTTGAGCACAATGACGGGGTTCCGCGCGTCCTTTTTGGCCTGTTTGGCCGCGGCGAGGTCGTCCATGGTTGTTAGATGCGTGGATAGCAAAAAGGCATCGAAAGTGTTGGTGGAAATTGCCCGGGAGTTGCCCTCGGTGTTGGTGATGGTGATGGAGGGAGTGGTGGCGTTTGAGGAAGACATTGTGGGGAGTTTTCGCTTTGGTGTGGGGTCAGTGGTTGTACTTTAGTGAGCTAGGTTGGTTATTGTGTTGATGAGTAGTGTTGGTGAGTAGAGTGGTTTGATGAATATAAGATTGAAATAGACAAGAAAGTTGATTTATATATATCCGTTTTCATGGTACTGTGTGTTGATGATGTCTGGAGTATCGTGTGTATTAGCAGCGACCGTTGTACTTGTACGGTGAAATGTGTGGCGTAAGGGTTATATTGGGGATGGTCATGAAAGCATTGTGAATTCATCATGTCTGCAGTGTATTTGGGTGTTGTTGGTAGGATGATGGCCTGTATAACAGTTTTGATGGGTGAATCCAAAGCATAGGAAAATACTTTACGAAGATGCGAGTATTTATTACTGATTAGAATAAATCACTAGGGAGAAGATATCGGTTGCAGTCATGTCTTAGCATGAGTTTCGAAAAATGAGATCCCGAGTGAAACATGCTTCTTGACATGCCTCAGCATCAGAATGTCTCACGCTCCCCTGGACCACTCATTCTCCACAGACGGCTGCCTGTCGCGTCCAATCTGCGCGGGAAAAACATGGTCAGTGTGACGAATACTGTCTTCAATGGCACGTCCAGGAGTCTGCTGGTCGTCATCCTCAGCCTCTTCCTCGATGCGATCTGAGTAGCGATTGTAGCCAGGAACATAATCAATAGCACGTCGGGAGTCAGCATCACCGCCTTCTTCACCAGCAAGGACGCGAGAAAGGCGGTCTGGGACAACTTTATGAAGCCACGAGTCCTTTTGGGTAGGTATGGCGATAATGGCAAACTGCAGGGCAGTGTCAGCACATGCAGCCCCCTTGAGCGAAAATTCTCGTTTGGAGCCACGAACCTGCCAGAGAAAGACCATGCCCACAACAGTCATGAGTAAGCCGGCAATCTTTTGCTCCTCAGCTTTCCACGCAACCAGGCATCCGCTGGCTCTACCATGGTACGTGGCTTCGCATGCACGCGAATCATGGGTGCGGTCTGGAAAGGGCCAAGCCATGTCACGTGAGTTTGCCAGGCCGCAGCAACTAAAGGCATCCTGGATCTGTCGAATGGCGGTTGCATCTTTGTGCCTGAAGAGCGTCTGCCAGCGCTCTCGCAGACCGCAGTTTAGGTTGGAGGCGGGAGCGACATGGGTACCTGACAGGGTGATGATGACGGTCGAGTAGATGAAGATGAGCGTGTTGGCGATGATGACGAGCGGGGGCCGCTGAATGTCGCCACGGCCCAGTCGCTGGCGGCGCTCGCGGCGACGGGTCAGGTCATAGGCCAGTTGGAGAAGCAGGCCAGAGACAATGGGAAACGCCGTGGTGAAGCCGGTCAGCGTCTCAGCGATGGGAACGGAACGGGCGTTCGCGCGGGAGGCAGCGTAACTGAGAGTGTTAGCGCTAAGTGGGCTAGCACGGCTGGCTGGCTGGCTGGCGAGGGATTGAAAAGCGATACTTACCCAGCAAGCGCAGTCGCAATAACGAGATACTGCGGGGCATAGGGTTAGCAGGGTGCAAATAACACGTGGGTGGGGTCTTAGTGGCAGTCTGGGCCGGCTTACCAGGACACTTAGGCATGTGACGATTTGCTTCTTGGTGTATGTCATGCTGGAGCGGGTGGGTTAGTTCGGGCTGCTAGTGTGGATATGACGAGAGAAACGGGTGGATGGGGTGTTTTGAGCGTATGTGAGAGATGGCAGGAGGGTGGGGGGAGAGAGAGAGAGGGAGGGAGAGGCACATGTTACGGCACAGGCAGAGGGCGGGCTATAGGCAAACGGCGGTTGAGGCCCATGGTTGCACAAGACCAGGGCATGATGCAACGCCTTTGCAGTGTCGGCGTGGTTGGTCCATGTCAGGATGATGTTGGTAGTCTAGAATGCGTGGTGGATGCGTATATGCAGCCGGCCAGGCACCTCACGTCCGCGGACGGGGCAGGCTGGGCTGGCCACGACACAAGACGAGAGGCCACGCAGACACGGTCGACGGTTACTGTGCGATGACGCAGCAAGCGAGCTGCAGCAGGAGGGCCCAGTGCTCTGAACGCAGGACGGCGTGCTGGAGGGCGGCGTATCACCCTCGGCCAGGTGGTGAGAGCAAGTGAATGGTGGTGTGCGGGAACAGCGGGGCGCACACGAGGGGACGGCGTGTGATTGGCGGGCGGGCGGCTAGTGCGCGGTTGGCCGTGCCTGTGTCTTCTCGATCTCTCGATCCAAAACCTTTTTGCTCTGCGACGTCATGCCATGTTGCCCATCGTACACACCATCCAGTGGGGCCTTTTGTGGACATCTCCCGAGTCTCTCCAGTTGCCAGCATTCCCCAGCCCCAGATTCGACCGTTTGCGTCCCGCCAAACTGCCGGCTCCCTGCCCCCTCGTCCGACTGGCTGCAGGCAATCTGACGGACTGACGGACTGGCGGATGGCGGATGGCGGACGGCACTCTGCTCCCACATGCACATACGCAGCTGCTCCCTCCTGCATCCACACCCGTGCAAATGGCCGTCATCCAGCCTGTCCGTATTCATGGATGCCCGTGGCCAGTGCTTGTTTTGCAGTCTGCAAACCCCGGCCGGCCTGATTTATCCCCACCTAGTGTTATTCTCATGTGTGTGTGTGTGTGTGTGATGCCAGCCTTCAAATGCCAGCCGGGCCCCTTTGCTGCTTTGCTTTGCTTTGTTTTCGACTAATTCACTCCCCTAGTCTGACCCGACTTGACTTCAGCTCGGCACTCACAACCAACTGCCCGCTGGTGACACCTGCTCGTCATGCTTCTCTTCTCCGCCCCACCATGCGACTCTCTGCTGCCTCGCGGCCCAGGAAAACAAACGACCATCATCTCTAAGCGACTCGCCCTCCCTTTTTGGTCCACCACACCTGCCTCCATTCCTCTCCTGCCGCGCACCCCCAAAAAGAAAGCCTCGCGCCCACCACCACCACGGAGAGGGAAACAGTCTGCCCTCCAAACTAAACCCTCCCAAATGTCCCATCATGCAGACTCGCCGCGATCCTCGACTTTTGCGCCCACCTTGGGCAGCATTCCAGAAGTCTTCGAGTACGACCCTCTGGACGCTCGGCACCGCCCAGTCTCGCCCAATGACGTCCCAGACACCCCTGACGCATTCTTGCCAGAGGCCTCAATCGCAAGCCCACCCGCTCTCACCCGCGCCACTTCATGGCCCGCAATCATCCAGGCCCCTTCTCGAAGAGTGGCTTCCTCGCTTGCTGTTTCAAAAGCTCTCCGCAGGATTCTCGAGGCCGACCGAGCCCGAAGAAGGCGCATCATGAAAGCCTACCTAAAGGCAATTGTTTTTCTCAAGTACCTCTGGCATGCCAATGAACGCTACGGACATGTCATGGCCTCAACCGGCATGTACATGCAGCGGTGACAGTTCTCAGCAAAAGTCGGTTTCACAGGCGTTATCAGGCACAAGTTTCAGGGTTATGGGCGCAAAACTACACGACTCCATCACGATTGTACACGATCAAACGGTTTAATCAATCACTGCTGCCAAGGGCGCACGACTATAGGCATTTTGCAGCTTGAAGCTCAGAGTGCTATAGATTGCGATTACGCAGTGTATGGAAAAGGCGCCTTGTTATTTTTCTTTAAATACCCATGTTGTGAATCTATTCCCTACTCTTACTGTAATTCACTATTCGACTTTTTGCACCATTATCAGTATCGTCAAACTAACGGTGTATATTGCACACCCAACTCTGCATCCTATCCACAAACAAAATCAGTATGCACTTCGCGGTTGGACGGGATCCAGCGAATTTAAATGTGCGTTTAGAGAGAAAACTAGAAATTTGCTAGCATACAAATTATCGCAAATAGCCGACTACGAATTGCCCGGCATTCCTGCGGTATTTCAATTACCCTATTCCCGATTGGCTGCCGGCTATAACCAGTGGTAATCGCGCGAGTCATGCAACGTCTGCTTCCATCCCCACCCTTTGTAATACTCCACACATCACCATCTGAAGTTTCACCCCGTACAGTTTGGTTTGTGGGTACAATGAGAAACTCAAGCATCTCCAGCTATTGTACATCGACGGATTTTTTTCATTTTGTTGCCCTCAAATGTGGGCAAGAATGATTCTCAATGACCCGTTTTCACAGCTAGTCCTACGACCCGAATCTGATGTAGCCGAGGATCAGCTTGCCGCCCAGAGGGGTAGGTCGACATGATATACGACTCCCGAAATTCATGCTGCCCACCAGGTTCCCAGAAATCCTCTCACGATGCGGGCGTGTGTGCGAACTCCATGGCGCTCCCTCTCCAATCTTCCCTTTTCAAAACATCTCTACCCAGCACAACGAAGACGTCTCGCTTCAGCCAATGGCCCAAGTATCAAGCACATAACAGTTATTGACCATCACTACGAGTAATGACGCCCTCTTCGCTCCTCGTGTCGCCCTGGCCACTACTAACAACTCCAAAGTGCAATCGTCATCGGAGCAGGAGGAGCAGGTCTCCGCGCAGCCCTAGGTCTCACCGAAGCCGGTCTCAAAACCGCATGTGTATCCAAGCTATTCCCCACCCGCTCCCACACCGTCGCCGCCCAAGGCGGCATCAACGCCGCCCTCGCAAACATGCACGAAGACGACTGGCGCTGGCACATGTTTGACACCGTCAAAGGCTCCGACTGGCTCGGCGACCAAGACGCCATACACTACATGACGCGCGAAGCCGTCCCTGCAGTCGTCGAACTGGAAAACTACGGTATGCCCTTTAGCCGCACCGAGCAAGGTACTATCTACCAACGGCCCCTAGGTGGTCAGACTCTCAACTATGGAAAAGGCGGTCAGGCGTATCGGACTGCTTGTGTGGCCGACCGCACGGGGCATGCTATGCTTCATACGTTGTATGGACAGAGTTTGAAGCGGGGGGTGCAGTTTTTTATTGAGTGGTTTGCGCTGGATTTGATGATGGTGGAGGGGAAATGTGTGGGTGTTACGGCTATGAATATGGAGGATGGGACGTGTCATAGGATGTTTGCTAAGAATACAGTATTGGCTACTGGAGGTATACTCTCACCTAATTCACCCCTTCCTTTTATTCATTCATGAGTACTGACGGCAATTGGAGGCTACGGGCGAGCATACTTTAGTGCCACAAGCGCCCATACAAGTACCGGAGATGGTAGTGCAATGGCTGCCAGAGCTGGCCTACCACTCCAGGACATGGAGTTTGTCCAATTCCACCCAACTGGTATCTATGGTGCAGGTGTATGTATGATTAATTTGGCGTCACGGGTATGAAATACTGAAATTGTTTTGTAGGTATTGATCACAGAAGGCGCCCGTGGTGAAGGCGGCTATCTCCTCAACTCTGAAGGCGAAGCATTCATGCAAAACTATGCCCCCGTCTCAAGGAACCTCGCATCCCGCGATGTGGTTAGCCGAAGTATGAATCTGGAAATACTCAAAGGCCGTGGGTGTGGACCCAAAAAAGATCATATTGACTTGCAGCTCATGCACCTTCCAAAGCACATTATTCAGGAGCGCTTGCCAGGCATAGCGGAAACAGCGGCAATATTTGCTGGCATAGACGTAACTAGACAATGCATCCCGGTGATTCCAACAGTTCACTACTGTATGGGCGGAATACCAACAAACTACCATGGCCAGGTTTTGGATGTAGACCGCCAGAGTGGGAAAGAACGTATTGTGGATGGCCTGTATGCAGCAGGTGAAGCAGCTTGCGTCAGTGTCCACGGTGCAAACCGATTGGGTGCTAACTCTCTCCTCGACATTGTTGTTTTCGTTCGTACACCCAACAAATGGATTTTCTGTATCCACCGTACATTTTACTGACATACCCATACAGGGCCGAGCAGCTGCACTCCACATTTCGTCACACCACTCCCCCGCAACACCGCATGAACCAACCTCGGAAACCATTGGCCTCGACGCCATCCAAGAACTAACTTCCTTCCTCACACATTCCAACGGGTCGACTCCCACTTCTGCCCTGAGAAGCAAAATGCAATCAACTATGCAATCAACTACAGCCGTCTTCCGCACCCACGACACTCTTGCCGAGGGCCACGCTCAACTCCACTCCCTCGAGAACCAATTCGCCACAGACCTTCGTGTGACAGACAAATCCCTAATTTGGAACTCCGACCTCATCGAGACACTAGAGCTGCGTAACCTACTCACCAACGCCTCGCAGACGAGTACAGCAGCGTTGAAGCGGACGGAGAGCCGAGGTGCACATGCACGAGATGACTTCAAAGAGAGAGACGATGAAAAGTGGATGAAGCATAGTCTTACGTGGCAGCATGCCATAGGTAAGGAGGTCGAGTTTGGAACAAGGGAGGTGGTCATGAAAACTTTGGACGAGAACGAGGTAGCCAGTGTACCACCTACAAAGCGATACTATTAGGTATGGGCGCGTTCACCTTTTTCTTTTCACTGAGATGTACACAGCTATATTAGGTATAAAGCAAAATAGTTAGTACCATCCCGCCCCAATATAATGCCCAGTCTTCCAGCTTTTGCGCTCGCGGTGTGAGCCATTTACCCGTGTGAGCTTTAGGCAACAGTAGCTGTGACTGTAGGGGGATAGGCTTGGCATGAGTTGCTGTAGTTGCTGTGTTTCGAATGTTTCATGGCTGAGTCTCCTTGGCCTGCACAACCGCAGTTCAAAAGCGATCGAATGGACTACAATGATCGCGTGAGCGCGAATGTAGATGTATATTTCCCTTTCCGCTTCACTCCTCATCCTTTATCTTAGAAAATTTCTTTTTTACACTTGTACCTCCAGTATGCACAGGACGAGGAATGATTGTTGCATGTTGTCCCAAAAAGAGCGCAGTGCAACTTTGCATGTTTATGGCGTTATTTCTTTTCGTGTACCGTTTGCAGAAACAAGTCTGATGAAGCGTGTGCATCTGAGTTTCATGTTGAACAAGGAGAATGATAAGAAGAAGGAAAAAAAAAAGGTGTCTGTTCAAGATATCTAATCTCTACCTATAGAATATCCATGTGGAGATAAGCGTTCCAAACATCATAATTCCTGTTGGCATGTGGCCTTGATCAACCATAAGGAATGCTGCTGCGATAAATACCACGTTTATTTTCCTCATACCTATATCCGAATGATTGAGTAGATCTGCTGGAATTACTTCCGGTTCTTGCCCGAATCCCGAATAGACATCTGGTTGCGGCTCAGGGGGGTCATTCCATCTAATCTGGCTACGTCTTTTCACACCCTGGAAGTATTCATACCAGCTCTCGACAGAGATAACTTTTGACAACTTCTCGCAGAATATTTCGCAGTTGTTGGACCGAAGATGGTATGGTCCCTGTGAGTTGACTACTTGATGTGCTGTGGAAATTACATTCAGTAATCTGGGCTTCTGACCTTTTCACCTTGCAGCAAACATACCTGAATCCAGAACTTCTGGGTAGCCTAAATGTGTGAAACCAGTGGCCTCGAACTTTGAGTTTTCGTCATACTCCCAGATGCTGTTCTGCTCTTTCAAACTTCCATGATTCGCGTCCCCCATGGTGAACCCGTAACAATGCCCAGAGAAGGTTCTGCTCGCCTGGTCTCGTTCCAGGACCACTAGCCGAGCATGCGCAAAACCGGATGCGTATGTTAGCATCCTATATATACAACCTTGACCATAGGTTACGCTGTGATTGTTCACGATTGTTTTCTTGACCGCACCCCTTGACATACGTTCCCGCTGCGCTATCGGGTCTGCCTCTTCATCCGTACATAGAATGTCTGCGATACAGTCTTTCACGCGAACTTTTGCCGCTTCCAGAGGTGGACGGCCTGGTGGCGCAGGCTGCGCCTGCTCCCGTATTCTGTTCTTCAGCCACTCGTCTTTAAGTTTCTCTACGCCTCTGTAATTCTTCTGGTATTCGAACACCACCAACCTGTGTCTGTGTGGCCATGAGGGAAGTTCGTTGAACAATGCTTCTAATTTCGGCTGTGGATGTGACATTTTGCGGTGCGCTCAGCCCTGTGACGCAAAGAAATTTTGCTGCAATAGAAACGTCCATTGGGGTCGGGCCGCGTCCAATATATGGATTTTCACCGAGCCTGAGTGAACTGGTGCCCAAGGCTGATGCTGGAAGGCCTAGAGCTGTGGCTGCATGACTTCGGGCTGTATTGTCCAGAAGGCAAAGTCTGCCTCATTTGCTCGACCGATAATGACGACCATTGCTATTCTGCAGGTGGATTATGTCTCAGTATTAACCGAAGGTTCAGGCGTTGCTGGATACTCCCGTCCAATAGTCATACAACACGAGCTCTGATGCAAAAGCCAGGCGTGAAATCATGTTATTGCCCTCGTTGCCTAATTCTCAGCCTTTGCCTTGCGAAAGGCAAGAAACGACCCCAACGGGCAAAGATCTGAACTCCCGATTACCAATCATCCATTTCCGATAGAGCATCCTGCATAGGGCCAAGGTGATGATCGCAATCATGACTTCATTATCTACACATCCATGTTACGCCTCGACCAACGCTGTCACAGCCTTTTTTTGTCGATGATCCAATTTCTCCTCCATCCTGTAGCCACTGACACTTTTCTCAACACCATAATGTTGAATGCTTGCTATTCCAGCCTCGATATAGAAGCTGCGCAGTTTCGTACCTTTGCTCTCTTACCGGGGTACGAGTTGGACCCCATTTGTTGCACGTTCTCAACTCACTCGCTACACGAGAACCCCGCATACGAAACCATCTCTTATGCGTGGGGGGATGCGCGTGACACGGAAGGCATCTTCGTTGACAAAGCAAAATTGGAAATCCCGCGAAGCCTTGCAACATGCCTAAGGCATCTGCGCAACGCATCGGATGCCATGATATTGTGGGCAGACGCCATTTGCATTGATCAAAAGAACAACCAAGAGAAGGCACAGCAGGTCAAAATGATGGGGGATATCTTTCGAAGATGCACCTCGGTTTACATCTGGTTGGGTGTACCTAGACATCCTCTGGACCAGTTTCCGTTCGGTATCATAGAACACTTTGCAGCCGACAAGCATTTTCACCAGTTACCAGGTTTCACAATATCGGGCCCGAATGATACTTGGGAATTCAACGATACCGAAGAATTTCAACGCATGTGGGATTCATTCGCAGATTCAATCTCGAAACCGTGGTGGACGAGATTGTGATGCGTCCAAGAATCAGTCCTACCTCCACAAGCCACTTTTGTGCTCGGACAGTGGCGAATATCCCAATCTACATCACATCTATCCCATAACAACTATGTTCGTCACTGGATTGGATGTTGTGCTAGTCTCTCGGGATTGTTGCCGGTGAAATACAACTTCGTGCCAAATCAAGCCGTCACACATGTATCAAATCTGATAACTCCACCAGAAACACGCAATGTCTCAGACATGGATACAGTTCTCCGATCCTACAGGAACAGACTCTGTCAAGATCCTCGAGATAGAATCTATGGTCTACTTGGCCTCGTTGATCGCAAAGACAGGGCAGGTGTGGAGCCTGATTACTCACTATCTATCCAAGAGGTCTATATCCAGGCCATGGAGACGATCTTGGCCCATGCGGATTGTGACTTGAAGTGTTTTACAGGGTCTGGATTCAATTCGAAGCGACATCAATTGCCATCATGGGTACGAGATTTCTCAACACCGCTCGATTCTATCACTACTAATTTCGAAATGTCCCGACACTATTTGTACAGGCTCTACGACGCAGCACTAGGTACTGATAGTGATCTGAAAGTTCTCAGCCAGTCCATGTTGGTGGGAACCGGGATTCTGGTCGATGAGATCATCCAAGTGAGTATGACATTACAGACAAGAGACTGGCAACCTGTCTGGAAAGTGTTCGACCAATGGCAAAATGTCATGACTTCATCATGGTCTGATTACAGGTACATGTCAAGATCGGACGAGCGCCGTTTCTGGCGTGCGATGATGGGCGATGCTGTTGTGACAGCAGATGGTGCGTGGAACAGACTGTCGGAGCGGACGAATGACGGTTTTGAAGATTGGTGGACTTGCATCGACAAATCATTCAAGGCAAAGGTGGAACCCCCGATCACTGCTCAAATGCATTTGTTGCAGAGTAACATCTACGGCAGAGCATTCTTCCTCACAAAGAAAGGCTATATTGGGCTTGGCCTCCCAAGTACTCTCCCAGGTGACCTTGTCTGGGTCCTTCGAGGAGGAAAGACACCCTTCGTCCTTCGTCGTGCCATGCAAAGAGTTGGAGGCCAAGACATAAGGGACATAACGCAACTGAGTTTTTATTTGATAGGCGATTGCTATCTACAAGACTTTATGGACGGAGAGGCTTTCATGGGCGAAGACACTAGACTTGATGCTGTTCATTTAGTATAGATCTAGCTCCTGGAAGAAGTATCAAATATGTGGATACAGCAGTCCATCACATCACCATTGTGCAACCATCAAATAAATTTGGTAGAGAGCTGCATCTCATACTGTTATCTGGTCTGCATTACGCAACTAGTCCGGATTGCATTATGCATCATTAAGCTTCGCTCTGGGCTCACCTCTGCTACAATTAGCGAACGAATTTGATGTCCTATCCAGAGGGCTCCCCGCATCGACCACGCAGTCCTTGTGCTTATTAAAGAATCGGCCTGTGAGTGTATTCTTGCTGGGAATGCTGACACCGTTGGAATAGCAACTGTATGTTATTCCGGCGATATCCACATCGAAGCCTCATGTGCATCTGCACCACTATGACGCCACCTCAATACAGGAAAGGTTGAAGTTAGATTATGCTTACGGAGGGCGATGTTGAAGGGCTTACTTGGATCGTAGTTGCAATGGTGAGGCAGGATATGGTGAAGTGCAGTTTCATCGTGAGAAATATGAAGTCGGTATATTTGTTCAAGGAAATAGGCAAGGACAAAGTCAATATAGAAAGCCGCTTTTAGTGCAATGATAGCCGCGTTGAATGAGATCGATACTATAAGAGCAGCTCAGAGGTGTCTGTGTATTTGTACTTGTCCGTTTGCAAAGGAGAAAAAAAAAAGCGGAACTGCTATAGCATAGTTCAAGACTCTGACTCCGACTCAAGCTGATTCCGTGTCATGAGTATCTATTCCAAACGCTGAACATGGTATTAAGCGACTTCCACAAGAATCTGACTAGACATATATAGAGTATAAGCAGATATCATTACTGTGTACGTGCTCTTGGTGCGACAGGAAAGCCGGCTGCTGACCCTAGCGATCTACAGAATTCGTTCATCATCCTGACACTCCTACTCTTACTGCTTGATATTTTCCCCACTTCTTCCTGCCATACGGGCGATGTTCTTGTGATATTTCAAGACGTGTGCTAATGCACGGTGTCGAAATCCTTGGCGGTCTTCTGCCGTGTTGTTGCATTGCGCAGGGTCGAATTCAAGGGAGCGACGGCCCGCACGAGTACATTAAGCTATCCAGGTACTAAGTGCATGCTAACACTCTGACAGGCCGATTTTCAGTGCATATCTGACCATAGTGAACAGAACGAAGCTTGGAAGAGCGTCGGACGGGACAAGTCCCCATGGTTTGTCCTCAGGTACGCGACTAGTCGGCACCTCGTCGGCGGCGGCGCCTACAGCCTCAAATACAGTTAAGGTATTGTGATCGACATCGAGGTGATCCTTCACCGTGATGCACTGGCCTCCGATTTTCTCATCCAGATCCATAAACTACAATTTTTCTAGCGTCTCGATAGACTTCTAGTCGACAATGTTGGTAGTGGTTATATGAACGCATCTGCCAGTTCTTGCCAGAGCTGTTAGCGTTGTGGAGGCGACTGATATCGATTGCATGGTATTAGTATTGGCCCAAGTCTCGGTGCGGTTTATCTTTATCGGTCTTCTTCACTTGGAATTAGCAGACCATGATAACATTGCACATATGGAATCAGTCACGGTCAGAGTGAAAGCATCCCCCCGCATGACCAATCTTGACTGTATTAACCCTTGTCTGTCGACGTCCGAATCCCTCTCGAAGACAACTAAAACACGCATTTTGCCGGTAAGAAAAGCACTGTTTGTCGAAATCCTCCTTCTGACTACAGGAATTCAAACAGATAGGGCTCTCGAGGAATTTCAAGACCTTTCTCTTCCACCATGTCATCCCTGTAACAGTCTCCCAGCAGTTCATACTGTTGTCCAACAGGTCTTACCGCAAATGGAACAGCACATCCCGCGAGAAGACATATACGATCAGTCGGCTTGGTTTCTTTAGGAACCCAAGCCAGATGCCTTTTCTTTGTAACACAGAATTTCCGGCCAGCTGATAGCTCGGAAAACCTGCTTTCGTACACCTCTCCATGACAGCTTGGTTCACTGTAACTTTGCAGGAAGCTTGGGTGATAGCGTGCTTTTCCTGTTAAGCTTTCAAACTTCCTGTACAGTGCCTGGAACCCCTTCATGTAGTCTTTATCTGGTGTAACGGTTTTTTCAAGATGCACACCAAACGCCATTGCACGGCAAAATCTTCCAGAATCGACTTTCTCAACTGAACGTAGAGAAATCGACATAGCTTCTATATAACACTGATACATCCAATCCAACATGTATTTGGCCGTTTTCTGGTTGTCTGAGTCTTTGCCGGCTATCGTTTGCGAGAGCTGATCCATATATGGCGTTGAATCGATGATTATTTCAGGTTCGTCCCAGAAAATCCCTGATATAGACAACGTCTGGACAATTAGCTCTTTTGTGCAGGAAGCTCGAGAGGAAACTCACTTTGTCTTTGACAATAGCATGATCATAAGGATACGTGAAAGTTGCAGTGCCTGTGTAGTAGCGTGTCAAGGGAACAAACCAGAATCCAATAGGCTTCCAGTCCGGCACCCAGCTCGGTAAATTCGATGATTGTGGGGAGCGAAATTTGCAAGCTAAAAACCTGCTGACTCGGCGCATGTCATTTGTATGAACCCGGTGCGTTGATGTGAGAACAGTGTTTCCAGTCGATGTGATCCTAGGAACTGGTATGCTGAGGGCCTTTATTGCAATTTCTGTATAGACTGTCGCTTCATCCTTACGGTAATCGATCATGTCCATGTTTACTGCCGTTTGTATCGACAAGAGTGCGAAAACTCGGTCTCGAGTATCTGTGGCTTCCAGTTGCTGGCTCCAGCACCATAGATCGAAGATACGAATATCATCAGCAAATTGATATATTCTTAAAGCTTGAAACCTCAATATGTATTTTTCGATCTCATGAGCGCCCGTACTGTGCCCCAAAACAGCTTCTCTGATCGCAACACACACTCCTGTGGCGTATCCGCAATGCACTAGCAGTTTAGATGAAATCTCCAGTGCACCAGACATGAACACGGATTCCTTCGCATTCAAGAACTCTTGTACAATCCAAGCACGTCTAAACCATGGGCGACAACACAGGGAGGCCCATCCATACCAACGCTGATCAAAGTAAGAAAGGCCCATCTCCTTTAGAGTCTTTACTCTGTTTCGTTCCAGATCCAGACGTTTCGGATACCGCTTGAAGAATTCTCTCATCAGATTGACTGCATCTTCATCGTAGCGTCCCTGTTCTCCAAGCCAGAATATGACCTTTGCGGCGCGCTTGTAGATGTCTCTCATCATAGCCACTTGGAAGCTCTTCTCTTCTTCGTCATTTTGGTTGATGCAGATAGCGTCTACCCACAGTAGACAATCAAACCGCTGTTTCTTTAGTTGTGATAATACGCCCCAAAGGTTACGTGTAATCAGCTTCTTATGCCCATTGCATGTGATCTTGCGTTGCGACGTTGCATCGCCCCAGACATATGAGAGTGCAGTGAATTGCGTTTTTGAGTCGAGATCGAAAGTTTCGAGAGTGATCTGAATGCCTTTTTTACCGGTTCCTGATTTGATACGCAATAAGCGAATGGCTCGTCGGTGCGGGAGCAGCGAGTATAACTTGGCGTCTGGCATTTTGAAGTTGTCTCTATTCGTTTTGTGCATATATTCTCGAAGGAAAACACGAGACCACAGCTCCAGGGGATGACCGGCTATTTAAATCAGTTCAGCCAGGCAGCCGGTGAACTGACCGGTTATCACGTAGGCGAAGTGGTGTTCCACCGCGTGACGAAATCTGGCGCCTGATTCGCCAAGATCGCTTTTTAGTAAGGTGATTGACTAGGGTTAGAAGAAGCAATGAAGTTGGTGGAGAAAGGTGTAGGAAACTGTGGGGGAGGGATACAACGAGTGATAGTGTATGATGCGCTACTCTGGCATCAAGTATCGCGTTGTATAGTAACGCTCGAACATCCATATGACAAAAGAAGAAGAAGAAGAAGCCGATCACGGCACTGAATTCGAATACGCTTGAGCAAACGGTGAAAAAAAAGAACTAGACATCATCCTCAACTTCAGAAACCTGCATTTTGTACGTAAACATACGACTATGATTTGTAGAGACGTCAAGTCCCAAGATCCAAACTCTACATTGGGTCAGCATAGCGGGGTCCATCAACGTAACCCGACCCAAGGCGCTCACCATCTAACCCCGCTTTCGGCGGTACCACTCAAGCATCGGGACGCAAATCCTTCGGGCTTACATTACCTTATCGCCTCATTCTGTAGCATTCGTATAGCACATATACACGTGTTAGTACCAGGCTCGCCCGAACATGGGAGTCTTTATACCAATCGGCTGAGGTTCCGCGCTAGTACGGTGCTTCCACCTACCACGCTCTAGTACACACCCCACGTCCCAAATGTGGGAGCGGGGTCGTGATGTGCGTGATAGACGGTGGGTTGGAGATAAGGGTACTTTGTTTGGAGAATGAGGCACATATCTCCAAGACATGGTTGATCTATTGCTTCTCTATTCTTACCACACTATTTCTTTTCCCGGGTAACAGTAATTAGATCTTATAGCACCTTGCTTGTTGTATAGGGGCAACCATGTTTCGACCGCGACTCAGCGGAAAGGGATTACAATGCGTACACGGCAGGCGAAGCCTCCTCGACAATGAGTTTGGAAGATTCGGAATCCGGCTCAGCTCTACGACTACGCTTCCACGGACGAGAGAGTCGGCGAGACATGCACCAGCTCAGCAACGGGTTCAGTACCCGCTTTCTGTGATGCCGACACACATGTTACTCCGGTCTCTGTTCATTGCGACTATATCATCTAACAGATTTCTTCTGATACCGTCGCTACACCTTTTGTCCTTTTTGTCGAAACCTAATCGGAGTTTCTTATTCAATGTGGATCGAAATCCGGTTTTGAAAGCTGTTTTGAAGAGGACGCTGTATAATCAGTTTTGTGCGGGAGAAACAGAGCAAGAGACGCAAGCTTGTGTCAAGCAGCTGAAGGCTCTGGGGTTCAAGGGTGTCATCTTGACGTACGCGAAGGAAATGGTGTTTGATCATAAAGCAGGCTCTGCGAAGGATGATAGTTTGGAAAAGAGTGTTGATAGAAAGGCCGTGCTGCATGATGCGGATATTGAAGCGTGGAGAGCAGGGACGTTGCGGACGTTGGATTTGATTTCCAAAGGCGATATTCTGGCATTGAAGTTAGTAAATCACTTATTGGAGAGGTGCAAAGAGAGAAAAGCAAGACTAATGTCTGAATAGAACAACAGGCGGCGGGCCAGCCGTCTCCGCAGCGTTCAGTCAAGGCAACCTCCCACCCCCGCAAATGCTCTCAGCCCTTGACGAGCTCGCCACAAAATGCAAGCAACGCGGCATCCAAATCATAATCGACGCCGAGTCTCAGCACTGGCAGCATGGCATCGCCCGCACCACGTTGGAGTTGATGCGGAAATTCAACCGCGACGGCAAAGCAGTCATATACAACACTTACCAAGCCTATCTCAAAGAAACACCCGCCGTAGTCCAGCAACACATGGCCGAAGCCGAGAAAGACGGGTTTACCCTAGGTCTGAAGCTTGTGCGTGGAGCATACATTCTCTCTGATAACCGGGCCTTGATACATGATACAAAGGAGGATACCGATAATGCGTACAACACCATAGCGCAGGGCGCTCTCCGCCAGCGACTCGGTCCTTTTGGAGGGAAAAATCGCCCCTTTCCGTCGGTGAATCTACTCCTTGCATCACACAACCGCGAATCCGTAGTGGCGGCTAGCGCACTGCATCGCCAGCGGGTGGAAGCTGGGCTGCCCACTGTGCCGGTTGCGTATGGCCAGCTACACGGCATGTCGGACGAAGTTAGTTTCTCGCTGCTTGCAGAAAAGGACAAGGGTGGGGTGTCGCCCGAGGTGTTTAAATGCACTACCTGGGGTAGCATGGGCGAGTGTGTAGGGTATTTGCTTCGGCGGGCGGTGGAAAATCGCGATGCAGTGCTTCGGACAAAGGATGAGTTTGCGGCGTTGAGAAAGGAGGCTAGGAGAAGGTTTCTATGGGTGTAGTGTAGAGATAGAGTATAGATACGATGTTTGAATTCTACGAGTTGTGCTGAGAGGCCTCGACCCATTCGTAGTCGTAAGATTGGCTGGAAGAAGACTAGTGTGCATGCATCAATGGTTTATCTTCAGGTGTTGGTTTTTTGACATGACTATATCTTGAGGGACGTGCAGTTGATCAAGACGCTCATGCAAAGTACGAGGGCGTGAATCTAAAGCTCTGTATGTAGTGGCTAGCTCACCCCTCACTAAGTGATCAACTTGGGAAAATGTAGTATTCCCTTCCGAGATAGCGCTAGCTGCAACATTGACATAAAAGACACACAGGACAAGCAATTAAAGTTCAAAAATACTACCAACTTCAAATTATCAAAGACGAATTCAACTCCCGCATTTCTTTTTCCTTGGAAATATCGAGGTGCTCTAGGTCAGCGAAGGAGCAGGGCCAGATACCCTACTACCCACCCACCAATCTCCACCCCAGACTCACGATAACAAAAGACATCATGGCCCACAATCCACGCCCAAATCTCCCACTCCCACACCGCCATCCAACTTGCCCCCTCGACCTCGTCGTCCTCGCCGTCGTTCCCCACCCCAGCTCCTCGAAACAGCCAGATCCCTCTTCGCAGCAATCGGCACCACAGCCCTCGTCCACGAACACCACATGACCGCCACCACGGCCGTCAGCGGCTCCACGCCAGCCCTTCTGGGCCGTCATCGTGGATGCAATGGTGGATGCGGCCGTGGCAAGTGGGGGTTGCCGCGCCGAGTGGCGCAGGAGCAGGTGTATAGGAGTATGGCGGGGAGTGCGGCCATGTTTTTTTGGCGGGTTGGAAGACGGGCGAGGTGAGGGATATGGGGACGAGTCCCGAGGGTTGTACAATTGGAGGCATCATGGTGTTGGAGGAGATGGGGGTGAGGGGCGCTGTGGGGAGGGCGGTGAGGGAGAGTGTTACGATTGCGAGGGAGATGGGGAGGGAGAATCATGGCCAAGGGGGGAGGCATGTTAATGACACGAGGAGGACGGGGGTGTGATGAATGTCATGTTCCAGAACTTGTAAGTAGACAGCTGAGGGCGAAAAAACATCACACAAACACAGCAATAACAAACAAAAAGTTATGCATCATCAGCATCTGATTCAACTACCACTATCTACTCACTAGATGTAGCGCTGCACGTCATCAACCGCCGTAGCGTAAACGCACACTGCACCAAGGGTATTGTGGCGTGTGAGCCAACTTGAAACTCCTTTCCTGCCTGCAATCCGTTTGACCATGCTAAATGCACCCTTTGCTGCAAATCGAGGATATTTCCCACCTGTTGCTCAACTGAGCAAGCTTCCCAGTGATAATTGTTAACGCCAAGATTGATAACATGTAACAAAAGAGATGATAAAAAAAGAAACGCCAACAAGTAAACCTATTAGGTATACTAGAGAGCTAGATAGCTGCAAAATCAAACATGTGTTGTACACCCTTTTGTGCCGTCCCAAAACTAGGAAAACGTACACTGTCGAGTGGTTTAGACGTGGTTAAAGAAAATATACACGGGCGTGTAGAGAGACTGTGTGGATGTGGATGTGAGGGTAAAGGTAAATCAACAAGGGGGGGGCTTGATATTGCCTTGCCCTTTCTTCATTAAGCCTTCTTTTTGGCTTTTCAGGATTCGTAGACGATGTGTCATATTCATAGGATACCAGCCCACATGCCAGGGCCTTGCGGACGATATGCCTGCGCGGCCTCTGTGCTGCAGCATGATCTTTTCTTGCCAAAGTCCTTCTGGACCGGGAGGCGCGAGCAACCCGGCGCGGTGTTCTTAGGGGACTGCAGCCCCTTTGGTTCACTACGCGAGGTAAAGGCGAATGACTGTGCAATCGATCGGTCAGGAAGGACAGTCTTGTGGCGAAGATCAAATGCCGAGCGGGTGGTGTGGAGCATGTGTCGCACGTTTTGCTGGAGATCAACAGATGACCTTCCGCGCTTACGGCTAGCAGGAGCAACAACGGCAGGGCTCGCAACCTTGGCAGGCGAAGAATCCGAATCATCAATGTGGAAGCTATCCAGATCGGGAGAGGACAGGGCCTCGCTCGGGGCGTACTCGTATTGCTCCTTGCACTTGGACAACGTCGGGTACGGCAGTTTTGCGCTGCGGCAGGTCGCCAGTCGGGCCAAATTGGCTTGACTTTGGTTTGGCGCCCAACCGGCGGATGAAACTGACGAGATTGACGAGGCCCGTGAGGAGCGTGAGTTATCCGAGATCATGGACTCTGGAGATGATGATAGAGAACCGTTGGAAGCAGCCAAGGAAGGTCGTCGGCTCGGGAAGTGGTAGGCTTCTAAACCGTTCTTGATGCTTGGGTTGAACTGATCCACACAAGAGCGCGCCAGTGAGGAGCACTGCGCCTGTTGCATTGCTGTGCACATGGACGGACGTCGCAGTCCAAAAGACATGGCACCCGCGACAGGGGTGTTGTTGGCAATTGGCTGCGGTGTCAGCGAGGGCGTGGGCAGAGGACCCAAGCGAGCCATGGACGGCAGGGATGGTGTGCGAACAAGGTCTGGCTTTGGCTCCAAGAAGCGAGGCACCTGGTAGAGAGACGGAGTTGGCGTGCTTTCTTGCGATCCACATCCGTCAAGAGATGGCTGGCGGTAGGGAGACGCGTTCAGCTGTGTCCTCAATGGTGGGCGAACAGGAGCGTTGGAAGCCTTGGGGGTCACTTCAATGATATCCAGCTCAGGTGTCAACATGGGAATGACATCTTTCCAGTGGTTGGGAATGGAAGCTCCGGGTGAAGGAGGGGGGAGGGTAGGAGTATATCGCAAAACGACTTCTTGCCACTTCTCCCATATCGAATCGACAATGTGGAGTTTCCAGTTGACAGCCTCTAGAAAAGCCATTTCGTTGGTGTTGATCTCACAAACCTTGAGGCCCGAGATCTTGCTCCACGCGCGAGCCGAGTAGTTGCGGTCTTGCAGGTACTTTGAAGCGAGGATGAGCGCAGCAAGGAACATGCGACGGCCGCACTGAAGGGCGCGAAGAGAAGCGTCTTCAGGCTGGGACATGGTGAAGTCATGCTTGGGCAGGTGGGGCTTGATGAGAATCAAGTAGTACAGAGCAACCTGGAGCGTAGAGTAGCTGGTGCGTGATCGGCGGAGAGTCTCCTGGATGAACATGCGAAGAGGAAGTACTCCGCGTCCAGAAGCATTCTCACAGCGGCTCTTGGGCTCAGAAAGCTGCCAGATGACCTCTACCATTTGAGTAGCGGAATCTTGAAGGAGGGAAAAAAATCAGCGGAGTGGTCTTTGGGCCATGGATTAAAGTGGGTACTAACCGACGAGGCAATCGACGAAGTTGACCTTGCGATCGGATTGCCGGACGAGCTGGGGTGGAGGTCTTTGGTTGACGTTCGCCGACGACCGACGTGGATTCTGTCGCTGCTCCTGTGGGGCCAAAAACTCTGCGCGCAGAGAAGGGAGCCTCTCCGGCATAGAGTCGCGGCACACTGCATGTTGATACTGAGGAAAAGTGCTTACTCTGCTAAGTTGTTGAAAGGCAGACAGGCTGATGGGGTCGACAGCGGATGTCTGTGCGGCTTGGCTGCGACTCCATTCTTCAGAGTCCCAATTGGAATGGGTTGATCTGGAGCTTGCGCTGGATATCTGTGATGCAGCGTCTGAGAATACTGATGAGGTGGAAGAGGATGCCGAAGAAGAAAGGGGAGCGGCATATGGGTGTGTTTCGGGCAAGAAGCCGTAGTTTGAACGGGGGATATCGAGACTCATTGTTTAAGAAAGTGTGTGTGTGTGTAGACAGGACTGGGACCTGATAAAGGGAAATGACAATAAAGGAAGGAGTGGAGAGGTGTGGCTATGCTTTGTCACTACGTCTTCGAGTGCTGACCGTTAGGTAGACCTGAAGAGGTGGCGAAGAGCGTGATGAGATGGTCGTGGGGTGACCGAGGACTTAACCGATGGGACAAACCGTAAGAGGGCGACCCTGTGTCTTCTGACGTATGTTCTTGAGATCTTGATCCGGAACGCTTAGCACTCGGTGATCACGGATGGGGTGACTGTACGAGTGGTGTGATGGCGGTCTGGAGAGCTCGAGGAGCGTGGAACGTAAGAGGATCGAGGGGTGGTTGACGAGGTCGCAAATGGTAGGAAGATTCGAACAGTGTCAAGTGGTCGAAAAAAGCTGCCAGATGCGTTACCAGAGAAAAAGACTCCAGTCACTGTCAACTGCAGAATCACCGAAACAAGACCGTTGTAGGAGACTGTCCGCGAAGCACTCGGATGTTGCAGCTATTGCACAGCGGGATGGGCGCCGTCGCACGAGCTGAAAGCCTGAGAGGATGCGGGGAAGAAGTCTAGCAAGCGAAGCCTCCGATGAAGGCCTTGTTTCCGAAAGTAGTGGTGAATTCTGAGCGACGAGTGACTGAAGCAGTGTAGGCCGAATAGCACATTGTGGTACTGGAACGCGAAGGGTGAAGTGTTCGAGGATGGTGGCTACCGTGCAGCGGTAACACCAAACTGGAGCGACTTGGCGCGCGCTGGCAGTGGGATGGTGGGGAAGGAGAAGGTCGAAGAGACTGTGTGTGGTTGGTTGGTTGTGTGGTGAGTGTGTGGTGTATTACTATTGGATGGTGGTGTACATGTAAACTGGTGGGAGGTGGTGGTGGGAGGAGCTGAGGTTCTGACGTGTGAGGAAGTGGCGGTCGGAGAGTCGGTAAAGGTGGGAAGGCGCGAACAGCAACGGTGGCGGGGAAGCGGTATCGCGACGCAGGTACGGGACAGATGAAGAGAGAAGAGGGAGGACGGAGAATGCGGCTCTTGGGCCTTTTTCTCTCGTCTGGGGGGCGGGTGAGTAGGAGACGAGTGAGGATGAGTCTATGGGCGGTAGGCTGTAGGCGGCAGTGTGGCGGCGACGGGCGGTCGTGCGGTGACTGCTACCTAGACAAAGGCGGGAGGCGGGTTAGGCGGCAGAGGGCGATGGCGACAGAGAACAGACGACACTGTGGATGGGACAGACCTAGTTCAGGCCCCAGGGCGCGCTGTAGGGAGTCGTGAAGTCCATTTCTGCTGTCTTGATGGGGGAGGACGGGCTGGGCGGCAGTCTGGCGATACTAATAGGAACCCCCGTACCCTCGTCGCAGCGCCGCCCCCGGTCCAGTCATTGCCAGGTCGGGCGCTTTGGCCAGCTTGCCGGTTTGCCACACAGCAGCGCGACCGGGCCAAAGACTCATCGCTCTGGCGCAGGGTTTTTTCTTTGCTTTGCCTCATTGTTGTTCCCACGTGCGCCGAGTGCAGCCCGCCGCCACCTGGGCACACGCCCATGCAGCCCGTCGACGGTGCCTGTCTGCTGTCTCGATGCATGTTGAGAAGGGACGTCGTCTTGTTCTCGCTGCCTTTGCTCGACGCAGCTTCTTGTCCGCATGCAGAGTAGCGAGCATGCACTGCGGGCGCACGAGTCCAACGCAAAGGGGCGTGAGACGCTTCCGCGCATCCATCATCACGCAGCCATCCACTGGCCGCAGTCGCATGGCATGGCCTGCCCAGTGCCGCCATGGCTGGCGCAGCTGGTGCTGGTGCTGGTGCCGGTGCTGCTGCTGCTATTGCTGCTATTGCTGCTATTGCTGCTATTATTGCTGGTTCCAGTCTGCTGTTTGCCGCCCACCGGGCTGGCTCCCTGGCTCCCTGTCTCCCTACACGGCCAAGTGCACGGGAATGCGCTGCAACGCGGCGACGACGAAGGGGGCCAGCTGCTGCGACACACGGCGTCCCCCTTTGGCTGCCACCATGGCCGCGTCTGCTCTCCAACGCTCCGTGCCAGAGTAGCGCGGGACGGCGGTTTCTGACGTGACACCCTCGTCGCTTGCCCTCAGCTGGGTTGAGATGAGGGGACCGGCTGTGGTCGTGTGGCTGCGCCGTCATTGGCCCCATGTGCGCGCGCTAGGCCGCAAGCAGCCTGCTCTGTGCCTTGGACGTGCCGTGCATGGCCTCTGTGTACCGCCGACGCCTCAATGGCTGCTGCGACGTTCGTAATCTCATCATGCGACGATGCAATTCCAGTTCCATGTTCATTTGGCTGCTCCCCCAGCCAAATGCCTTGCCCGCCCCCCATGACGCACACGCACACGCACACGCACACACACACATACACACACAGGTGCAGGCACACACCCACCCACACAGGCAGGCAGGCAGGCACACAGCCCAGCGTTCCTGCCTCTCCGACACTGCCCTCCTCGCTCGGAACGCGACTTGTTCCGGTGTGGGCGGAGCGAGGCCGGATGCAAATACGCTAGCCACCCCCGCTTGTTGCAAACTGCAACACTGCCAGCAGCCCAGCCCAGCGTAGCCCAGCATCGCCCAGCGTAGTGCAGTGAGTGCAGCCCGCCACCAGGCCTCCCCCAGCCATGGATGGCCTCGATCCACGGCTGCGAAAAAAATCATTCCCGCATGTGCACTATCAACACCACGACTACCATCATCGCCATCGCCACGGGCCATCAGCACAAGGAGCCCGTCAGGAGCCCAAGGCGGCCAAATACCGCGACTGTGGCGGTGATCATGACGATGCTGATGGGGTGAGCAAACAAGGCTATGACTCACTGCTGCCTACAACCCGAGCCCTACATATGGCGCCAAGACCATGGTTGGGCAAGCAACAGGCAACGCCCGGCTTGGATGGCTTGGACTCTACACCTCCTCCATCTACTCTACACACTGGCAATGTATCACCTTTTCGTCACCGCATCGGCCCAAGACCACGGCAGACGGCATCCTTTGCACCACCGCGCCCAACGAACCCATCGAGGGTCCATCCATCCTCTCGCCACCACACCCTCCACTGCCCATCTCTCAAGGCCAACCGCCCACCTGCTCCTCTCCTCCAACTGACGCCTCAGCTTCACTGCTTTCCATACAGCCTGAATATCGCCGCTTCCACATTGGTCAGCTGCGTCTGTATTTCTTGCACGCCCCACTTATGATTCCAACGCCAACGTGACTTCTGTCCAGACTAGGAAGGACTTCCATATCCCCCCTGATTAGTCGAGTCAACTCGGCCACCGACCAAGTGTAGTGTACAGTCATTGATGAGTAAAGAAATGCAGGCCCGCCCGTCTCCACCAAACATGTACACGTGGTATGCTCGTTCCTCGGTTGGCTGCTGATCTGATAATGCGAGATGGATGTCTACGCAGATAACGCTGGATTGGACAGACTACGTGAAAAACGCGAAAACTGCAATCTGGCAAGAGCCAAAGAAAAGCCAGATCCGCTATTTTCTGCTCTTGGCATAGAATCCATCGTAATGCTTCTCGCAAGAGCGACTTGGTTCGCCACTTGACTCATGGATCCTCTGTCCCAGCACATACACACACAGAGAGAGAGGCAACAAATATGCACAAAATAGTGGACTTCTCGACTAACCAAGATGATACGCTAAACAGTCATACGTGCTACATGCCCACTAACCTCCAACTAATCAGAGTTGTAATCGACAGCTTCGTCACTCTAATTCACTCAACGCGTCGCCCCAGACATGAATGGGCACGCGCCCACATCGCCTTGAGCACCGGAAACATCAACATGGCCATCCGGTACATCTTCTGCTCTCTGCCCCTCTGCCCTTTTCTCATCAATCTCGGCAATGGTTCGTTCAAACTCCTCTTTACTCTGTACAGTAGTATCAGGAAGCTCTTGCTCCTCTGGCACCTTGACGCCAGCTTGCGCCTCATCCAGCGCATCCGCCGGTGATACATGGTCCGGCTTGTTCTCCTTGCTAACTACACCGTGCGGCGCAATCTGCCTAAACATGTCCATGGGATCAAACCACGTCCTCACCTCGCGCAACTGCACCTTGTCGTTGACCGTCGCCACAGTCACGCCCTGGATATCGATGGGCCCGCCGTGTGCCTTGGCCGTCACCTTCTCCCCCTTGTTGTTGAATCCCACATAGTCGTTCTTCATGATACCCCAGTGCCGCCACCGGAAACTGACTGTTGGTGGTCCGCTATAAACCTCGAGCACCTCCCACGCAAATGTCGGCATCATCCGCTTGAATGTCTTATGCGATGACGCAAAGTCCGAGTATTCGGGTGAGTAGTACTCGTTTGGCGCAATAATGGCATTGTATGTGCCCACTTTGAGCATAGCTTCTGCTCCCTCGGCCTCGCCCCCGTTAATGGCAAATGAGTAGTTTGCAGTGTCAATGGTGCGCCAGTCGGAAATGTCTGGTTTGAACGACGCTTCCACTTCCCAGTTCTTGACTAGATTCTCCACCAGCTGGGGCAGAGACCCAGCTTCGTGTGTCTTTTGCTTTGCTGCCGTGTGCGATTAGATGAGCACGAAAGGTATGACCACATCCCTTGAACTTGGCCCATCTTCCAAATCGGGGAACTTACTTTCGGCATATACTTTTCGCGTTTTGGTGTAATCTGGTGCTCGGCCATATCGCCACTTGGCCTCCTTGTCTCCAAGGACAGCATTAGGGTTTGTGAGGTAGTCTGGTAGTGCCGGTGCTGCCTCTTCCACAGGTGGTTGCTGGACATCTGCGGCCGCCATTTTGTGACTTGGGTATGCTGTGAATGCAAGAATGTGGTCAAGACTTGAGAAAAGGATACAAAGATTGCTGGTAAGCCCCTGTGTCAAATTCCTTGTGAGCTAAGTGTATGTTGCTAAGCATTCGTTCTCATTTTGTACAACGAGGCGCATACACAATTTATATGTTTAGTCGTAACATGCTGAATTAAGTTAACGTGTCAGCATAGTCACGATGACCCTGCAGCTGTAGCACACGGCATATACTCGATAGTTTGTCAACAAAATATAACAACCACCAATAGGCATGCCCGACGTGTTGGATGGACCCCTTGATTACTGTTACGATGAATGCGAGAGGCATAACCATGTGGGGGCTCAAGCCGTCAACCTCACCGCCGGGATTAAGTTGAAGAGGAAAGTTTTATACGTTCAAGGGTCTATCACCATGGTTATACCCACATACACTTGGCAGGATGCCTTTTCAGACGCTTCTAGACCAATGACTGTGTTCTGCATACATGGCTTGTGAGGTTGCCAGCCACTGTCACACCACGGTCCAGACTCGTAAGATGTAAGAAACAGACCCCTCGTTTGAGGTTCACAACCGTGTGATGTTGCCAAGATGGCAATCTACCGGAACGCAGGCTCTCTCCGCAGTATGCCGCGGAGAAAGATCTCAACAGAGCCAATAGACAGTGTTGCCGCAGGTGGATGTTGATCTGGTGGCTGCAGCCGATGAGCGTGTCCCACTGCCATCTATATTTTCGATAGTAGCGGGACACTTAATATTGCGGGGATAGTGAGGGATCTAGGAATATTGTTGAGAGGTCTTTGCACTCCAGAACAAGTGCAGAGTTTAGCAGGGATGTATTGTGTCCTGATAATGCTTCCAGAGTATATATGAATCATTATCTTGACTCCTGGACCCGACCCGTCTTCATTCAATTGGCGCCAAGTCATCTTTCATGGACTGGCTACTGTCAAGACGCTGCATAGTCAACTCCATGAAAAAGCATGGCTCAAAAGACCGCTGGCGCCCCTGTAGTGGCGGCCGCCCTGGAAGCTAAATGTTAGCTGCAGCAGGAGACGAACTCATCAGCCGCATCGCCGAGTCCAGCCAGAGGTCGATATGGTTTGTTTTGAGGCGTGACCAAGGGTTATGCTGAGCTACCAAGAAACTAGCACAGTGCCTATTGGTAAAGCTCTGTTGCACAGACTGGCTTCTCGAGGTCGTCGACCTTTTAGCGCGTTGACGTCACTACGACATAGCGGTTCTTGGTAACAGCGCGCTTCAGATGTCTACAACACTGACAGCTCTGCACAATCACATACTTGAGCATATCGCACATAGCTCAACATGGGACGCCGCGATCGTCTCATCAGCACTTCGATCCTACGCGCAGTTTTCAAGTCTGACTCTCCTGGGAAAGACGAGAATGGTCACCTCGGCTTCTGGGTGCGCATTTACGCCTTTTTCGCCCTCTTCAACCTTACCCTCGCGCGATTTCGCGCGTCATTATTTAAGCAGCTGAGAAGGGAAACATGGGAAATAGAAGAGGAGGAATACACCGAGAGTTTCCGCAGCCCTAGCAGCAGTAAGCGGACAGACCTGGTAGCAGTTGGGGACCTGGGTTATTCGGGATCGGTACGCGAACCCCAACTATTGTATGCTTGATGGACCTTTTCACTAATTGGTAGTAGACGTTCTTCACAACACCGAACTCCAAGTTCCTAATCAAGTCGCTGCCACGGCATTTCGAACAGTCATTTTTCCGCAATCGTCTTCTCGATCCCTATGTTGAGCACATGGAGCTCAACCAAGACTCCCTGCTGGTCCGCATAACCGATCTCCTCTACTGCCCCACAGTGACTGTTGGCGCTGCACTGGGTACGGCGCCGAGTCATCACATCATAATGGAGAACATCCTTTATGGGAAATCCACTTGCAGCGAGCACCACCAGAAACAATGGGAGACGTATGATCTCAAGCCGAACGACTACTTCTACCCCGAGCGCGATATAGCAAACGGCAGACTGGCACCAGAGAGTGTAAAGGAGCGCCTCATTGACGAGTTCAACGACAAGGTGCGGGTAACGATTGATCAAAAGGAAGAGCTGATTGCGCAACTCTCGCGAGACTCGAGGGTCCTGCAGGAAAACAACGCAGTGGATTATTCGTTGTTCCTCGTCCGTTATCCGGCCAATCTTAGCACTGCCGACAATAGCCAGATCCCGCCCCCTCCAGGACGTGGATCCTCATGGCGTAGTGGTCTGCTGTCCCGCGACGGCAAGTGGGTCTATAGGGCCGTCATCCTTGACTTCTTCTGGGCCAAAGATGCGCTTCAAGCCCAAACGCTGACAGGCTTGGTCAAGCTCTTCAACACGTTGAAGCCCGGAAAGGATCATGGTCCAATGAGTATCACTACTTCGAGCGATGAATATAGGCAAAGGTTCCTTGGAATGGTCGAGGACATGGTGGAAGTATTGGATAGCACTGGCAGACCCGCAGGCGAAGTGCGCAACCATGCCGCTGTCACTGCTGGCGAGCCTTGAATCGGCGATGGGCGAGCTGTGACTGTGGCCCTAGCCCGGGGAGGCCCTTTGGGTTGCAGTCTTTTGTTTGAGCGGTGGCGTTTGGATGATTTGGATGGCAGCGATACCCACGCTTACAGTACATGGATTCTTACTGGCATTCTACTCGCAATCTGTACTACGGTGACGATTGAATGCTCGACTGCTATGCAAGCCACAGAGGGCACGCGTGATGTGTGATGAAAGCGGTGAAGCATAGAAGATGGAACATGTCGTCATCGCACATGGCTCCATAGATGCGAGTGGCCGGGGTCACAAAGCTGACGAGCTGCGAGTCTTGCCAACGCATTACCATTTTTACAATAGGCATAGGCTAAGTTGCGTATATAGTCCCACAAAAGAGATACCCCTGCGTGAATGGATACTACTAGTTGCTAGGGCCCAGTGGCTAGCAAGCGGATGGGGTCATACCCTGACCAGACAAGGCCTTGATTTTTTTTTGCTTACACTATACCAGCCATCGCACTCATACTAATGGTAGAGTGAGGGGTTTTTGATACATATAGAAACAGTGGCAATTCTGTGGCAATTGAATATCGTACCCAAGTACGCACAAGAGGGTATTGGGCACGACACGGGCATCTTGTAAATGTCCACGGCCTTTTACAACTGTGGCGTGATGATTGTAAGGCTGTTGTCACAGAATGTCTTGGGTCCTTCAGAACATGCAACACCCATGATGGCAATATCCATGGAGTTACCATTTCGCTTGTACAAGTCTACTTCCCATGGTACGTAGGCGTGTAGGCGATCTTCGAGATGCGGCTCCAATAGAGCAACAGTGCACGGGCCACCAGGGCTACAAACGACGTCATCGCAGCCACCTCGCCAACGCGCCTGGCACTGGCTTGCCCTGAAGCATCAAATCGGGGTATATCGTGGGGTTTAAGCGCAGGTGCCCAGTGAGGATATACATACCAGGCTAACTGCCTCCTGCTCGCTTGCTCGTCAAGATCCACTCGCCATATCGCACACCATCTCACCTACGCACGCACCTCTGTCACCTTGCTTCTTCCAACGTCCACACTATCAACAGCGACCTTAACTAGCCCATCGCTCCCAACTTGACGCATATTCATCACTCTACAACATTTGCTCTCTGATCCGCCACTGTCATACCCAGACCCTCTGCAACCCGTCCTCCTAGCCAGGCTCCCCCGTCTTTTTGCTCGGCCCAGTCGAGTGCGCTCCAATCACAGTGCGGCGCATAAGTCAAACCTACGTCACATTCCAACATCCGGATTCTGTGGCCCCTTTGAAAGATGGCGGCCCTCGCCTTCAAGGCTCTTAGCTACGGCGCAGAGCAGATTCCCGACAAGTTTTTTCACAAGATCCCAGGCGGTTACTTTACCCCACCAGAAGAGAAGAACGCTGGAAAGGACCGCAAAGACCGTCAGAAAAACGAGACCAGACAACGATACAGGAGCGAAGATCACTCGGGCGCGCGTCGCTCACGAAGAGACTTCAGCCCAGCCGACCAGTCTGCAGAAGAATACAATTACGACCGTGATTACGAGCAAAGAAAGCAAGAGCGACGGCGTGCAAGGAGCGCTGGAAGAAGTTCTAGCAGAAGTCCAAGTCGAGGCCGACGTCATAAGCACAGCAGTGACCTTGACGGCTCACATAGCAAGTCGCAAGAAACCATGGCCCAGCCCGAGCAGAGACAGCCCTATTTTCCTCCTCCGCCAACATCCGAGTACAAGCCTTACGAGGCCCAGCAGTATGCTCCCGGCCCGGTGCCCGGCCAAGAACGCCAGCCGACGGCAACACCTACATACGGATACTCGCCCCAGGTAAATAACTTTTCATCTTTTCGACGTGCCACGCTTGCGACGATGCCCGAGCATTCGATACCGGCGGACACGAGTCGGCCGATGTTGAAGAGCCGGACCACATCAACGCCGTCAAGTCCTTTGTTGTCTAAACCTCGTTTCCTTGACAATATCTCTCATGCTTCTCCGCTTTCTGCTTCCTTTACCCCGTCATATGAGCCGCCTCTCGCAGCCTTGCTTCAGCGTCCACTCACTAACCCCCCGAAGCCAGCACCTTCCTCAACCCGAGGCGTCGATGCAGACTACACGCAGCAGGATGCCCATCGAGGCCACTCTCGATATACTCCCAACGGTGCATACAATGGTGCACCTCCCCCACCAATGAGTGATGCTTCGATTCCTCCGCCACCAGTTGGCTCGAACTCGCCCTTGAACCCCTACCATCATACCGATTTCTCTGGATATCAACCATCACCGCCGCCATTCAGCCGTCAACGATCCAACTCTCAGCCTGGCTACGGCCCTACAGGCAACCCACCGTATCCAGCCTATGCTCCTCATGCTGCGCGCGAAGAAGTCGTCCAATATGCACCGCCTCCCGTAGACCCCTACCGTAGCCACCGGCACCGTGGGGAACATGGGCATAGGAATCGAGCTAGGTCTGCCGACTCCCACTCCCGTCGCTCCCATTCTAGCAAAGACCATGGTCGAGAAGATTCACGCATGGCTAAAGTGCGTGGTAGATTCGACAGTATGGACCTGCGCGAGAAAGGGCTGGCGGCGTCAGTGGGAGGTGCGTTGGCTGGCGGAATTGCAGGCAGGACGATGGGTAAAAGTAGACTGACGACGCTTGCAGGAGCAGCGGCAGGTGCGCTCGGCGCGCGGCAACTAGCGACACGCTCAAGGTGCGTTTTGTGCTGCATTCATACATATCAATAGACACATGCGTCTTTTCGCCTGTGGCCCCATTGCAGAAAGTTTCTGACTGCATAAGCAGGAGCCGAAGCGACCGCCGGTCTGCATCCCGTTCTCGCTCCCGCTCGCGCACTCGCCCACATGACCGGGAGGAGCGCAGCAAAGGCCCTGGTCTGCGCGCTAGAAGCCGCAGCATTATCGACCGCCTTCGCTCCAAATCTCGGGGTCCGGAGTATCGCGAAGAGCGACGAAGAGATGAGCGCAGCAGGGAGGATAATAGGCGCGATCGCCGCCCTGACCGTGGATATGACTATGGTCGCGATGACGAATACGAGGATGATTACGACTACTTTAGCAGCGATGATGAGGGCAACGGGTCGCCGGTTAAGACGAGGAGGCGTCGCAGGAGGGACTATTAAGGTTGGCATCCGAGACATGATGGCGTGTTTAGTCGTACCATGTTAGTGTGGCCTTTGTATTATTAGACGTCTCTCTTTTTTTTTTGGTATGTGTACCTTGTGCCATTTCCATTTTCGGCCTGTTTTTGTCGTTCGTTATTTTTTAACCCTTTTCTGCAGCTCTCATGTGTGCATGCATGTGTTTGTACATGTGTGGTTATGACATGGCTACTGGGATGGGAATAAAGACAAGAGACGATTTTTGTCTTATGAATTTATGAGAAATGTCAGGGATCGGATGAATGACGAAGAAGACAGAAATCCGGCTACTAAGCACGGTAGTAAATGAATGAGATGAATATTTTTTTTTTGATATAATTCTCTACTATTGATCATGTTCTATCCAGACTAAGATTGATACTCTCTTGAATTCATACCACATTTTATTTTGTTTTTTTCCCCTTACCTTCCCCCCAAAAAAATGCATCCCGCATAAAAACCTCATTCAGACATCCCCCCCTCCCCCCGCCCCCTTCTATATAAATTTTTTTCCAGGCGCAAAACGCGGGATGCACAAAAGTCCCATCATCATCACAACAACTCCCCAATCCGTCCATCGCTTAGCCATACAACCACCCACACCGTCCACCCTGTCCGCACAGACACACACACATACACACACCCACACCCAGTCGCGGAATAGTTCCGCAAAACCGTGTACCCTCGTATCGCTTCCCTGCTTCAGAACCCCCGAACCCGTAACTTGTAACTAACTTAATGTTGTTGTTGTTGTTTTTTTTTCTCCCTGTATTCCGCTTTCACTTGGCAGATCTCTTTCCTCCTCTTCCTCCTCGCACATTGTTAAAAACAAAAAAAAAAAGGAAAATGGAGAAAATTGAGTAAAAAAAAACAAAAAAACAAAAAAGTGTTCAATGTTGGAGAACGTGGAGAGGCGTAATAATAAATATGTAGCTTTTCTTTTCTTTTCTTTCTTTCTTTCTTTCTTTCTTGCAATAATGTCGTGAGACGGAGGATTCAAGGTTGTCGTAAACTTTGGCAAATATTTTTGATGGTTTAGAAATCTTGTGCGTGAAAGAGGGTAATATTCGAGCTGTTTTGTAACTGTTATTTTTTTTTTTTAAAAAAAAAAGAGGGTGGGGGAGGGGGATGAGCGGTTTGTTTGTTTGTGATGAATACATATCTAGGGTATTGTGTAATTATTTTTTTTAAAGAAAAAAAAAAGAATTGAAATATTGCATATTGCATATTGCAAACCTAGAAAGGCGTTGGTTACTATACATCCTGCACAACGTACGTTACAAACAAAAAAAGAATCTCTCAATATCCCAAGGCTTGAGAAGGTAAGTTTGTTTCCTTGCCCAAATTGACGCCTCACTTGGGCGTTACCGCTGCTCTCTGGTCATATTTTTCATCACTGTCAAAAGCTTCACTTCAATCCCTTTTTTTTCTCCCTACGCGATATGCGTAAATTCCCGTCGCAAACCTAACCGTTTTTTCCCCCCAGATCCCCGTAGACCAACTTACACGTGTAAACTATGGCCATGGGCACGGCAACTACGAAAGCAAAGCCAGATCTGGCGCCGAAACCCGAATCTGGACGCGGTTTTGGCGGTGTAGCTGCGTGATAAAAGTGCCTATACACGCGGTCCCCCCCTGCCCCCTCTTTGGTACACGTGTAATCGAGGAATGGACGTCAGGATCAGGGAAAGATTGTCTATGTACTACTACGCAAGTCAAGCCATATATGGCGCGGAACCCGAATCTGACGCATAGTGCGGTGTGACTATGGAAAGAAAGAGAGAAAGCAATGTCCAAGGTACAACAACATGGGGGGGTGGTCCCCTACGTCCTTAGACTACACCGTAGACCTATGTTACTTACTAAACACAAGTAAGCAGCCACCCCCTTCCGCCAGGCGCGGAACCCAGATCTAGGGCGCGGCGCGATGACTCATGGACGGAAGTTGTGTAAGTAAGGTACACACGGTCCCTTGTTGGAATTACGGAGAAAGAGTGCAGGGCAAGGAGCTCGTACAAGGGTGCGGCTGCATGAAAAAAAATCCCCAAGATCGCGGGGATTAGATGTGTAGGTGGGAAAATGCGTGTGCGCTATACGGGTGAGATTCACCGATGAGGCTGGGGTGCAGGTAAATCTTACATAGTATGTGCGGTTGAGGCGAAGATGAGAGGAAGGGAGGGAAGGAACACTACAGTAGGTAAGGTGTTGTATGATACAGACATCCCTGTTTTTGTTGCCCAACGCGGATGCAGGGAGGTGTGTATCTTACACATATGTGTTAGCTCAGCGGTTGCACCTTAAGGTTTGACCCTTATGCTGTTTGCCGGAACGTGGCCGTAAGCATGTAAGATATTAGTGTCCTTGTTTTTTTTGGCTCCCGGATCGGATGTACAGTGTATTTTACAGGCACTAGTACTAATTGGCTTGGCTTGATGTCGGATATCGCCTTTTGGAACGTGGCCCTGATACTGTTCGCCGATGTAGTACCCCGCATGTATCGTACGCATCTCTGGCTCCCGTCCCTGATACTGCTTACTCCGGATGTGGACGCGGGCGAGGGTATCTTACACATCCCCGCTCTGGTCAATGTTTCCGTACCAGGCTTTGTTGGGTAATGGTGTGGTCTGGTAACTTGCACAATGTTCCCCTGGACCCCATTCGCGCCATGTCTTGTACTCTATGCACCTGCATCTTACATGGTTTTCACATACACACACGTCCCCGCCCCCGGAATCTCGCGGATTTGATTCCACTCCCCGGCCCCCTGCGGGATCTAGGACGGAGGTTTGAAATTTCTGCTGTGGATTGATGGCGGGCCTGGGCGGGAAGTGAGGTGGCCGTAGTGAATTGGAACGGGAAGGGATCAAGGGTCAATGGACAAGTCGATGTCGGACAACCCTTACTATGTCCGGTTCTTCTTACTGTTTTTCAGAAGGCGAGAAAGGACGAGATGCAGCTCTTCGTTCTTTTTCTGGTCTTGAGTCTGGGGTTTGGCTCGGTTGGAAGGAGTGGCACGCGGCTCGAGAGGGGTGGGAGGTTCTCGGTTCATGCCCCAGGGCACCGAAGGGAACAGGGTTGGCGGGGACGAGGGCTGGGGGGCTTGGGTTTGATGAAAAAGAAGCTGGGCTTCATGTGCGGAGCTAGAGGTCTTGACATCCTGGGCGAAATGGGTTCGGGAATCAACAACGGCTGTTGAATTACTTGGGTGTGTTTTGGAGGTGCCATTGTCGTGGTTAGAGAGGAGAGGGGGGGCAAAAAGCAGCACGTATGCGGCAAGTCTTATTTTTCTTAAACCCTGCACTTGCTGAGTGCAAGTCCGGTGGGCTGTATGTCCGCGGAAATGCTGCTTTGCTAGTTGTTTGTTGCTTGGATTCTGGCCTTGGAATGCACCCCATAGTCTCGGTGTGTTCTAGAAGGATAGTCAGAGACAGCACCGTTTTGAGGCTCAAGTGCCGAATTGTGGGGAGGGGAGGGGAGGGGAAGAGGGGGGTATGGGGTTGCCAATGCGCCTAACGTCTTTAGCCAGCTCGAGTGCGTTATCGCACCCGCTGCTGTGCCTACACCAACGCCATGCCATCGGAAGCACTTGGAGTGGGAGCCATTGTGCTTAGTTGACGGCGGAAATGGAGCAGTCACAGTGTTGACATGGTCTGGCCGACGTTCTCCCGTCTGACGCTGACGACGCGCCCAGCGGCATCGGCCATGACTCTCGACACACGAATCGGAAGCCCGCCCACAGTGCCTTTTATTCCGCTGACCGCCCGTCGGTGGCATGTCACTCGGGCTGTGCAATTCGCTGTTGCTTTCCCAAGCCCATGATGTTGGTTTGACCGGCTGCCGATCAGGGTCGTTCCTTATGTAGCCACGCTTGGCTCTGCAGGTAACCGGCACCATGCCAAAGGCGTTGACGAACCCATTGCACGCGGGGGTGCTTGTTGTCCATATCGTACGATTCTGGCGTCATACCACGCAACAGTGTGAACGCACGAAGACTCCCCCATTTTCCACATCCAAGGAGCCGTTCGGCTTGCCTTCCTGTCATCGTGCATCACCACCACCACTACCCACACATACACACGCGCACGCGCATGTCCTGGTATCCACCCTCACGCATTCCCCTTCTAGCCAGCTTCTTCTGTCTTTCTCTTGCGTGGACACCACCCAAACGGCCCGATCCTAGCATGCGCTTCTGGATGCCCGATGCACGGCGAACGAAGAGAGGCAGAGATCTGTCCCTTGTGTGTGGGCTGTGCGGGCGGAATCATATCCGGACGCATGGTGGGGGGACGACGACGACGAAGAAGGGGGGCGAGGCGGCGCACATTGGACAGCCACACGACCCGTCCTCTTTTCTCTCTCTGCTCTCCCTTGCCATTCTTCCCTGCCCTTGCAAGCGAGGCAACGGGTGATGGCGCGCCCCAAGCGCCCGACGACGGGGGTTCAGAGTGAACGAACCAACGGCTTGCCGAAGATACAACGATACAGAGCAAAGAGCGCGCTGCAGGGCTGCGGCATTGGCTCGGAGGTTTCTCTGATCGGCATGCCAGGCATCTAAGCTATAGTACATCCATACTTCCATAACTGTCTTGATTGGCCTAATGAGCACAAGCTTGTGAGCCTTTCGGCCTCTCTAATCTGTACATTCATCAGAAACATGATGATGCCCGCCTCGACTCAGGGCATGCCGTCGGCTTCTGCGGCAGTCGAGTGGAGAAGATGAGGCCTAAGGCTGCTTGGATTGGCGCAAAACGCTCCTCTGGACTGATACTCTAGTCGTTGTTTGGGAACATGTTTGTGGCTTGACTGTCATTCGCGAACACGACTGCAGCCAGTCTTCTGGCGTGTTGATCCCCACAGGGCTCCATGTGCGCTCCCGTTCGCCTCTGTGGCGTCGACAGCTTCTTCAACGAGTTGTGATTTTTTGCTGGTTAGCCACCCCCAAGCTGCGTGCTTAACCTTTGCCAAACTACCACTAGTCCCAGATCGCCCTTGGTACCTGCTTACACCAGCTAAATAGCCACACTGAACGAAATCGACATAGGCTGAACCTTGGAGCGGTTACATACACTACCTAACTGTCAGAAAAGGGACCAATTATTCTGAGCCTTTTTGTCCGGCTTGGAAATCTCGCGTATCGAATGGCTCATGGGAGATGGGCGCGGAACATTTCAAAGCGGACAGGCAGTACACGTTGGCGCGCCGCCGCTTGCTCGGTGCTTTCGGCCGAAAACAAAGAGAAAGATGCCTTTAGAGGAAAAAACCAGGGCACGCTGCAGTTTACTCGAGTCTGCCCGATTGGGTAAATTTGAGGGGGAGCGCGGTTTAGGTCCCAAGACTTTTTGACCGATCGATGTACGGCCGTACAGTAGTCGTGGACAGGCCTCCATGCTGGACAGATAGCTTGACACTTTTCGTATGTGTACATACGGACGTGGCACCATGCTGACATATGGCGACGGGATACACAGGTTCGGTCATTTGCTTTAGTCTCGAGCAAGCACTGTATTGCCGCCGAAAAAAAACGGCTGGTCAGGGAAGAAAAAACTAAGCTCGTGCGTACTCATCCGTCGCTAAAGTACTTTCGGAAAGCCTGGGATACGAAACTATTGGCGTAGCTGATATGTGAAACCAATTCCGCGCCGGGAGAGAGGGGGGGGGAAGGCAGTGTGGGCGCGTTGTCTTGTTCTATCGTTTCCAGAAACGCACTAGGAATTTGACTACGCATATTCTTGCTTGATCAAAAGGCCATTGCACAAAGGGCCTTGTCAGCCGCTCGACATGCCCTCCCCAGCAGTTGCGTTCCCGAACCATCGGCCATAGTTTTATCTTTTCCTGGACAGACACAAGCGCCAGGCTACATGCATCCGGCATCACTAGCTTGCCCATAGTATATCGCGTCTAATTAATCCCTGTGGACATCGGTGATCCGCAAGTCAAGCGTGGTGGAGTCTAGAGGGGCTATTTGGGAGGGCGTGTTTGGGCGCATGGACGTCTTGCTGGTAGGGTTCCTAAACATTGCCGACAATGGGCTTCCTGGCTATATCGTTCCTAGAACGCTAGGTGGAGCGAATCAAGCGTTACAAATTGGACGTGCTTAGGAAAGAATGACGATGTGGACGGGGTCACTTGATGGCGCGGACCGCATCGAAGGAAGAGGATAAGAACCAGGGGTGCCGCGCTGTTGTTTTTCATAATCAATTGTTGGTGTCTGAGTGAGTCGCCACAAACTTCAGGGATTGGGGTGTCGTTTTTTTCTTCTTGTGAAGGATCTGACTTATTATTGCCTGAACCGTCCTTCCGTCCAGATCCTATCAGCAACAATTCAAACATATATATACCGTCACACTGAGAGAAAAATAAGTGTGCTACAACTACGCCAAAACGTTGGGCCAGGCTCTCCCGTCAAATACTTGAACAAATGGCTCCCCAGGTCCGCCCAGAAAAAAAACATCCAATCATGGCTCCCACAACACACTCTGCGTTTCTGGACATGCTTCCACCCGAACTCCGCATAAACATCTACTCGCACCTGCTCGTCGCCTCGACACCTCTCAAAGGCCAACTCGCGCGACAGGACAAAACATACGACCTGCACACAGCCATTCTACGAACAAACCGACAAATCCACCACGAAGCACGATCCGTCTTCTTTGGCAAAAACACTTTTTACATCACATCGATTCCACCATCGTCGTCGCCACTACCACCACCAGCACGGAGCGACAGTCAGGCCGGCGGAGAGCACGATGACGACTACGACGAGGAACAAGGGTCCGGCGCCTTTGAGCCGCCACTGCAACTCCGCGATCTCCCACTGGTCCGGCACCTGGAGATAGATTTGCTCTACTACCCACGCAGCATGCAGACGATTCGCGACCGGCGGACGGGCATTTGGAAACCCGTGTGCGTCGGTGCGCAGCGCTACAGCACAAGCTTATCTTATCTCCTTTCCGCCGTCGAAACGCGCCTGTTGAGCCTCAAGCTGTGCGCCGACACGCGACGCTATCTCGACGAGACGGTTGTTGTTGTTGCCAGCGTTAGCAATGATAGCAGCAGCAGCAGTAGTACTACTACTACTACTGCCAGTGCTGGTGATGACATTGCCACCACCACCAGCAATACCACCAACACGGCCAGCAAAGACAACGACGACAGGCTAGAGGCCCAGCGAATACTAACAGGCTTCTACATGGCCGATACCAATCCACTATTCCGAAAGGCGCTAGCCCGCCTGCACGTCGCTGACATGGCTCTTCATTTCGACTTTCCGGAAAGTTACTTTGACTTTGTTGTCCTGAAAAAGGTCTTGTGTCGCCAGAACTTGGTCGAGCTAGCCGGCCAGGTGCTCGATGTCAGGTCAGACATCCGCTTCAAGGCCGCTGCTAAGCAGGACGCCGGCGCCGACGACGCATACGACATTCCCGACCAGGGCGCTGTTACCTTGATACCCGCTTTTGCCTTCTCTTCTCCTTCTTCTTCTTCTTCCGTCTGATACCATGGCTTCTGTCCCTTCATCTCCGCTTTCTCGAGGAATATGTCCGTGTCATGCTTGTTTACCTTTTTTTTCTGGCGGAAGGTCCTTTTATTTTTATTTTTAGGTCTAAAACATGGTTTAGCGAAGCTCGCATCGAGGCGCGTCTATCTGCATACAGGTGTATTCTTGGGAGGGATATCCAATTAGGAGTTATTGTTTATTTTATCATAACTATATGGTTTTTTTTACTTTTTTGCATGATCATCTCTACTTTGGTTCATTGCACAAATATGCAGATTACCTCGTGCAAACAACGAAAAGAAAATCCACTCTGGTCACAAGCACCATGTACAAACGATCTACAGCCATAGCACACGATAGTGAAAAGCTTAACCATCTTTTGTTGTACGACGATACAAAACCCGGGAATGTCCACCCGGTCCTCTCGCGTAGACTTTGCCATGACATGACGCATCGACGGAAACCACTAACACCTTTAGCGTGTAGGACTTCCTTCTGGCGTCGGGATGGCGGCGATCTGTGAACTAAGAAAACGGGGGACTTTCTTTTTTCTACCTAGTCTGCACTGGCTTCCAGAAGATCACCCTTTGACGTAAACCCTTTAGAGAACCCCGCATGCAACCGAGAAGCATGAAACCGTCCTCAAAGATCCACATTGAAATGATTTACATTCCTTGACATGCACATGTTTGCGCTCGGTCTTTGTTCGGTTGCACAAGCCCAGATATCTTGTGGCGGCTCAGTCACTGAGAATCTCAATTTCTTCATCGTCATCGTCATCACTGAGTAAGTTGATGATCTCTTCGCCATGTTCGGAAAGCTCTTCGACGTTTTCCGCTCCAATCAGGCCCTGATCATATGCCTTCAAGGTTTTGGCGATGCTGCGGTACAAAGCCTGAGCCATTATGGGGGGGAAAGCGTTTCCCACCTGTTTCGTCGCCTCACTTTTTGACCCAGTGAACTGATAAGTGCGCGGGAAACTCTGAAGAAGAGATAGTTCCCTTGCAGTGAAGGGCCGCGTGCCAGAGGGATGATATGCGGTAGTTCCTCCGGTCGTTATGCACCCTTTCAGGTACGAATTTACACTATATGGTGTTTTGGCAGAAGCAAAGAAACGAGGTTGGTTATAGGTGTCGGTCCTGGCTTCATACCCCGGACGCCTCAATGGCAGGAGCGCATCCGCAATCGTGATAAGATCCTTGAAGCCGCTACCGGGAGGCCCATGTGTGGGTTTGGGGAAAGGTGGCAAAGGCATCCCGCGCCTAGGTATAAGACATTAGCCTACAGGAACTAGAAAAGTATAGTGCAAGTACATACCTAGCAGCAATGATAAGAAGTCGCTTACGTTGCTGCACGAGACCAAATTCTGACAAGTCTTGGATCTTGTACCGCAAGTCATATCCAGCCTGCCCAATATCATTGAGCAGCGTGAAAAAGTTCCGTTTGTGTTCTCGGTTTGTTAACAAACCAGAGGTCTGCTCCAGAGTTGCCACTCGAGGCTTCACTTTCTTCAAGATTGGACCGACGGTATACAGCGACTCGTAATTTGCTTGGTCATTCGGTCCTGGTTGAGTACTAGTAGAGGCATGATATTAGTACGTACTAAAAGTAGTGGACAAGAAGCAAGAGCACTTACTGCGCAGGACTCCAATAGCAACACGGAGGGGACAGATGGAGGACATCTACCCTCCATGCCTTCTGGCTGATGCCTGGTGGCGGAAAATTATGTGCATCCATCTTGAACGCATAAGCACCACGGTGGTTCAGCCTGTAAGCTTCAATAGCGCGATCATCTTTGTCCAGCCCCCAAGCAACTGAGTAACCCGCTTGCAAAGCGCCTTGAGATCCACCACCGACTCCACAATATACGTCTCCATAGGTTATCTGGTCTCTGTTGCTACTGAATCTTGGCTTGCTTCTTCGAGTAGCCGAACCAGAAGAATCGGCGTGCCTACTGCGCTTCTTGTTCCTAGAAGTAAAGCAATCCTTGGTAACAACTACACAATCGTCTGAATCTTCAATTCCGATTGGGATTGCAGTCTTTCGAGATCCACCAGCTTGCGTCAACTGTTCCACGTCTCTAAATTTATCTGCCTCTTTAGCATATAGATATCTGACGACCCCACTGTATGATTTTCCGTGTTTATTTATGTATTGTATGTTCATAACTCTGCAAGTTAGTCTTCCCGCATGGAAGATTTGGAACTTTATTTCTTCTTGGCTCATGCCAAAAGGAACAGACAATTTTCCACAAGTTCGGAAACTGACGAATGGATATGGCTTGTTTGTTAATGTGCATTCGCGAATGCGATACACTTCGTCGATGTTGACGTCCTCTAGTCCCGCGACGAGTGGAGCGCGGTCGTCTTGTTCTTTGATACGTAGTACCATTGCGAGCTCATTTAACTTCCCTTTGAAAGTATTAGTGTCAACTTTGGTGTATGTAGAGAGAACGTCTATACACACAATCGAATAACTGGCCAAGATATTTAACGCGTCGCATTCGCTGACCACGGAGCCGAACCTCATCTGTCTCCAAGTTCATGACTATGAACTTGACGCGGAGGAAATCACCACTATGCCTGGTATTGATTTCATGTGTCAAGTGGTCATGCAACTCTACTGTTGACTCTGGTCTAATAACTAGACCTTTACCCAAGCGGTAACTTTCTATCACGACTTCTGAGTGCTGAAGAGAAGGCGCTCTTAGAAGGTCAGGCGCAGAGGCAGTTGAGCTAGCACATTGCCTATGAGAGATAACCTCGGGCTCCTCATCGTTAGAGTCTATTTAGAGCATCAGTAAAAGATGAAAGATATCCAGGGGGGTGATTTACCATAGTCGATAAGATCAAAGTCACTCTCCTCATTGATTGTGGGCCTGTCATCGTCGTCGTCGAGGATATAGGGGTGTGTCGCAGACATGGCTGTGTGTAACTGTTGTAGTGAGGTTGTAGCGAGGAAGTTGTAGAGATGCTGCACAAGTGCTTGGTGTTGAAAAGCAGAGGTGAGAATGAATTGATTATTGTCAGCTTTGTTCTACGCAAGACTGTCAATTTGTGTGGTGGTGAGGTGTTCGGCCAGAGGTGATAGTAAAGAGTTTGTGCGTGGTTTTTGCAGTAGCGGAGGAGTAAAGACAGCCCCACTAATGTAGTGTGAAGTGAAGGGAACAAGCCACAGACGCCGCTTTGCAGTGAAGGTGAATGTGGCAAGGCAAACTAATTTGGAAGGAGCATTGACGAGTAGGGAAATAGCAGATACATAGACCGGGAGTCAAGTTGCACAGTCAGTCTAAGAACGACGAAGACGTCCAGGGTAATTCACCGCGCTTTATCTATCTATACAGAAAATGCCAGCCTCGACGCTCGTGCAGAAGAATATGCATGTGACGTCACTCATGAGATTGTCTTGTGCACAAATTCCTTCTCCAGCCGGCCGACCTCGTGCTTGAAAGCCTCTACCTCCTTCCAGCAGTCCAGCGGGCGACGGTCGTGGGTCCTTAGACACTCGACCACGGCCTCCTTTGCCTTTGTCACGTCCGCGTCGGCCTGCTCCAGCTTCTTTCTCTGCTCGAGCTTGGCCTTCAGGCGCTCAATCTCCTTGGTAACGCTGTCCCTGCTCATGTCCTTTTGTCTCTGCTTCTCAGCCAGCGTGGAGCTGCTGGATGTGGCGTCTTGGATCTTCTCGACAAGTGAGGGCTCGCTGGGTTGCTGGATCTCTTCTGACAAGGTTTCGCTGATTTTGTTGAAGTTCTGAATCTCTTGGGCGCGCAGCTTTTCGAGTTCAGCTGTCAGACGTTCCTGGTACTGAAGTTCCAATTGTCTTGACCGTGCCGAGTCTGTCTGTTCGCAGTCAGTCGCTGCCGGGTATGTTGATCTGGAGGGCGCGCACGAAAGGATTCTTCTGCAGCGAACCGACCAGCTCATTGGAGAAGCTGACGGGGTGATCTCTGCGCGCAAACTGGTCAGCACCCGACGTCACTCTTGTCGCTGGGCCCATGGCGCGCGGGGGATGCCATTGGTTGGACGAACATGTACATACGGGGAGAAGACATGCTGCTTGACCTCAGACGAGGGTTTCGAGTTCTCGGCACCCATTGTTGCGATGGTGGGACGGCGGGCGTCGTTGAGCGATGATGCACTTAGTCGAAGAAGTCCGAGTTGAGGCTTGGCTCACAAAAGCACGCTAGCCGCCATCCCTGCACGCCATCCCTCCATGGTCGGGCGCGCTGGGAAAACATCATGCAACTATCGCGACATTTGGCTTTTTGTATATAGCGACACCCCCGCTCTTCACCGCCAGCACTTCATGCATCGTACCTTCCTTTGAGCTCGCTTCATTTCTCTCAAGCCATTCATTACAACTTTCTCCTCAGTCTTTCCAACTGCACCCGTTCTCTAATAACCACACTCGCCCCTCTCCCGCCACCCCGCCATGCAGTCTTCGCTGACCAGCTGGCTGAAAAAGTCCAGCTCCGAAAAGCAGCCCCAGCAGCCTCCGAATGTGCCTCTAGTTGTGCCACCAAAGACCAGTCGTCCACCTCCTCCCCCAAAGTCGGCCTCTGCTCCAACCGGTGCGCCCCTTACCACCACACCGACCCCCTCTGCCATGGAGAACTGGAATGACATCCCTGATGACTTCCTGCAAGCGCCTTCGCGACCCAAATCGAAGAAGAGCCCTCGCTCATCTCGCGCCGTCACTCCTGTTGCTTCGACAATACCCTCCCCTAATATTCTCCCAGTCCAGCAGCCCCCCAAATCACAGCTTTTCGCCCTTCGTCCTCTGCCACCCAACGTCAAACTTGTGCCACTCACCGAAGACCTCATGCCAGCATTCAAGCGCCTAAACACCCTTACCCTGCCGATATCGTACCCAGAGTCCTTTTACAAGGAGACTATGACGGAACCGCACCACGGCATCACACTCGTAGCAGTATGGCACTCGTCTCCTGCAGGTGAAGCTAGTGAGCCTTCAGCAGAGGAATCGCACCTTGTTGGTGCTGTGCGGTGTCGGCTCCTTCCCTCTTCGCAACTATACATCTCTACTTTGGGCGTACTCGCTCCCTATCGTTCCCACGGCATTGCTATGCACCTGTTACAAGCCATCGTGAAAAAAGCCGTGGACCTTCATAGCGTGCGCTCAGTCACAGCGCACGTATGGGAGGCAAATGAGGAGGGCATGGAATGGTACAAGAAGCGGAGCTTCGAAATCGTGGGCAAAGAGGAGGGATATTACAGGAAGCTTAGACCGCAAGGCGCACTCCTTGTGCGCAAGTGGATAGGCGTGGGAGATTTATTGGATCCTAGTGTCTTGCAAAAAGATGGGTTGACTGGCGAGTGAGCTTAGGGTTCTGGTCTTGCTCTAGACCCTGGCTCTTCCCCACCCTTACCAAAAAGCCCGTTGATAGTCTGATTGCCTTGACTGTCTAGACCTTGCTCGAGTTACCTGGACCCGGTAATCTGGATCTTTCCATTGCGCATCAGCTCTTCCACTTGTATATTCAGCCGAGCCAACATCACGGTACGCCCAGAGGCATGTTTCCTCGTTGCAACTCGGATTTCCCGCATTAGGCCCCGATTCGCCCTCACTACTTGCATCGGATAATCTGCTCATGCGCCGTGTGCAGAATAATATCTTCCATAAGCACCACAAGCATTATGTGGGACTGTTAAGTAGACAAGGATGGCCTGATTCTCAATTTGCGGCTAAAACACCTTCCCGCCCAACCGCCTCGAAAACCGATAAGAATAGAATCCACGTCAGTTGCAAAGGATTTGAGGATATAGCCGACCTTTTGAATAATGGATCAAGTTGAGTCAGGTAGTGATGAGTTTACTCGTTCACAAAACAGGCAACACGCTATGGACCATCTCAACATAGTTGATATCATAATCATGGTCTTTGGGATGCCTAGGCTGCTATTTTCATCGGTGCTAGACTGCATTCTCAATCATAAACTCCTCCAGAGGTATCTTTTTTTTTCTGCTAGTGCACAAGGACCTCTCATGCGCGTCGGATGCTCAGCATCCATCGTGTAGCCACAATATCGGTGAATACCCAGACAAATTAGCCAGACCTCGTATGGCGTTCTGGTCTAGCTGGAATGCTCTTGACAATGAAGCCGCGGACAACCAGAATTCAGAACTAAGCCATGTTGCTTGATCCTACAGTCGAAACCACAACTCTATATAAGATGCTCGCAATGTAAATCGACCTGGCTCTCAGTCAAACAATCAAAACTGTATCACTTGCTTACTACCCTTCACTTTATCTCACCACTATGCATCTCCCCGCGATTGCCGTTTTGTACGCGAGCCTTTTGGCACTCTGTGTAGCCGTATGTGACTGTGTCATTACTACATGTGCTTCACTAATCCTGCTACAGGTACCAGCTGACAACAAAGCTCAACTTGAGCCGCGCCAGACATACATCATAACATGTATTGGAGGACGTTGCAGCGACAACATCAGTCGGCCCACATCTGAGCCATCTAAGCCAACATCGAGCAAAGCCACAACGACAACAAAAGTGACGACAACGAGCAAGAAGCCCGAACCGACCCCTACCCCGACAAAGGTCAGCATGTTATCTGTCTATTTACATGACTCAAACCACTCCTTATCATCTGTGGTTAGTGCTGTAGCTAATGGGTTTCTCACAGACTACAATCAAAACAAGCACAAAGACTGTAGTCCCACCAACCAAGACTACCACTGAGGAGGTCGGCCCGAGTAGCACTAGATGCCCCGTGCCTCTCTACTACAAGTGTGGAGGTTGGCACGACGGTAAGCCCTGGACAGGCTGCACCCAGTGCGTAAAGGGTGCAAAGTGTGTGGAACAAAACGGTGCGTATAGATACTTGTAATCAAGCATGCGTTGCTAAGACTAACGTTGACTAGAATGGTACTTCCAGTGCGTTGCAGACACTAGTGCTGAATGAGTATAGCAGGTCAGTTCTGGCTGCTATGCGCGGCAGCAGATAGCACAAGAAATACAAGCAAGCATTCCGCATCCTATCATTTAAGCTATCACCTTCCTCAACCTAGGTACCTCACCCAGAATCTGACATGTCTTCAAAGTTCCCAAGTCCACCATTGCCTATGAACAAATTTTCTTTGATCATTCAACAAGTATGGCCACACGCTTTCATCTATCTGTGATAGCTTCTATTCATGCTCCATGAGTAAGGCTGATGACCAAGCCTTACTACACCCACAGATGAGGGACATGGTGGGGTAACGTAACAATGGCGTTCCTGGCCTGCCCCGCCATTACCAACATGAGAAGACGTCATAAGTAATCAACAGTCGTTCCGACAGCTACCGCATATTTTGCAATTGCTCGATTCGCCTTTCTTTTGTACTTGTGTTGTTTTACTGCTCCGCCCAGTTCCGCATTTCCATTATTCCAGTGCATATCTGCTCATCAATTTCTCTTGCAATTGAAAAAACAACACGGCGCATCATCTCTTCTCTCAATACAAGTGTAAACAAATAGCCCAGAAAAGATGCCCGACCCCCGAGTCTTCATAATCCGCCACGGGGAAACAGAATGGTCTCTCAACGGCCGCCACACAGGCGTCTCGGACATTCCGCTGACCGAAAACGGCGAGAAGCGCGTTCGAGCAACGGGTAAAGCCCTCGTCGGCGACGACAGATTAATCGTACCCAGCAACTTAGCTCACATGTAATTTCCACCTTCTCTCTAACCCCCCCTCTTCTTCCGCTTAACGCAAAAAAAAAAAACGCTAAATAACATGAAATAAACACAGCTACGTCTCCCCCCGCACCCGCGCCCAAAAAACCCTCGAACTCCTCAACCTCGGCTGCAAAGATCGATACCCCTGGTCCTCGTCCTCGCAACAAGACCAACCCGACATACGCACGCACGCAAAGATACAAGTCACAGAGGCAGTCCGCGAATGGGACTACGGCGACTATGAAGGCCGCATCACAAAGGAAATCAAGCAAGATCGCGAGAAGCGCGGGCTAGGTGCGGACTGGGACATTTGGCGCGACGGGTGCGAAGGCGGCGAGAGTCCCGAGGATGTGACGGCGCGGCTTGACGCTTTCATTCATGAGCTGAGGGAGAAGTGGCACAAGGGAAAATTTGGTAAGGACGGGAAACCAAATGATGTGCTGATTGTGGCGCATGGACATATTTTGAGGGCGCTCGCGGCACGCTGGGTGGGCAAGCGGTTAGAGGAGAATCCGAGTTTGATTCTTGAGGCTGGGGGTGTGGGCACGCTGAGCTATGAGCATCACAGTATTGATGAGCCGGCGATTTTGCTGGGTGGTGCGTTTGTGGTTGATGTGGTGGAGAAGGAGCAGGAGGAGGCAAAGGCAAAGGCTTAAGGTAAGTCCGTCTGGGGAAATGCACGTATGACCTTCTCTTCATGGGAATTACATTACATTATTTTCATTACTATTCTGCCTGGTCTGGTTTTTGTGTACATGCACAATTCTTCCTCCTTCCCCCCTCATCCTCCATTACATTATATGAGCGGCGCATTTTACACTCGCTGACTACTCTGTTTTCAGGGCGCTATCGTACCATACCCAGCAGGTCGAATGCGCTGGTAATCCAGACTCTTTTGCTTTGCGATCTTCCCAAGCTTCTCCTTGTTCTTGATAGTCCAGAGTACAAACTCACGAATCGCAAACGCATTCACAAGACAATCGCGGCCATGCACAGCGTGATTTGGCAGATTTCTTTCAGTGTAATCGCGGCACAAGCTGTCTAGAGCCAACTGTGCCTTGCTCAGTGGACCGTTGGCTGCCTTTTCCACCACCTTTGCAATGTCAATAGCACGGCCATGAACTATGCGCAAGGCATCGAGATTTGAGCGCAAGTTGTGCCCTACGATGATCGTCCCGCTATCAACATATTTTTGTAGGGCGACCCGGGCTGCTGACCAGCCTTTGAAGATCTTGTATCCAGCCTGCCGAGCTGCTTCCATGTCGAGCCAGCTGGAAATTCCGGTGACTGTTGGACGCCAGTCGGTGACGTGCGCGCGCGGATCGGTACAGACAAGGTGGTTCATGAGTATGCCGCAGGTGACGAGATCGATAGCTGCAATCTTGACAACTTCGAGACGGCCACCTTCAAGCACGACTTTGCTGCATGAGAGGGCAATGACACCCAAGCATGGCTTTCCTGGATCTCGAGCCGGGCACGACTCGAAGTCGGCGAGATCGTAATAGGCTTTGTACTCATCCATGAATGTCTTCGGTGCTGGCACATACTCGCCTTGAAGCATCTTAGGCAAGTGGCACATATTATCAAGCGTGCCAACGACCTCTGGCTGTTTCGCGACAGAGATTCTGGTCCAACAGATACCGCCAACAGTCATGCCGCCATCATAGTGTATGAAGATATCAGACTGAATGAGTAGACGTAGAGCTTGGACTTGGATCTGCTTGGCCTGTTCCATATCGGCTGCACTACCCATGCTTGTGATGGTTGGAGCACCACTTGCTTGAAATGGGGGCATACGATGTTGTGCTGGTGCAGGGCGTTCTCCAGGAGGTACTTTGGGCGGTCGGAAGGCAAGGGGCTGAGGGGATCGAGTGAGAGTGCTGCTACCCTTATGACCATAAGCCGGCCCAGACGGTGCCCGTAGAAGACCTTCTTGCTTCAATCGTTCTCTTTCTCGCGCGTTAAGCATCCAAGAGTCGCGCCCGCTTATGTCCAGTTTCTGGCCACCAACGCCATGAATGTCAATCTTGTGTTGCTTGAGACCAGCCTCAGACCTGAAAGTCTTTCCGCAGCTGTTGGCATTACAGATGTGTGTGCCAGTGTCGGTAGCTGGAGCAGAAGTGGCGAGTGAGGCATGGTGCTCTTGGGGTAGTGCAAGTTTGCCCGGTTCCGATGTAAGTGACTGGACTGGCATTTGCTTAGAGGCCTTATCTTTTGGTCGTCGAGCAGATTTCTTCTTCCTCGCCCCTGGTAAAGGCCATGATTCGGCTGAGAAAGGTGTAGTCTGGAGCTCTTTACTGTGAGTTTCTATAACATGATCAGACTGTAAGCGCGACTCGGCTGGCGTACATGCCAGGAAGTGGTTGTTGTAATGACCCTGGGATTGGAATCTCTTCTTGCAGTTCTTGCATCGTAGTCCGCCGTTGCTGGTGTTTGTCGATGCATCTGACTGTTGTGCGGGATCATCGTAGGAATTAATGGCCTGACTGTAATCATCTTTGGGCTTGTCTAAGTCAATGTAGTCTTTTGAGGCAGACTGTGGCTGTTTGTTGGGCGGTGTGTGTCTCCAGTCAGCACACGCATTCGCTAAGTTGCTTCGGTGTTCGCTAAAGCGCTTCTGGTTGCTGAAGCTCTTCTCACAGCGATCGCAGAAGACTGCCATTTCTTCTGACTCCTTGAGCGTATTGGCACGCCCAGATGGCGGCTTGCGATGATCGTCGAGGCTCTCTTGCGAGATGAAGCGTTGGTTGCATCTATCACAGAAGAAATTAGTCGTGCCGTGACCGGTTTGTCGTTGGTGAAGCTCCAGTGCATGTGAGTCATCAAAATCCCATTTGCAAACACCACAAAGGAGTCCGGTTGGTGCAGTATGGCGGAAGTGAGGTGTAGTATGGCAAAAGTGAGCTTCAGCATGGCGGCTTAGTTCAGCCTTGGTCATGAAGGCCTCATCACAGATAGCACACTGGAATGCCATCTGAGATTCCTGGCGTTGTGCCATCACTGGTAAAGACAGGCCGATTCTTCAGGCGTGAGGATGCAAGGGATGGAGTAAGAGGACTATGTTTGTGGGGTAAAAACACAAACGGCAAGCACGACGGAGGAGCACGGACAGTCCACTATCGCGTTGTGATCTTCTCACGGGCAAACAAATCTTTACTCCGGCACCGCATGATGATGGTGATAATGAGATCAGAGTACTAACTGGTGATGGGACGATCTGATCAGGCAGTCTCCATAGCCGCTCCCAAGAGGTATGCCAGCTACTCACCTTTCGGCACAGCTTTTCTGTTCATCTCGTTTATGCTAACTATGGTTCGGAAACGATGAAGCAGAAATCTAGAAAGGAAGATTCGAGAAGAGTGGCAGAAGTAGCCCTCCAGCACCAAACAAGATACCTTCCCCTGCTACCTCTCAACGCGTTTATCGTACCAGCTGCAATACATCAGCACACATACTCTCCATCCACATGTATCGGCGTAGACCTGGGTAAGACAGAAACAGGATCCATGGCATACGTACGTATCACCTGGCCAGCCGAATGATAGTCCGGAAGAAGCGTCTCGCAGCTATGTTTGGCTGATAGTGTAAATAGAAAAGAAGAACGGACAAACCGTCATCTGTACCGAAGCTTTCAATCTCACGACTCGACTCATTTGATGAGACTGTCATCCAAAGCGATCTCCTGTAATCTAGTACTAAAGACATTACTACCTAATCAACCCATGTTTCGCGTTTAGAGTTCGCAGTCGCGATCTGTGTCCTCACAGCGACCATAGTTTTCTATTTGGTACACATACAACTGAGAATGCCGGGTGATCAAGGTCTTCTATACGCTCCGGGTTTTCCGTTAGCTCGTGTCTACTGGCTGTTGAGTATCACATCGCCCCTTTGCTTGTGGATTAGTTTGTCGTCATGTCGCAATCATCTTGTCGACCAAGAGTCCAATGACGGCAGTAATAGTACTCCCCTATGTACCCCAGATTACCCCAGATTTACCAGCCGTCGGGGAAAAAGCCCCCACACTTTCGCAACCCCATCCGTCGTAATCCCCCACAACGCCACACGCATCAGGATAGTAGTGGCTTGCGTACCCCGAGCTTCTAACCACCTAAAGGGTCAGAGATACTGTACTGCCGTGGGCTGGCCTGTGCCCCACGGAGCAAGCAGGAAAGGAATCGATAGCTGTATCCGTAATGTCTCAGGCCTACCCCATGCTTTTCTCACAGTTATGCGAAAGATTGTGGAGTAAGAATATGTATCGACCGCGTACAACGCAACTATGGTGGCGCTGATGGGCCAAGCCTGATCCCGTCTTCACACTGTGATACGTGTAACAGAAGCTGTGGGGCTTTTGCGGGGTATCTAAGTAACGTGCTCTCACACTCCGCAAAATCCGGGGTAGCCGAGCTACTCGTCTGGGGCTCATGGCAGTTGGTTGAGCGAGGGGAAAGCGTCGGTACGCAGCATGTTCTCTTCATCTCTCATATCTTTGCTTCATTCAGAAGTGACTTTGGTTAGAATGCAGCTCTGCACACTGCTGACAGACAGCATTGCAGTACAGGCTAAATACACCTAACGCCGGGGTTACCCATATGTTGGGACTTTTAATGCGGCCCTACGGTGCCTTCAAACACAGAAGACGCGCTACCGTTTCCCTGTAAGTAACAACGTTCACATGCTTATAGGCCCGTTTCCTCAATCTTGTCCTGCGAAAACAAATGAATTGTCGATCACCCTTGGGTGGGGCTCGCTTTGCGATCAGGGTAAGAATTGTGTGGGGTGTTTCGCTGAACATGTTCTAGGTAATAGACCACCAGTTGGGGCATGTCACCCTGGTCTGATCGACAACGGATGTTTTGGACAGTGACTGGGAACCGCATATCCTTATTAACGTGCGTGTTGCCCCAGATTTTTGCACGTTGAGATCCTCAAAGAGGTCACTATTTTCAGTTCGGATCCGTGCAACCTCGCACCATACCTTTGTTTGTTAATTGCCTTCTTTTCCCCCCAAGTCGCCCGCTCTGGTATAGTGGCACATCATGGGGTTCCTAGGAATCTTCGAGGATAAGCACCTTGCTCATGTTCCAGCAACCGTGATCTTGAGTGAGGATCAAAATCCTCTGACCAGTGTCCCTGAAGGAGGCGCTCCCCCCGCCGGACTGAAACGTGGCACTGGCAAAGATTCAGAAATTATTCTCATTCCACAGCCGTGAGTCTGATCAGTATACCATAGTCAACAAGCAGGATTGACAAATAAAACAGGTCTGAAGATCCGAATGATCCACTTAACTGGCCGTATACCCAGAAGCTCGTTATTATGATGATTGTGGGCTATGGCTCGGTCCTCTATGCTGCCGTGCTTTCCCCTCTCCTGTCTCCCGCATTGGTGGTCATTGCGAAAACCTTTAACAAGTCTGTTCGTGACATTACCCTCATCTCAGGATACATGTTACTGGTTACCGGCAGTATTGGGCCTATAGTCAACGCGCTGTCTCGTAAGTACGGAAAGCGCCCTCAGCTCATTCTTGCCGCGTTCTTCGGCCTACTCGGAACTGTCATCTGCAGTGCCGCAAACAGCTACAAGGGCCTCATGGCCGGACGCATCATTCAAGGTGGCTCTGTGTAAGTTTTGATACATGCGCGCCTGTCAAGCCATGCTGACTTGTCACCAGGACCGCTTTTGAATCCCTCGTTGTCTCAATGATTGGTGACCTATTCTTTGTTCACCAACGCGGAGCTTTCATGACACTCATCCAATTCATCCTCGGAGCTACATCCAACTTCTCGGCCATCATCGTCGGACCCATTGCAACGAACCTCGGCTGGCGCTACCTTTTCTACATTCTTGTTCCCTTTGTCGCTATCGAGCTTCCCCTGCTCTACTTCTTCGTCCCCGAAACCAATTACAACCGCGACCACCGCTACGACATTGACGAGCTTTCCAACGAAAACCTCGCCGAGCTTGCTGCTATCGAGAATGAGAAACAAAAGAGAGCGAGTGGCAGCGAGAAGGAAGGAAGCGATGACTTTGAAAAGGCCGTGACAAACACTACCTCACGCTCCATCATTCCTCCGAAAAAGACCTATGTTCAATCGCTGGCTATCTTCACAGGAACCTACTCCGACGATAACCTTCTCCAGCTCGTCATTGCGCCTTTTGCCGTCTGCACCAACATGGCTGTTCTGTGGATGGTCATCGTAACCGGTGGATTGACAGCCTACTTTGTCGCACAGTCATACGTAATGGCCCAGATTTTCCAGGCACCGCCCTACCTGCTCAGCACAGCTGGAGTCGGCTACCTCTCCCTCGGCCCTTTTCTTGGAGGCCTCATTGGTTCCGTCTTCATCGGCATGTTTTATGATCCTCTGATCAAATGGTGTGCTAAGAAGAACAACGGTGTCTACGAGCCAGAATACCGTCTCCTGGCCATGATCCCATCCGTAACCATCGTACTTGGCCTGTGCCTATTTGGCCACTTTGCCCAAAAGGGCTCGTCCTTCTACCTCACTGCCTTTTTCCACGGCATGGACCTTTTCGGCATCGTCATTGCGTGTATCGCAGCCTCTTCCTACGTGCTCGACGCCTTCCGTGACATCAGCTCCGAAGTCTTCATCATCAACATGGTTTTCAAGAACTTTTTGTTCTACGGCTTCTCGTACTTTGTCAACAACTGGGCTGCCGCCGACGGGCCTGCAGAGGTTTTCTACGTCTTTGGAGGAGTTGCAGGCGGCATGATTATTACGGCACCCATCTTCTTCTTCTGGGGAAAGCGGTATAGGAGCTTTTGGCACAGGCATAACCTCTTGCAGAAATGGGGTATCTCGACGCATGCTGAGATTTAATGTTTTGCATTCATATTGGCCATGGATTATTATTATTATTATTATTGTAGATTGCCAAAATATTTTTTTCGGCTCTCATTTTACTGCATTGCTTGCTTGATTACCATAACCACTATTTCGTGTCGTCTATATGCACTACAATGAGAGACCTCCAGTCGAGTATGCTGTCGACAGTAACAACACGGCCAAAGTCTGAAAATAGCAATGGGGCTTCCCACGATAATACCTACGGACAAATGGAACCGAGTAGCTGCATATGCGGAGTAATTGATACCGCGTCGTGCAAAAGTACCCGCAACGAAAGCGCAAACCCGTGGAACAGCTATTCGTAGACTCATGTATAACATGCGTATTATTATCACTCATTGCCCTCCCTTGCCTACGACACTGCTGTCAATATAAGGTGCGAAGGTGCGAGAGAAAAAAGGACCCAAGAATAGTTGCGCACCCACACATGTTCTCTTATCAGCAAGGTAACACGACATATCCCGATACAGTGTCACGGTGCACACAGAAGAACCCTTGGACCCGCACAAACAGCTTTTTAAAAGGCTAGAGTCCAGCATCCAGTAGCCTGGAGGGCAAATATATGAGCTTGCACACGTGAGGTGGGTTGCACTGCATTGGCTCGGGCCCATGCGGTATTCTGATTGGACGCAAGTTTCAAAACATTTGCTGCAGGTAAGATGACTAGAGTACACTGCGTCCTAAGTGGCGTTGTGCATCGAGGGAACACGGAACCCGAGATGCTGAACGAGTCTCGAGTACGAGGAGTGCTCATTCAGCCGGTGAGAGTAATCGACTGTTGTGCTGGAGAGGGGCGGTGATCATGGACTGAAAGGGTGCGTCTCTCGCATTGGATACGTACGGGAAAGTGCTATTGCATCTGTGTTCACATATTGCAGCTGCCATGTCCTTATCAGCGCTTCGCGAAGCTGTCACCGTACTGAACTGAGGGCATGCGCGCTCGGCTCGCGCAAACCCCCCACGTTCGTCTGGTGTGCAAGCAAGTTGGGAACATAGCCAAGCAGCACGAGCAAGCAACAGTGTGCTCGAAACGGGCCAAAGCGCCCCGCGGCCCATCTAGACGCCCACGACATCATCCAAGCGCCCACGATGCGCATAATCTGCAAGCTCGAGGGGAGGTTCGTTAAGATGCGGCGATATAGCATGTTCGATTAGAGTTGCAGCCACCAGCGACACATTGCGCAATGGGCGAGCGCGTAACGAGTCTGGATTGCGAGCTGTGCCTGAAAATCCGGCACTTTGGGCTGACAGCTTCAAGCCTCCAGCCCTAATCGAATAGCCTTGGGGCGGACTGAGATCGTAGGGCTGGCGGTTAGGCATCTTCCATGTGCATTAACGTGCGGGGCGGCCTCGAAAGGGTCCAGAGAGCGGCTAACGGTTGCTCGGTGATGGACTGGTTGTTTCTGCTTTACTCAGTTGAGTAGAGATCAGACACGAAATGGTCACATCTTGGGCCGCCGAGGCGATGACGTTGAGGCAGTGACTGCATCATGGAATCTTCGTCGTCTCGGACCAGTGTACGAATATTGATGCCGAGCCGTGACCGCTTCTTGGACGTTTGACGAATGCGAGCTCGCAAAGCGGCATTTCGGACTGGTGACATTCGCTAGTGTGCATACAGGTGCTTGGGTCAGGGAGCGGAAAGACAGCCGAAGCTCGGCGGTATGGTGAAGCTCTTGACCAAGTATTCCAATTACTTCTTGAAGCCATGTGCCGAGCTTTGCGGCGAGCTCAACGCTCATGCTGTAGTAGTGCATCTCAGCACTGGACGGTGTGCGAAGTTGGATGGAGATTTGCAGCCAACCAGGATCGGATGTGGCCAGGCGGGCGGGCCTCGAAAAGCTTGTTTGCACACTAGTCCCAGTCAGGGTGGCCGGCGCTTAACATCTCCATCGACATCCAGTCAAAGGCTCGCAACACCACCACCCCGCTCCACCGTCTCGCTCTTCCCGTGCATGGCTGCAAGCAGCCTGAGCAGGGCCTTCAGGGCCCAATTCCTCCAATTCGCTCACCCAGCGGTCATGCGAACGAAGGACAAGCCCCATGCTGATATCCGCTAATCCACCAAGCGGAGCTGCCCTACCGACGGACGGGGACTCTACACCCAGGCAAAGGTCTGTGATACGACTGCGGCTTCTGTCTTGTTCCCTCGACGACTACGCTAGAGCCCTAGACTGATGAGCAGGATTATGCTGCGGCCCCGACATGGTGAAATGTCTCACATGAGATGGAAAGAGGGCCACGTACACGACACGGCAGTGCGCGCTGTGCGACAGCTCCGAGGCTGCTCGACATGGAAAACCGTCGTCTTTGTGCGTACATGCGTATGTCAAAAGGGACCAGAGATGGAGCACACTGATAGCATAAGGTGCCTGATGCAACCGAAAGCGCCCCTCGCTTAAAAGGGAAGACCAAGATCGGTCCGCTTCCTTGCCGTCCGCTACTCGCCAGTCAGAGCGCAAGGCCCAGTGCATGAAGCGCATTCCGGTGATAGCTGCAAAGCCCTTCGATAATCTAATGTGTTTTGATGCAGGCTGCGGAGTGTGACGGCGCGCTTTAGGCTCTAGATTACCCTTTTGAGACGCCCCCGGCCTGGACTGGCAATCACATCTTGGCCCAATAGCGTGGGCTGTGGTGAGCGGCAGAATATCATTCTCCATTTGCTGCCACGATACGACAATCCTATCCCCTGCGAGTCACCCGCACCCCACTTAGCCACAGGACTTAAGGAACTGGGCTCCTGCTCACGCACGCTATCTACTTTTCAGCGCGCATGCCCCGTCCGGTGTCTCGACAACATCTGCGAGCATTCGTACCGGATACCGTCGTTGCAAAGCAAAAACAAGAGGTGGACCTAGCTTCCTACTAGACGGGGTCGATCCTACACACCACAGCATAATATCAATCCTGGATACAGTTTCCGCCGCGCCGCGGGAGCGCATGGTCACAATAAACGAGCCTTGACCTTGTCATCATCCATGTAGAACCGGGACCCCGGATGTCCTTCAAGCAATCACCTTCTCGAACCCATTACTCGCCGGCCCAGGACGCGTCTACGTTGCGGTTCAACTTTTGCTGGCAGAGGTGATTTACGAAACAAACACCACACCGATTGTTACAAACACCACCTACGAATTCGAAGATGCCAGCTCTTCGGGAGGCTCTCATGGCACGGACAGGCGTGGCCATGGGGCAGCTGGGTATCGCTGTATCACACGCCGAGCACAACATCGCGGAATCCGTCTCAACATTACTACGGCGGGTGAATATTCCATTCAACAGCACAAGTCCGCCCGGCTTGATAGAAGCAAACACGGTTGACCCATGGAACAAGAGTGGAAAATATGCGTTGGCATATGTCTACTTTTGCATACCTTTGTTGGTCATTGCGGCGCTTATGCGATACTACCACCTATTCACGGACAAGATCCGAACAGCATTACATCAAGAAGAGGTATTGCAGTCCTCGAAGACATCATCTCCCGCCACAGACTACGAGCTATCAGTACTTGATACTGACAAGTCCACCATGAAGTTTTTTCCTCGCGAAGGCCCGCTACCAAGTGTGCCAAAACAGCAATCTAGTGTATCGTCAGTGGGCCCAATTAACAACATAGTGGCCTTTTTCCGATTCGTGTTCTATCGACCGACTCCGCAAATTCAGCTCAAGAAAGGATGGAGGCCTATTGTGTTTCCATCTTTGTCGACAATTGTGATCGTGTCACTTGCTTTGATCCTCGGAGTGCTCTACTGCACCCTCCCTCAGCCACTATTTTGGGACAGCATTGCTTATGGATCGCCTCCACTGGCAGTTCGCTCTGGGATGATGGCGGTTGCTCTCATGCCTTGGATAGTCGCACTTGCGATGAAGGCGAACCTCATCTCCATGGTGACTGGTATCAGCCACGAACGATTGAATGTGTTGCACAGATGGGCAGCGTACATTTGTCTGGGTCTCAGCATCATACACACTGTCCCTTTTTACGTTACCCCGATCTGGGAAAAGGGTGCGAGACAGTCTTTCAATCAGTTTTTCCAACAAAACAAGGGAATGTACATTTACGGCACAGGCATGTTTGCTAATCTCAGCAGTCATGTATAAGAAACTGACATGTCCCAGGTATCGCAGCGCTTGTCCCCCTGTGTTTTCTTTGTATGCACTCGATCGCCCCTCTCCGCCACCGAATGTACGAGCTCTTTGTAGCGCTCCATGTGCCAGTCTCTATTGTCTTCCTCGGCATGATGTTTTGGCATTGCAACAACTACCTAACATCTTGGGACTACCTACTCTCGACTGTTGCCATATGGCTGTCGTCCTATATCATGCGGCTCTTTTACCTCAACTGGACTCGTCCAGGACGTATGTCATGGCTCATAGGCGACGAGTGTGCTGTAACCCTCATGCCAGAGAACGCCATCAAGATCACCATTCCAACTCAGATGAGATGGAGGCCTGGACAATACGTCTATCTCCGCATGCCTGGCATCTCTGTATTCGAGAACCACCCTTTCACCATCGCCTCGCTCTGCAGCGAAGATTTCCCTTCGACATATGCCGAGGGCCACCGCGACATGGTCTTGGTCTTCCGACCATTTGGAGGCTTCACCAGGAAGGTCCGTGAGAAAGCCCTCCAACACGGTCCATGGCACACCTACCGGGCCTTTGTCGATGGTCCCTATGGAGGCATGCAACGACGCATTGAAGCCTTTGATGACGTTGTACTTATCGCTGGTGGTAGCGGCATTACCGCCATTGTTTCTCAACTGCTATCCTTGATTAAGAAGATGCGTGATGGCAAGGCAGTCACACGCAAGATTCACGTCATCTGGGCCCTCAAGCGTCCTGAGACGATGGAGTGGTTCAAGGAAGAACTCCGTATTTGTCGAGAGTACGCACCGCCCGAGACAGTAGAATGTCAGTTCTACATCACCGCAGCGAAGCGCAGCCTTGCTGGTGGACTGGTTAGTGCAAAGACACCGACACGTCCAGTGTCGCTCTACTTCCACGACAAGGTCAACGATGCATTCCAAAATATCGCCGAACACCGCTTGTCCGGCATCTCGTCCAAGCGACACTCGGCCCTTATCCGCGACGAAGCGCAAGGCGACCCAGAAAAGGAGTCTGAACTTCGACGCGAGAACGAAGACAGCATTACCGCGCTCCCACAGGCGCACTTGCTGCCTATCAACAGGGGCCATCTTGCCCCACCGCGCCCCAGCCACAACAACGGCAGTATCTCCGCAGAGTCAGCAAATAGCTCGAACCCCGACCTCATTGCCCCGGCGCCCCGCGGATTGGCTGCCCGCCGTCAGGAGCGTAACCTTTCTCTTGATATTTCACAGGCTGTCGCGGCCGGCTCTGGGGCAATGGCCCCTAGCATTGTCCACAACCCTACTGAGACTACGCAAGGGTTCGACTTTGGTTTCCCCTCGACGCCCACCGAGTTCCAAAAGAACCTGATGCGCTTTGCCTTTCTGCCCGCCGCCGTCAAGAAGAAGGACGGGTGGAGCACAGAATACGGACGCCCAGATATACCGTATCTACTCAAGGGACTGAGTAAAAACTTTGGCAGACGCACTTGTGTCTTTGTGTGCGGACCACCGGCAATGCGCATCAGTGTCAGCGAGACTGTTGCGCAGTTGCAACGAAGTGTGTGGAATGACAGTGGGCGCGACGAAATCTTCCTTCACGCCGAGAACTACGCTTTGTAAAGCATTCATGGTCCCGCGACCGTCTCAACTTCCCTTTTCTCTTCCCTTGTGCATAGCGTTGGTAGGCTTGGTGTATATACCCCTTTCTTTTTCCTTTTGTGTTCCACTATACCTGTACACGTATGACGACTTGAACGAATATGAGCAAGTCAGCTCTCCTTTTTTTTTCTATGAGCAGGATACCCCAGGCTAGGAGCTAATATGGGTAAATCTAAACCTTGTAGTCTTATGAAACAAACTCTGACTATTGTCACCAAGTATCCAAGGATACACGTTATATGTGCCAGAGTCTTGACAGGCACGAGCGTTTTTGTCGCAGAGATGGTGGTGTCTTGCTTGTCCAGCCCTTTTTTGCGGCGAAGGGCTGCTGTGCGCGGGGGGCGTGCTGCCTCGGTAAGTCTTGTGCTCTTTTGTGAAAGCCACATAAAAAGAGGTTTGATTGAGGCGTGGTTGTCGGTGTATGAGGGCAGCGGCAAGGGCACATCACGCTGCTCATGGCATTGTCACCTTCTGCATCTGGTTCGTCCATGGCCGGACGGGAGTTGTGTTCAGCACCCCCTCCTCGCCCCAAGGGAGCTGGTGGGGTCAACATTCACCCATGGACGTAACGGCACAATCAGGACACCCTTGTCGGCTCGAGGCAAGAGGGTGTGCATGCGGAGTTGGTGTCCCGCGCTTCGGTGGCTCTGTATGGCACAGCACTGGGGGGTGGTAAATAAGCGCAGAAAAAAGCACAGCGGTCATGGTGGTTCAGCGTCGGGTGGCGGGCTCTGGTGGACGAGTGGAAGGGGAAGAGAGAGGAGGGGCTCGCAGACGGCCGACTGCCGTACAGTATGCTCGCTTGATTGCGATACGTGCAGTGTCGCGAACAACAGCACAGCTGCAAGCATCATTGCACAACCGCCAGACAGCTGCACACCCAGCGGGATTCGGGCGGCAGGATGTAGGGCTGCAGCCGGGGCTAAGAGGAGATGAGGGTGTGGGATAGTTGGGCGTTCGCAGGTCTTTGCTTTTCTGGGGGTGACATAGGCCGGTAGCTTTGTCTGGCACTTCCTCCCCTCCCCCATACCTAGCCGGCCACTTGGCGGGCCTCAGCTGCCCCCGTCCCCCATAGTCCCAAACAACATCAGCTTGCATATCCCCACTCCCCCCTCGTCTCCCATTTCCTCCTCGACGCATGTATGTCGTAACGTTTCCCAGCAGCTCCATAGCCCATTAGCAACAATTGCTACAGCTAAAATTAAGCACGAGGCGTCACACCGCACATACACACACCTGCACACCTGCACACCGGCACACCGGCACATACACACACACGCATACGCACCAGAGGGAAAGCAGACATACAGAGAGAGACCAAGCAGGTTCCACCCGACCGACCATGTTCTTAAGATAACTATGTGCACATGTCTGCCATCCCAGTGTCTGAACTGGGCCTCAACTCGAGCGAGAGCAGATATCTCCAGCAGCAAATTGCCGCCTCGCAGCAAGGCTCCAATTCGTCGCGCGCTGCTTCTCACGCCTCTAGCCAGGGCCGTCTCCTCCTGGATCCTTCTAGTTTGCAGGCGCTCAGCGCCCATTTTGACCGTCTGATGTATTCGATTCAGCAGCGCTGGCAATACGTGAGTTTCTTTTCTCTCTCAGCCTTCTTCCGTCTACATTGTAGTAGGAATGGAAAGCAGATCTAGCAATATACATAGACGTTCAAAGCTAATAGACACTCCCCCAGCTCACCCAACAGACCCAAACAGCAACCCAAGTGCAGTACGACCGCGCGGGCAACGCAATGGCAATGGCTGACGCGGAAATCGCCCGCTTCCGCGCCATCCTCCGCGAAATCGACGAGCTCGAGGTCGAATTCGACAAGGTCCGGCGCATTGGCGAAATCGTAAAAGGCTTCAAAGCCCGTGTGGATCGCCTCGATCGCCGCATATAAATCTGGGACCTGCCATCCCCCACATCTTTTTCTTTTATCGCTTTGGCCTTCAATTCAGTCTCGCATAATCATGCCGAGATTATAAAACAGACTACCCAATGTCCTCGCGGACGCAACCGGATATTTCATATCCTATATTCCTTTTTTTAAACTGGAATGCCTCGCGGCTACTAGGCGTTTTTTTTTCTGGCTTCCTCTTCCGCTTCCAATTCTAATTCCTTTGGTAACTCGCTACTTCTTATTTTTTTTCCCTTGCGGGAAAATACCACCGTCTTCTTCATTTGCCTTTCCTGGGTTTAAATCAATTGTTCATATCGTTTATCGTACAAACTCGCAATTCCTCTCTTCGTCCCTCTGATTACCAGCATCCAAGGGCTGTAGATCAGGTGCAAGACGCCACTCAGGATCGACGCTGCAGGAACCACCACTACCACCACCCTCCTCCATGGCCTTGGTTTCCTTATTTCCGTGAAAAGAAGTTTCTGCTTGCTAGCTTCTTTAGCTTCTTTTGTCCATATTTTATGTAAATCACTATTCCCCTTGTCTAGTGCCTTTTTGCTTTTCTCCCGCTTTTAGTTATGTGTACGTAGTTTGTAGTTGACATGTCTGCGGCACCAATGCAAATAGACCGCTTCTTATCCAGCCTACATTGTTCTATTTATGACTTGTGTCCTACTTGAAGTTACGTTTCCTTTTCATGGCCATTACTTAGCTTCCGCGCGATCCCGAAGACATTTGCGCAAAAAATATACACGACTAACGCCACACATTGCGTGCCACTACCTACTACCACCCATCATCCGAGCATGACCAGTAGTCCAAGCTATCAAACCAAAAAAAAACTGATCACACAGCAAGCAAAAAAGAAAGATGCTGACAAGAGTGGGACTCGAACCCACGCAGATTTCTCTACATGAACACTTCCTCGAAGAGGAGGAAAGCTTTCGCTTGAGTCATGCGCCTTAACCGCTCGGCCATCTTGTCTGATGAACTTGTGATGGAAGATAATCCAATTCCATCCTCTAAGTCCTCAGTGTTGTATGAAAAAACACAAGAGGAAGTGATAGCAGCTTTACCCAAATCCGGTATGGCATATCTCAGCCCCACATCTCGCAACCCTAACACCTTTTTTGCTAGGCCCCGGTTTTTTTTTCTGCTTTCGAGACAGGGTTATATATCTGGGATAACTAACTAGTTACGGATGCGAATGCAAGATTGTTACATGGGTTCTTTTTTGTCTGACAGATATCTAGTCATCACAACAAGGGGGGGGGGGGTTGTTTATATAGACATGTATTTTTTTTACAAGCAATAATGTGAATGGATTATTCTATCCCTGATCTTGTTCACGTAGGCTACAATAAAGAAAAAAACAATATTTTTCTCCGTCTTTGTCGTCCCCCCACCCAAACCATCCTCCGGTTGGAAGAAGGCTTTTGAGGTGGGGGATTTCCATGTGCGGCGGGGAATTTTTTGTCTTGTGCTTCTTTCATACATGGATGTACATGTGCGGCAGGGTTTACCGATGAGGGAGGGGTAAAAAAGGGTTTTGGTGAAAGCGCGAGAAGGGAAGGAGCAGGAGGAGTGCATTGCATTCGGGGGTTTTGTTTTGCGCGAAGATGGATGAAGGGACGCGTTGCGTGTAACACGTGTCTTACTATATGTGAAATGAGAGGAGAGGTTTTACTGCGCAAAGTTTTTCTTTATTTCTTAAAATGAGCGTTGAAACAACGAATCTGCTCTGTTGTTTTGCGACAAGGTGCGGTGGGCCTGGTCGATGCGATTTCTCTCTCTTTCACGATGGAGATCGTGAGGATGTTAAGGTTTGTCTGGACCAAGTGTGGGTAGGTCTAGTAGTAGATAGAATATATGTCGCAACCCCGTTCTACATATACAAAGTGAAATAAAGGCGGTAAGATCGGTGCTACATATCAGCTTTCTATAGGTCTGTAAGAAAAATGTAACATGGGTTTCTTCATCCGTTGAGTTTCATCTGGGAAGTTTGTTGGTCTCTTTGTACTGCGATAGGTAGGGGGTCTTTGTGACGATGTTTGTTCCTTGTTTACAAGAAACAAGGTGGTTCAAATGCGAAAATTGGACGTCATGTGCTCCCACACCTCCTGTCATGCCGCGGGGAGCGCGGTAGCAAGTATGTGAGTGGATGCTTACTTCGCATACTACTGCAAGTAATGAGGCTGGCAAAACAAAACGGGAAACCAACACAGTGTAGCACGTAAATCATTTAACCCGGATCTAGGCTCCCGACTTGCCGTGAGGACCATTCTTGCTTTCCCAAGATCCTCTCATCATGCCAATTTTTCTTTGATCTTGTTTCTTCTTTCTCTTGGATGGCTAGGCAATCATACTACCCAACTAACCTTGCTACCTTAACCACCCCCCCATCCAACCCCCGTCCACACACGATGACGTCGTCAACATGCGCGTGGGCACCGAACCTACCTTTTTCCCGCGTACCGAATACCCGGTTTCACACATAATGGCGAGCATCTGAGAGTGCGAGCGCACCTTGCAACAACCCCCCCTCCCCCACGCGCGCCACCGGTTAATGCCAAGGTCTAATCTGTCGTACGTACGTATCTCGCTTTCTCGAATAGTGTATCCCCACGCTTGACAACCCACCCTTCCCCATGTCCACTACCCGGCCCACCCTTCCCCGGTTCCGACGACGCTCATCGCGCACGCGACGTCGGCGATACGCCAAGGAATCTGACTCTGATATAGGGTGGGCAGAGTGCGAGAAATCCAACTCTACAACCCCACTAATTATTTCAACTCACCTTCGCAATGGGGCAGTCGGGTGGGTTTGGCCAAGTGTATCGTGGTGCGCCATGAGAAAAGGCGTCGGGCTTCCATGCATGTTCCTAGTTGCGCCCCAGGAGGCCTGGCCGCTCTGGGGGGCTGGGGGGACTTAATCTATCCGCGTACGGGAGCTTCCCGGTGGAATGTTTGTCGTTTCTCGTCGATAGAGTGGTGTGGGACAGGGTAATGGGGGTGTAAGACAGGGTGCAAGCAAACCGTTGTGGCACAGAAGGGAAAGGCAGGGGGAGGAGGGAGTGGAGCTGTCTTTATTGGAAACTAGTATATACATACTCTTTTTTTTGTGTGAAAGCATATATGTCTGCCGATGAAGATAACGTGATTGTGCGCTTGCCAGACTGATCCCGAGGTGCGTGATGGAAGTCACGCGACGATCGGTATATGCAGATGTACATCAGTACTGTGTGCAATCTAGGATGTTTTTTGCGAGAGACACAGATAAGCGGAGATATCCAGCTGATCGATAGACTTTCAGTTCCCAGCCGTCGCGCAGCTTCGAGAAAGGGAGAGAAAGAAAAGGGGATACGAGAATAGAATCTGACGTTGACGTAGAACAAGACTAGTGTTTCTGTAGTAGCGTTATCGCATACCATTGCGGTTGTTTGTTGAATGGTCGAAAAGATGATGTATTCTTGTGTTTAAACTTTTGGCATCAGTCTGTGTGCGACAGAGTTTTGGCGTAATAACGGGCCATATTATTGATGAGGTAAGATTTGTCTGCTGTCCGCGTGATAAGGATGTCTGTGGTGTGCCGAGGCTCAGGGACTTCATGCTGCTAAATGTAGAAAACAAAAATGTGAATAATGTTAGAAGAGAAGTTTGTGCAAACTGTTCTATGAACATGTAATGATTGAAGTGGTAATGGATAAAACTATCTACATAGTACTATCCGAAGAGAGAGCGACGTCGCTTCCAACCCCATCTACGCAAGCCCATGTACAAGACCTTCTAAGGATAAAACTTACTAGGAGAGAATGTGAAAAATGATGTAGTAATGCAGGAAAGACACAACCCCCCTTCCTCCGTCTAACCCGCGCTAAGAACGAAACAAGCAATCATTAAGATGAAATTGCTCACAAAGAGCTCCCCATAAGGAAAAAATCCCACCAAAATGGTTTCTGGATACTTAGGACAAGCTCCCCTGGCCGATCGTTTCAGCCTTTCCCTTCACTGTGTTCCCTGTTCCGGCTCAAACCGTGGGCACAAGGTTATCGTTTTTTTACTTTCTTCTCCCCCCCCGGGCAGTTTCGTAATTCTCACCTCAGCACTTGAGGCTTCACTTCCAGAAACAAGATAACAAAAAAACAAAGGGAAATCCAGATATCGAAATCTTAAAAGTCCCACAAGGTGCCAAAAGCATGCATGCCTTCCTGTGCACAGCCCTGCATCATCTCATCGTTGCCTTGCATGTTGCTTGTGATGAAGATAACCTCAGCGCCGAAACTCTTCCACGTATCGCGCAGCAGAGCCATTGTGTCCGGGCGGCCGCCTCGCTTCTTGCTGTCCCACAGAATCATGCGCTCGGGCTCGATATGCTTGTGGATCAGGCCCGTGACAGTGGGTCCAAATGTGCGCTCTTGGTCTGAGCCGATCCAGATCAAGAACCAGTTGGGCGATTGGATACAGGTAGAGAGTGCAGCGCCGATACCTGTGCCCGTGCAGATGCGAATTCCGCGCTTGAACATGGCCGAGGCGTGTCCGGGTCCAGCTGTAGTCAGGAGTATCGTCGTCAGCTGTTATTCATGTGGATGTGGGGCCTTGTTGAGGCTGTGTGAGAGGCAAAAATAGTATCACATACCGAACTTCAATTGCCGTGTCCACACAGTTTTGGGCGGGTTGGCGACGAGACCTCTGGTGAAGTCGCCCTGCACGCCGCAAATCATGTAGTGGCAGCCGGACTTACGGCCTTCGCTGATGATGCCAAATGCGTGGTATTCCATAATGGACGTGCGGCTGATACGGCCTAAGAGACCTTGCTGCATACCGCGCTCGAATTTGAGAACTGCGACCTTGGGTGAAGGGATTTCAACTTCGACGGGTACTTCGCGGAGAGTGAGCCAGGGAATGAGGATGCTGTCAAGTGTTAGTCATGGGAAGGGTTTCGCGCTGAAGATAGACCTACAAGACTGTCATGAAGACTGCAAACCAGAGTTCTTGTGAACTGAGAAGACTGTGAGCGTCGCTTCTCCACTCTCCACGCTTGATGTCGTAAGTGTTGCCCATGATCACGAAAACCCATGTCATCTAGAGCATTTTAGTACCCATATTGTTGAAAAGACATACTGAATCACATACTGCAAGACCTAGCCATCCAACAAAGCGGTGGTGTCTCTCAAAAACGTTGTGGTAGGTGCTGCATAACGTGTTAGTCCGGTGGTACAAAAGCAGGCTTGGCTCCATCAACTTACTTTCGCACCCAGGGGAATGCGCTCACGATGGAGATTATAATGAGCACGTTCGTGATAATGCCGCTGACAATGACGGCAGGGTGGTGCACACTGTGGTACTTGATGATGTCGACAATCTTATAGACGAGCCAACTGTATTGACCATTAGTCACACCCCCTTATTCCAAAGTGTTGTATAAACATACGCGGCACCGGAGAGGGCACATCCAGAGTGGATACCTCCCACATGTTGGAGTATTGAGACCACTGCCAATTTTACGGGGATCGGTGTCCACTGTTCAGATGGGTCAGTGATGGGTGTTTGAGACGGTAGGCATGGACGGATACATACGCTCAAACCGTAAATGGCGACCATGTAGAGGAAGCGCATCCAAAGCTCATTTCGCATTAAGATTGCACAGAGCAAATTGCCCAACACCAAAGCACCCAGATGGTTTTCGGCATAAGGGAAGTGGTTGGTTGCTGCGCAAATGATGCCTACGAGGTTCAGCACGACAACGAGCGTGAAGAACTTTCGGTACGTGTTGAACCAGAGCTTGAACAGGATCCATCGACTGATCTTGGGCTTTTGTGGCTTGTCTGTAATCTTCTCCTTGACTGTAGTCTTGGGCTCGTTACCAGTAGGGTTTTGTCCGCCTGCACCCAGATTCAGATCGGGCACGCTTGTGCATGGTGTTATACCCTGATGCACAGGAGAGACTGGACATGATGATAGGCCAGCCAGTGAGAAATCGGGTATGCTTGCACGGGGTGTTATGCCGTGGTGTACAGGAGAGACTGGGAATGATGGTGGAGGAGCCAGTAATGATCTTCTCGGGTCTATGTACACAAACCCAGGTGCTGTTGACTTGAGTGCGCTATCACACAGGCCCTTTTCCGCACTGTCGAGCGAATTCAGGCTGTTCCTATCGACAATCGAGCTGGTTGGTGTGAAGGACATTGTGCAAGCACACGACTAAGATACCAAAGTCCAAAAAGGGGGGAGGGGTATAGAGACGAAGGACAATGAAGACAGGGATGGCTTCTGCCAAATGTCGAAAGAGAAGATGATGTCCAGTGAGAAGAGATTGATAATGGTACTTTAAACGACAAGGCAGTCTTTGAAAGGGTACTTATGATAAGCCAGACGCCAGTCGTACCCGCTCTATTGGGCACCTGGATAGCCGCAACGCTACTCATCCACAATTGAGATATGGAGTATACGGTGCCAATTTCCGCAGCCATGACCGCCACCTCTGCCGATGTGTGGAGCCCTGTCTTACTCGAGTTTCCGCTGGCCCCGACATAGCATATTCTAAGCTGGCCAGGCTGGCGGACGGCGAAGCCACTTCCGGGCTCACCTTGTAAATCATGTTTAGTGGGGAGGGACGAACATCCCGGGAAGAGGCTAGGGTGGAACCTTCTACCCAAATATCGGTCGAGCGATATGTCCCCACAACTCCGATATAGAGGTCGGAAGATACCCCAGTCAGAACAAAACCGTCATGGTGCGTCTGCTACTATGGTGGTACAGATATGTCGGCAGGCTAAGATCACGCGGCGTGTATGGCATATTGCAAAACTATATGACATGGTCAATGCGGCGTTCATGTGTGACGTTTCAACGTGACTACCAGGCGCAAGCGACAGGGACGTGCAGAGCAGAAAATATACTGAGGCGCAGAGCCTGAGGCTGCATTTGGCTGTATTGGCGACAAGGCTATTTCGTCAGCTTGTGCCAAGATGCCCTACGACAAAGTCTCTTAATCTAGCTATGATTGCGGAACCGAGGCTTAATCTCTAGTTCTTCACGTACAGATCGACGTACTCGTCGATGTCCATGTTGTCAAGTGTCTTACCGTCTTGGGCCAAAGTGACGAGTTTGTCGACGTGGTCCGCCGGGTAATGCGGACCGAGGTGCCTCTTGTATTTAGCGAGAATCTCAGGCTTGGCCTCTTCACGTCGCAGACGGTGGCCAAGAGGAGCCTCAACTACTTCCTCTTCCAGTACTGTGCCATCCTTGAGCGTGACAGTGAGCGCATTAGAGATGGTCCGCTTTTCTGGGTCGTGGTAGTCTTTTGTGAATTGGGGGTCCTCGACACAGCTAATTCGCTGTCGCAACGACTCAACTAGCGCTGAAGTCGCAGCTTCGCTATCATCTGGATAGTCGGTGGCTTCGAGGCGGTTGAAGACGAACATGGTGGCTACCATGTACTGCCACATAGTCAGCTTCAGACCCGAGTCATCGAGTGTAAGCTTACCTGAACGCAGTGATCACGATCTGCGAAATTCTCCATTGGCTTGAACTGCTTATCGATGATCCGTATGCAAGCTTCGTGTGTCCGGTTTACCACGTGTTCAATGTCTTCTGCGGTCTTACCCATGGCCTTTAGCTTCTTGTTGAGGCGCTGGGCGGCTTCGACGGCGGTTTGGGAGTGGAACTCAGCTGCCACCAGGATTAATTTGTGTCACAAAAAAGGAAAAGGATCCAACTGCAAACTCACCAGGATACGAGACCTTGAAGAGCACGTTCTCCATGACGTAGCTGCCGTAGCCCCTTTGGAAGGTGAATGGCTTTCCACCAAAGTTGACGTCGTAGAAACCCCAGGTAGGGGCTGAGAGCACAGTGGGGAGACCTGGCTCCCCCTTCATGACCTTGAGCACGAGGTTGACGGCCGTCTGGCAAGCGTCACCAGCAGCCCACGACTTGCGAGACATGGTGTTCGGCGAGTGCCTGTACGTGCGCATTGACTGGCCATCGACAAAGGCCTGCGAGATAGCGTCACGCGTCTGAGCCTCGTTGAGGCCCATCATCTTGGATACGACAGCGGTCGACGCAAGCTTGACGAGAATGACGTGATCCAGTCCGACCTTGTTGAAGGAGTTCTCCAAAGCCATGCATCCCTGAATCTCGTGCGCCCTGATCATGGCTTCGAGCACATCTCTGACCTTGAAGATCTTTCCATTGCCGAGATTGCCTCCCGCCTTGTTCGTACGAGTGATCCAGTCGGCAGTTGCAAGAATAGCACCCAGATTGTCAGAGGGGTGGCCCCACTCGGCAGCTAGCCAGCAGTCGTTGAAGTCGAGCCAGCGGATCATGGCACCAATGTTGAAGGCACCATTGATAGGATCAAGCTGGTAGTTGGTACCGGGCACCTTTGTGCCATTGGGAACAACTGTTCCCTCGACGACAGGACCCAGAATGTTCCTGCATTGCTCGAAACGCAGACCCTCGAGACCACACCCCAGCGTGTCGATAAACACCCAGCGAGCCGTGTCATACTTTTCGAGAACCGACGTTAGCCTTTATTCTCGACAGCGATATTCATAGGAGCTTACCGCGAGCTCTGAATCGATGGGAGTGTTGTGGATGTAGCTGGCCATGTCCTTGATTTCGGGATCATACTCGCGCTTGGCGAGCGACTGCTTCACTTCGCTCTTGAGGGTTGTCATGGTGGAGAATGACGACGCAGCTATTGCTCTGGAGGTTACTGGCAGCGAGGGAAAAGCACGGAGAGCAATCGGCCTGGTGGCTCTGGTGACAACGCTGGCTCGCGATCGAAGGCTTCGTGAAGCGGTACTGCACAGGTTGCGACTGAAGGCCGACATGTCTGATTAGCTTCTGTCGTGCCGGACGACGTCAATGCAGCTCTGGAGAAGAGGGACAGTCGTACTAGACGCTTTAGAGGGACTGACTGGCTTTTGAATAGGTTCAGTGCACAGGTTGAGAACGCTCGGCTTGCAGAATTCGGGACGATGGATACTACGCCGTCGTCAACCGAGGTTGAACACATCCGTATGCCGCGCGCGGCTCATGTTTCACGACGCCAACACAGCAGTAGATTTGACGGGCAGCCTGCAATTGATGCCTCTTGTTCCTCGCCATTGCCATTGTGCTACTAGAGCTCTCTGCATACGAATTCATCCTTGGATCACAGCCACTTTGCCGCACTGCACACCAGCGTGTTACCCCGCATCATCCCGCGCCCGCCTCAGCTCGGCTACGTACGCTACCCAAGCCCGCAAATCTAGGCCCCCGACACAAACACAACCATCCGCCCAGACTCAAGGGCTGAGTACTGAAGAATATACATGCATTGAACATTCTTGGTATCAACCACTCTTCCGCTACGCCTTCCACTACTACCACCATGGCGCCAACTAACTAGCTACAACTCTGCTCCCCTAATCCTCTTCGTCTGCCATCCTCATCGCTATCTCTATTACAATCCCCTTCTTTTTACATGCTGCCCTTTCGGTTCATCCTGCTCTCTCTCTCCTCGCCAAATTGTAACTGCATACAGCCAATGGACCAAACATGCAACAGCCTCTCAATGATTCGGCGCTTTGCGTAGGGATTGGATTTGGATATGAATGAGCTGCTAAATGGCTTTATTTACCAATCATCCTTGTCCGATTCGTCGTCTGTAGAAATATTAGCACATCATCATACTGCCGCCCATGAGTACAGTCAACTTACCGCTGTGGCTAACTTTCGACTTCCGCGCCGCGAGTGCACTGGCCAATGCATTAGCTAGGCCAGCCTCTCCACCGCCTGAAGTCGAGCCGCCTCCCGAACCACCTGGAGGCTCTTTTCCAGGCACTGCTGCCGCACTGCGATCCTTCTTCTCTGAATCCGAAACCTTCTTCAGTCTTGCTCCTCCACGAATATCTGCTAACAAGCCATCCCTGCCAGCTGGAACCTTGGGCAAAGACGAACCGCCTGGTGGCGCAGGGCCAGGTGGTGGAGGAGGCGGTGGTGCTGGGGGTCCTCCCATTGGAGGTAATGGAGGCGGGGGTGGTGCGCCGCTGTTGGGCATAGGCGGAGGTGGCGGTGCACCGCCGCTGGGCATCGGTGGAGGGGGTGGAATCGATCGCCCTGGCATGGGCGGTGGCGGAGGCGGAGGCGGAGGTGGAGGCGCAGCATTGGACGTCGGTGGTAGCGGAGGTGGAACTGGTGCTGCTCCTGATGGCGGAGGAGGCGCAGGACGTGAAGCGGATGGTGGTAGCGGCGGTGGAGGCGGTATGTTGTGAATCGGCGGCGGAGTTGGTGCAGCTGAGGTCTTTGGAGGGAGCGGTGGGGGAGGTGCTGACGGAATGTCTCTCGCTGGGGGAGGAGGTGGTACTGGTCCTCGGCTTGGAGGAGGAGGTGGTGGTCCTGAAGGTACGCGATTGCCTGTGAAAGGCGGAGGCACGCCGAACTTGGCTCCACCTGATCTCTCCTCGTCGGGCACGGGGGTCTTTGGCGGTCGAGGCGGTGGAGGAGGGCCCGGGTTTGCTGCATTGGACGAGGCTCGTGCTCGGTTTGGTGGTGCAGGAGCCTGGTTTGCAAACTTGCCTGCTTCTGCAATTGGCGGAGGCGCTCTGAAGACTGGCTTGGGCGGTCCTGGGGGAGGTGTAGCTTCTCGAGTTGGCGAGTGCGGCGCTGGACTTTGCGACGAAGTTCGGTTGGCAGATGCATCGTGCCGCGTGCGTCGAGCTGGCGGGGGCTGTGGCGGAGGTCCGCGTTTCGATGTGGTTGTGCTGCCCGTGTGCTGAGGGCTGAGGGGCGCACCAGGCGGAGGTGGCGGCGGAGGAGCCCTGGATCGGCGCTGGTTTTCGTCTTTGAGCTTTTCTTCCGCCTTCCTCTGCTCAATGTACAGTTTGATAAAGTCGGCATTCTCTTCAATCTGGTCCTCTGTGATGCCCATGGCCAACAGTTCCTTGAGCAAGGGCTGCCATGAGGGGTCTGTGGTATCGATCGCGGAGCTTCGTGCGCTGGTTGCGTTGGAATGGCTGCTTTGCACGGGCGAGGTGACAGAGGGCGGAATGATGGAATGCGCGGGCGGAGCTGCATGGGAAGAACTTCGGTGTCCAAAGATACCGCCCAAAATTCCGTGGCCATGGCCGCCGCTCTTTCCGTTTGTTGAAGCTATACTACTGCCCACGGTCGCGCTAAAGGGCTTGCTCTTTGTGTTCTTGTGGGCGTTCTTCTCGCGGTCGTCGAGCTTCTTCTTGAATGTCCGGGCCTCCTTCTCGTCGGCAAAGGACAGGCCGGCTAGACAGTCCTCGAGCTCAAAGGTGTGGAAGAAGACGCGGTCCTGGTTGTAGGAGAAGGGGTCGTAGATCTCCTGGTCCCAAATGACGCCTCTGGTTTGTGGCTGCCTGTGTCAGTCTGAGGCATTTAGGTGGAGCTGGCGGAGCGTACCGATATGTCGACCATCTTGAGCCAGAAGGTGTTTCCGACCAGGTCGTTGGCCAGCACGACGGCGCCCTGCAAGCCGGTGTAGGTCCATCGGTGCCGGTCGGGGTAGGCGATATACAGCTTGGCGACGGCGACGGCGTGGATCTTGTTGCCAGACTTGGGGACGGTGCGCTTGACCATTTGCTTGTCCTCGTCGGACAGAATGGACGGCATTGTGGCGGTGGGTTACAGGTGGTGTATGCTAGCGGTGCAGAGGGTGTAGACGGTGTAGAGTCGTCCTACAAGCTTGGCTGGTCGAGGGCAGCCGTCGGGCGCTGCTGTGGTCCCTTCAGTGGGGGGCGTGGTCCTCGCGCAAGAATACTCAGGCGGCACATGTAGCAGCCAGCAGTCGCCGTATGTGTTGCCCGACAGTGCAGTGCTTTGTGGGCGAAGAATATGGCGGCAATGTCAAGACTGCCACGGTGGTGTGTAGAATACGGTGGAGCCTGGCAATGGGGAGACGTCAGACTTGATGCCGCAAGCTAGTCGGTAAGTACCATCCCGACCACGCGCGAGCCTAACCAACCACCACCAAGCCCATCCCACGACCTCGTCGCTCATGCTCAGCTGAAGGAAATGCAGGCGCCTATCTTGGCCCACAGACGAGCGACACGCCCATCAATCCGTCTGGGAAAACGATGCAGTTCCAATGTGCGCGACACATCATCTCTCCAGCGTGCGCACGCGACATCGCAGAGCCTTCTCTCCCAATGCTATCTAATTGCACACCAAGACGCGGCCCAAGATTGCCCTCGGCTTCCTTACCCTGCTGTCTGCGACCCAGTCTTCCAAATTAGGGCGGTCGCACCAAGTGTGAATTCAGTCGTCATGCAAAAAGTATCCACACTTCCGACAGGGTGACGTAGGCCTCTAGGATACACCCAGAGAAAAACACCTAGGGCCAGGCTCTCCGCCATTGGAGTATACGTACTCTACATGCGTTAATCCTGGCTGTGCACGTTACTAGATAAGCTGCAGAGAACACCACCTTTACACGCACACGGACCGCTCTACCTGTCTGGCCCCCATGTTTGTGGTCGCCTAGAGCGCCACCAACGCCGACCTGCCCACTCGGTTCAGCTGCACGAGGCCTCCAGCCATAATAACCTGCTTGCATTCGGGGCCCACACAGGTGGTGTGAGCAGGAGTGAACCTCGCAGTACCGACACGGGAACCACTTACCAAAAAACGCCACATCTTTGCCCGACGTACTCGACAACCGACTGACCATGGACGACTTGCTCGAGGGCTACATGGTGCTTGACGGAATAGCCGACTTTCTTGACGACCGCTCTCTGACCGATCGCACCAAGCAGCTGGCAACAACACCACAGTCGCAGCCTGGTGCACAAACCTCTACCGGCCCGCTCACGCCCATATCTGATCCAGACCAGCATAGCCAAAAGTACGCCCTCATTGAGGGTTTTCGTGACTGAACTGCCTGTAGCCATGTCCTTGACCTATCTAACAGACACAGTGAGGCCCCGAAAGGCGCGCGAAAACGACGAGGGCACAACAAGAGCCGTCTAGGCTGCATCGCGTGTAAGAAGAGAAAAATAAAGGTATATCTTCTCCACTCCAATAACCGTTCGTGATCCTAAAAGTTGTCACGTAGTGCCAGGAGACATGGCCGTCCTGTGCAAATTGCGACAGGCGTGCGCGTAGGTAACCTATCGTTTGCTGGGCTGCATCGTGACTGAACACCAAATAGTCGTCTGCAGGTACCCAGATGTATTCAAACATGCACAGCACGAGCTGCCCAGACCCAAGCCGCCCAGTCCACGCCAGATTGTCCAGCTGTCGGATAAGCCCATCATGTATAGTCCAGACGATATGCAACTTTTTCATCACTACCTCACTGCCGCATATCCTTGCATTCCCAGCAATAACGAGCAAGTCTGGACTCGGCATATTCCTCTCAAAAGTTACCAGGTAATTACACCCTGTACCTACTACAGACGCCAAGCATCCACAGTTGCTGATTGGCCTAGTATCCTTACCTTATGAATGCTATGCTCGCTTTAGCAGGATCCCATCTTGCCATCCAGGTCGACAACCCAAACGACCGCCTGGCACTCCGGCATAGACAGAATGCCATTGTAGGACTGGAGAATGCCTTTGCTCGATGGCCGCCGTCTCCAGATGAATCTCACGTCATGTTCGCAGCATCCTTCTTGTTATCCCTGCAGTGCAGTTACCTGAACGATGGCTTCTTGGAGCACTTCATCTCCTTGAGAGGATGCTCACTACTGTCTCAACTCATCGTCGCCGAAGGGTTCAACGGCCCTTTCGTAGAGCAGACAGGTGTAGACCTAATACCTGTCGATACAGCAACACACCAATACTTTGGGGTCGGCCAAGATATCCTTCGTGAAGCTTTGCTGTCCCTCAAAGGTTTCTCAAAGTTCATGACTCCAGACATCCACCCCATTGAAAAGGCCGTCGTCGGACAAACCGTACAAACACTTCGATATCTACTTTGCCCTGATGTCGAGCTAGAAGGCAGAGGAACGACAGTGCCAGACGCCAAAGGAACCACTGATCCTTCACAATCGACCGAGGCCCCGAAATCAGTTGCCTCCATGAACCCTTTACTCCCCTCCAGCATGGCAGATATGTTCCATGAAATTAATTGGGATAACATCACCACAGCGCCCGCTGGCTCTCCTTCCCCCCTTCGCTCCTTTCAAGGAATGATGGCAATCTTGACAATATTCGCTACCTGGCCCCAAGAGGCCCTCGTCCACATCTTTGACTCAAATAATCGCCTCGGCAACATCATCCTGGCGCACTTTTCTGCCATCCGCTTCATCCTTGCGCCAATGACGACAACGCAGAGTGCGCTGCGGACCCCGACACGGGCAATTGTACAGTGGTCAGCCAAGATCATTGCCATCATCGACGGCTATGATAAAGGCGGAGAGTGGTCTCAGTACGTGGAGTGGCCGAGGAAAATTCTTAGATGCGTGGAACTGTGTCTTGAGAAGCATAAGGGGTTCACCCTAGGCGACGTACGAGATTTATTTTTGCGCGATCCCGGTGCTTTCAAGGAGGGACGAGCACCAAGGATTTGAAAGAAAAGATTTGGAAGCAAAACATGTATTTTCAAAGATAAAAATATCCATTTCTTCTTCTTCGATATGAGTGGCTATTTTAGGTACTAGACGCTCTACTAATGTTAGGAGAGCATATGAATTATTAGCCTATAGCTCTTAATGCTAACTGCTATGTAGATGTATTTATGCTCTTTGCGATCGTGAACCCTGGTCAGCATCTACCTATCGAGTTCCGAGGATGGTGGTTAAATACGCGTGAAATTCGGAACGAAGCACAAAGCTCCCCCCCGCTTATAGCTCAAGTATACCTCTAGCCAGTACTGCGCCCTAGGTAGACGATTATTAGCAAGTGTGCAAATAAAGTTAAGAGAGATACGTGCTATACTAGGTGGGAGAAGACAATTGTGTAGTAGTGTCCTACAACGTCTGTCACGAATAAGCTATCACGAGAACTCCTCTTTGGTATTATTCTACGGCGTAGGGTTACTGAGAATAGGATATGTAGATATCTATATTAGTCTACTCAGTGACCATATATACATCCTGCATAAAATCAGCCCAGAGCGTGCTCTTCATTCCAGTCTCTTGAGCCTCCCACGCGGCATCGTGATGCAATTGCTCCATCCATAATTGCCATATTTCTTCCTGAGCTGTTTCATCGCCTGCAACCCATGCCTCTCTTATCATCGTAAACTCCTCTTGGATTTGTTTTGTTTTCCTATCTAACGCCTGGCTACGTTCTCTTAGCTCAGCCCCTATACGATTGCTAGGCAAAACCTCTAGTAGTTTTTTCTGCTCGCGGTAATGTACCTCTACAGCATGTACTGACCATTCTCCACCCTGGCTGAAATAGGCAGTACAACCAGAGAGTGGGCAGGAGAAGGGCTTATCACGTACCCCATCAAAATGGTAGCAGTCGAGCGCTTCTACTGTAAGCGGCCACAGGCCAAGCCTTTGTAGGGGAATTTTCTTATGAGCCTGATACCGGAGTCCCATATAATGCCCAACTGGCCCTTTAAACTGCTTAGGTGGCACGAGGATTGTCCTCCGCATACGTTGTGGCTCTGTCTTCAACCATCCCCTATCATCTGTGTACTGGAATAAGCATCTTTGCCAGGGATCAGTACGCCACTGCAGGATTCCAGTCGCAGATTGGGGCTTCTGCTCGAGATAGAGAAGAGAACACTTGATGCTCGGAGGACATGCTTGAAGTAAACATTGTAGCGCTCGCGGAAATGGTTCGTTATCGTCTTCCAGGCTATAACTTCCTTTGCTCTGGTTTAGAATAACCTTTTGCAGATTAGGACACCAATGCTTTAGAGCATCCCAGAAGGTATTAATAAGATCATGTCGAAGGACAAGCGTCCCATGCTCATGGATACATATCTTCTTGCTAATAACTGGCTGGTACTCCACTTCAACGTTTTGCACGTTTGCGAGAAAAGCCATGTCCCAGAACGACTGGCCTGGGTAGGCTTTGTCAATAAGCCACTCAGCTTCAATGAGGAAATAGGTGGCCTTTTGTCCCCAGAAGAGCTTTGAAGCTTCTCTTCGAAGTTTTGAAGAGGTGTGCATAAGTTGGAAGAGGGTGCTAACGGAGCACATGGCGACTATATGTAGCTGAATTTCTACTGGCAATTGGCTGAATATCGAGAAAGCTGTTTTTTGCCGGGATACATTTCTACGTATATCACTAGGGCTGACGTAGGTATGGAAAGGAGTCCGCTCTTCTCCACTTGATGTTATATACACTGCTTGATGGAGGTCCCTAGACTGGGAAGGGTAGGATAAAAGCTCTAGCAAATTGCAGATAGCATCGCGATGCATAGTGAGGAGAAGGATACTCTAGTTGCAGAGTAGTAGTATGAGTAGAGAGTAGCTTACGTCGTGATAAGAAAACGTCGTGTAAAGGCTACCTTGTATATTATTGTCATAACTAAGCTTAGTTATCCCTATGCCGCTTTCCCTATTGAGGGATAGAACGAGTGGTATCTATCTAGCGCCGCGAGTAGCGTCTTCCATCGCCGCCTCCTTGCCTAACCGCTGGGCTCAGTATAGCTCTAAATTTAAGTTTGTTGATCATTGATGGCATAGAGGGGTCTAAGGCGTATTTTGGGGTGATAGGACGGCACAGTTCCCTAAGCGCTAGCACGGCGTACTCATAGTTTGTATACTATTCTAATTAGTACGTAGTACAGTATTGATAAATAAGAGGGAGATCCGCTCATAAGAAAATAACAACCTGTTGCAGCCCGATTACTCTTCATTACTCGCTGTTCTTTCTTGTTCTATTACATCTACGCTTTCCTAATTGTTGTCCCTGGACAGTACGCACTTGTTTGATTGAACCCTGCTCTTTTTTTGCTTAGCTATGGGACTGCTTAAGCTGAGATGGGCAGTATACCTCTCCCATTCATTCCCCCTTCACCACATCGTCGCCCCAATCCTCTCCAAACAAACCGGCTCCACAACCCTAGCCTGCGCATCACATTCACACCTACAACCCCCCCTTTCTTCCCCACAGACCTGCAACCCCCCATGCACATACCCCCAATCACTAAACCAATGCAACTCCCCTGGCTCTAACAACATGGCAACCGCCAACGAATGCACAGCCGCATCCCCCCACCGCTCATAATAAAACCCACCCTCGTGATCCAAGAAATCAAACAAAGCAGTATACGCCTCTCCCCGAAAAAAATCCAAATCCCCAATTTCGAAATTCGACCAAAAGTGACACATGTTCCACAAATCACCCTCCGCATTGCGGTTCCGCAGCCACGCCAGCGCGGGGCGCAGGGGCCAGGGCGCAAAACTCGGGTCGTGGAGTGCGGTCCAAAGAGGAGATGTGGGGATGGCGTTTGTGGATTTGTAATCTGAGAGCTTGCGGAAGAGGGAGGGGACGGTCTTGCCGCGTTCCCAGAGGGCAGTGGTGTAGGCGTAGCGTTTGCGGTTGCGGCGCATGTACGAGAAGGGGTCGTAGGTGATGGCACAGGTGAAGGAGATGGAGGGTTCGACGCGCCAGTAGTATTTGTAAGGTAGGAGAGAGGGGTGTTTGTGGAAGAAGCTGCGGGGAGGGAGGAGGTGTAGAGGTCAGAAAGGAAGGTTATTGTGGTGTTGAGGGTTTTATTAGGGGGGAAAGAGTACGTACCCTGATTGAAAGCGACACATGTGATGGTATCCTTCTTTGGCGGCATACTGAATATTGTCTTCTTGCATGGCCTTCATGTTGCGTCTTGCGCGGTCTTGATCAATCCACGAGGGAAATCCCCACACGGCCTCTGGTATAGTGTTGAATTCCACACTGACGCGCCCCGTGGCGGATGTGTTTTGCACTGCTGCACCAACTTTCTCTTTAAACTCTTCGCTCCATGGCTTGTCGTTGAGAAAGACCCATGGGTACCCGAAACGATCATTGAACTGCTTCTGCACACTACGCACGCTGGCTACCGCGCCACTGACTTCTGAGTTGCGGGCGAGCATGAGCAGGACAGCATTTTCGCGCGCCGTCGTATTTGCCACGGGGTTCTGGCAGTCTGTGTGGAAGGGGGCATCGAGGGGGCGTGAGGGACGGGTTATGGTGAAGCTGTGGATGTGGAAGAGGACTTCGAGAAGCATCAAGGTCGCAATAACCAAGATCGCTTTCCAGTGTGATGAAAATGTGCGTAGCAAAGGGCGGAGCGGGTGCCGTGATGGCGGCCGGATAGTGGGTTTGTACATTACAGTAATGAGACAAGGCTATCACATTATGGCAGAGGCTCATGGGAAGAAGTCAGGACGAAGGATGCAGAAGGATTAGCCCAACCATGCCATAACGAGACGTGCTGAGTTTCGCCATAGTAAGCCTCCATATATCGGGATCATATGAGTGGCACAGTGGCAGCCTAGCTCCATCTGGCCAAATGTATGGAGAAAAGGGGACCTGCGTAATCAGGCCTTCTTCAACGTAATCCTTCTACATTCACCCAAGATCACTCCATTTTGTGTTACTTCGAGTGGAGAGCAAAATCGGAGTGGAGCGCGTGCGTTAGTACATCTTACACTCGCTTGGTTTCTAAGAGAAAAGGGAAAACAGCATTGCGCTTTGTCGAGACTCCAGGCAGTCTTCCTTCCTTCATCCAGACTGTGCCACGCACCGTTTTGCGGCTTGGTTGTTCGAAAGTCCTAAAACACCCGTGTTGATTGGGTATTTGGTATGGATTAGCGCCATGGATGTCATTCAATGATTGCATATAGTTTTCCGATCTCTTTGACACAACTGTTGGTTAAAACCCATGAAAAGTGCGTCCTGGGACTAAGGAATTTGTGTGAGCTGGGGTATCGCTCGAGATTGTCATTCTTCTCTACCAAATGATGATTAGCAGAGAAAGGAAGTGCACGACCGTAAGCCATCAGAACTACAATGACCAGATGTGTTCCAGCTCATCAACCGGCAATCCTGTTCATTTTGCTAATCCTCAATAATCCAGTTGAATCTTTAGTTAGTCTTCTTATTCGGCCCCGCAGTTCCTCGAAGCTTATTCAAGTTGAATGTCGTTGTGAAATAGAAATCCAGGACGGCGGTCGGTAGATAAGTCCACGCGAACCATACAATCCAGCTCATCTTGCCCTCCCATATCCATCTTGTCTTGCGGAATAAGCCGTCGCCAGCGAGGACCTGTTTTACACAGCTGCGCGCATACTGCTTGGTGTCCATGCCGAGCTCTTGGCTATGCTTGAGTCTTCGCTGGTACTCTGCCGCCAGCGGCTGCATGTATGAGCCAGGGGGTAGCGTGCGATCTTGACGCGCGATATTCGATTTCACGCCGCCCGTGACAACGGTGATGACGCGGACGCCCAGCGGCGCGAGTTCAACGCGCAGAGTGTCGGAATACGCGTGCAGCGCCGCTTTGACAGCGTTATATGGCGCGCCCCATACATACGGCATGATACCTGCCAACGACCCCGTCTGCACAATTGTGCCTTTTGCTTCTATCAGGAGTGGAGCGAACGTACTGCACATTTTCATGAGGGAGAAGAGATTTGCCTGGAAGAGCTCGTGCAGCTCAGCTTCGTCGTAGTCCAGCGCGGGTACGACATAGTTGCGGCCTGCGTTGTTATAGAGGATGTCGAGTTTGCCTCCAGTGATTTCGGACACGCGTTTGTGTAGGGACGCAATGGACTCGTTGCTGGTGAGTTCAAGGGGTAGATAAGTTATCCGCGGGTCGGGGGAGGGGTATTTGGAGGGATCGCGGACGGTGCCTAGTACGTGGAAGCCTTTTTTTGGTCGTCAGCATTGAGTCGTGGATGTGCATATACGTATATGCGTAAGTATACATTCGGAGTGCTTGGCATACCCCTCTGAGCGAATTCCAGGGCGAGGTAGTGTCCAATGCCGCCGGGCGTGCATCTGTTCGCGTCAGCGTTGCTTTTTCTCTCGTTCGCTTATACGAGAAAAACACATTGTTGCAGTACCACACACCCTGTGATCAGCGCATACTGCGACCTCGTGTTTCCAGTCATGTTTTTGCTTGGAGTTTTGGTTGTCTTGCAAATGTATGTTTGTAAGCGTCAGACCGTGGAAGCGCTCCAGAACTCTCATGTGCTCCAGTCCCACTTTTCGGCGGTTCTGTCCATACTAGCGCGTCGACGTCATTGCCGAACATCCGCGTCCTTAATTGCTACGCTCTCTTGCTGGTGCGAATGCCTGGCTGATCATTGCTATCCATCTTCGCACAAAACACGGGGAACCTCACCCTCCTTTCTACGTTTCAGCTTTTCATCAATTGTTGAGTTACGCTCTTGACAGATAAAACTGCCGAACGAATACCTGCGTCCAAAGAATCTATCTGAACATTGGCATTTTCCTATCTCTCTCATCATCCTTTCTATCATACATCATATATCATATATTCATAACAAGCCATCATGACGTCTGCGGATTGGTTGCCACAGGTTCTCCCTACCCTTCTCCGCCCATCTATACTCTTGTGTATATCAGCTTATCGTACGGCGTACTACCCAATTCTATCCCTAGTCAACATGTTCTAACAGCAGCACAGATTTCGTCATGACAATGTTCGAAGTAGTCTTCTATGAGTGGAGCCCCTTTACTCTATTTAACATCAACAAACTGCGTTTCAAAGCCTTCGCCCGCCTTTGGAAGCACAATGGTGAAGCCATGTCCACCGAGATGCCCGGCCCTACTTTTGAACTCCTGTCCCAGTGCAAAGGCGTGATTCTCGACGTTGGCCCTGGCTCAGGAGAAGTACTATCTCGCTTCGACCCGAATCTCATCGTCGCAATCTACGGTGCTGAGCCTGCCGAAGACCTGCATCCCAGACTTCGGAAAAATGCCGAAAAAAGCGGCCTAGGGAGCAAATACCATCCGATGCTTTGCGGCGCCGAGCCTGAAAGCCTGATCCCTGCACTACACAAGAGTGGCATTTTAGACGTTAGCGGAAAAGGAGGCTTGGCGTCTGATGGTGTGTTTGATGAGATATGCTGCACGCGCGTACTTTGCGGTGTACCTCATCCAGAACAGACCATCAAGGGCCTCTACAATCTCCTCAAACCTGGTGGCCGAATGGTAATCTGTGAACATGTCGCCAATCCATGGAGAACTCAGGGTAGTGTCGCAGCGCGGTTCATGCAACTAGTATACACCATCCTTGGCTGGCCTTTCTTCATGGGCGGATGCGAACTCCAGCGGCACACATTGGAATACCTGAGAGATGCTGGAGAGTGGGACAAGTTTGATTTGAGATACTACGGTCCCAAGGATTGCATCCCTTTTGTTGTTGGTGAGTTGATCAAGAGGCATGGCGAGCTGGACAAGAGCTATGCTCAAGCTATCAAGGAGTAGTTTGAGGGATGTTATACAAAGTGGATCGCTCATCTATAGTTTATAGGAGATAGGATGTTGGTGGATACTTACATCAAATCATACCAGGTCAGTGCAACACATTTTTGTAGGAAGCACTTCCAACGGGTTGGTTACAACAATAAAGTGTACATCATAGTTATGGTTATATCTTATTGTATGCATAACGTTTGTACATATCCAGTTCTATGAGAGACACACCCGGCATTTACACGTAATCAACACCCTTCTCTATCTGACAAAGTAGCCAAGAGCCATAGCCAGCAAAGTGACGCCCAAGTTCTGGCTTCCGAAACTTCCCACAGCAGCATTCGCTGTTTGTTCAGCTGGACTAGCAGTCGATGACGCGCTAGTACCCGCCCCCCCATTTACATTCGATACAGGAACAGTAGCAATACCCGATGGTGCTGGTGCCTGGGAAGGAAGAGCCACAGACGAAGAGACACCCGAGCTTGCTGGTGCTCCTGAAGGGCTCGGTCGTGAGCCAGGTGTACCGTTGTTCTGTCCTCCAGAGCCACCCGGAGTTGAAGAAGGCGAAGACGACGCGACCGGAGCACGCGAAGCAGTACTTGAAGACCCTCCCGCACTGGGCGTCGCTGTTGGGCTCGCTGCTGCACTAGTTGCAGTGCCCGCCGCACTGCTTGCCGGCGCAGCGGATGGTAAATTATCGGGCAATGGGTTTGCATTTCCACCTTCGCAGTTCGCCTCGCCTCCGAGCTTCACTACCATTCCTACACCCGCCATCGCGTCCCGGAACCCATTGTCGTCCTGAAACTTCTTGACATCAAACGCCTCGTTTTCTCCTGGCACTTTCAAATCGGTGATTTGCCTCCTTCCGGGGTTTGTATACATCAAAAAGGTGTACTGTCTGTTGTCGCCTGTCTCACCGACAGAGCCTGGGGCGACGTAATCAACGGCTGGCGGGGTATCGGTGGCGATGTTGGTGATATCGAAGTTGTTCTTGAAGTTTGCACGGGCATAGTGTAGTTTACGGGCGTTGGTACATGTTGTGTCCACCATGATAATAGTGTATAATGTAGTTGGGGAAATGCCGTTGCTATCACCCAGAGCGAACTTGGGTTCTTGTGCTACGGCTAGTTGGGTGTGAGCTGTTGGTTCTTCCGAAAAGGCTTGACTGACTACTGACCATCTTTTTCAAAAGTTGTTCCATCCTGGAAACCATTGACCGCTTGGTTGGTGTAGCTGACTTGGACTTCGTCACTGCCAAACCCACCCCGTAGATCTTGAGGTATGATAGTCCCGCCTTGTGCAGCCGTTTGCGATACAAAGGCCGCCAGGGCCACCACCTTCCAGTAATAGCGAGAAGCCATGATGTGTAAATTACAAAGTATATCGGGTGATGTGAGAAATGTGAGGAGAACGGAATTAAAAAGAATAAACACTTAAGCACTGCTTAGAGTTGATATGGAGCCTGTCGTCTCTTCAAAGCGACTCGCAGCCCCAGGTTATATATAAATCCTCAGCGAACTCTACATGAACAAGGCTCTATACGCAGAAACAGCGAGGAGTAATACGATCTACGCTAAATGTTCCGCCCCAGGCTGTTCAACGCATGCCAACCCCGGAGAAAAGTCGCAGGGTTCCGTTAAAACCTGATCAAAGTAAAGAGCAGCATTGCAGATCCATTCGTCTTCAGACGGCAAGCGCATAGAGTCTCGGCAGATGCCTACTCCGTGGTCTGTGGGCGCCTTGGGGTGCTTGTCAGCTGTTTCGGTTTCAACGCCGTTTCAGCTGACGGCTACCATACGTTCGCGAACATTTTGTAGCCTGACTATAGCAATATTTACATAACTACGCCTTTTCTAATTCTAGGTGCCAAGCTCCAAGGGCGCTTGTAAGGTACAAAACAGGTCATGAAAACGAAAGCTGTGACAAGAAGTGGGCTGCCCAGATTTCAAGCCTCGTTGTACACGTTGACATCTGGGCATGGATCTGAGTAAGTACTTAGGGCATGGCGCCACACAAAATGTCTGACACTGCGTTCAGGCAGTACGCTGCGTCGCGTTCATGTTCATGAAACTTGATGAGAGCTGTACGAGTAACGATGGTTTGGTGTTGCTTGAAGGCTTGGCAACCACACAGGGACCGGATAGGTGACTGTGGTGGATAACATGCAAAAGACAGCACTCCTATATTCAAGGCATAATGAGTAGTTGACTCAATGAAAAACATAGAAGGGTGTTCCTAGTAAATAGCCATATACGTGAGGAACGATCGAAAACCGCGTTCGCACTATCGCCGTGATTCTCGAAGATGGCCGGACACTAGTTCTTCCAGGGCCGCATCACGTGGCGCCTCGCTTAGAATTTCGAGCCGCCCACCATCTCCTGCTTGCACTTACCAGCTTCGACCACTCCTCATCGTCTATCAAACACAACCGCCAAAATGACGAAGCGTGCGTATACCATACGGTTTTCAGGGAATTAATTATTGACGGCCATGTAGGCACAAAGAAGGTCGGCATCACCGGAAAGTACGGTACCCGTTACGGTGCCTCTCTCCGTAAGCAGGTCAAGAAGATGGAGGTGCGCATTACCCTGGATACTCCACACTGCCAGCACAAATGAGTCGCTCACGCTCAGGATAGATCACACAACACGCCCGCTACGTCTGCCAGTTCTGCGGAAAGAACTCTGTCAAGCGCGAGTCCGTTGGTATCTGGCACTGCCGATCATGCCGCAAGACCACTGCCGGAGGAGCCTACACCGTCTCGTAAGACATCCCTCGATACCCCCCCGAGCGCAACATTATCCGAGAGTTGAGCGTGCGAAAGGGAAAAAAGATTAAGGTCAGTACTAACAAGGTTACCAGTACTCCCGCTGCCGCTGCCACAAGGTCAACAATCCGCCGTCTCCGAGAGATTGCTGAGGTTTAAGGGAACATTGGGCACTGGGGTGGAGTTCTTCAAGCGTTTTCTCTGCATCGGCAATCATGGTCCGATGACATTGCTCAAATGCAGCATTCGGATGCCGGTCTCATAACGATCATGGGTTTATCAGGAATTCATACAAAACAATGGCACCTTCATGACCAAGCAGACCCTGCGCGACAAGGGAAAAAGGCAATAATTGTACCAAAAATGCTCATTGCTTGCCTAGAGTTGCCTGATACCACTGTGATACAAGCAACTTGAGGGTCTTCTTCGTTTGCACATGCCAAGCATCAGTCAACGTCAATAATGTGTAGTGAGGAAATGTTCGCTAACCGTCTGACGAATGCTCTTAACCGGCCATACTTGAAGTATTAGGTCGCTCGGCAGGGATTGTGCTAACAGCTGTCGAAATAATCCGACAAGTTCAACTTGGCGAGAGGACCAATCAGCATTACCACACTCTTCGATGACATTAAACCGCGATATATACTTGGGAAGTTAGTTCAAGTGTTTGGTAAGACCGACTGCCTGAGCAAATGTCGTCCGTCATCCTGCACAAAGTAACGCTGCGTGACGAACATGTGTCACTCTGTAGTGTCAATGAGTGCTGACTGCCGGAGGCGAATATCTGACCCTGCATTCTGTCCCGTGTATGCTAACAAAGGGATATGTGTTGACGAAAATCGTCCATGAGGACGGAAGAGCCTGCAATTCTTACGCATGGATTGGCGTGTGGCGAAAGTATATGTCATATCGTTTCTCTTTCCACGATCGATGGGCCAACAAGGTTCAAACTCGGTGAACATTCCTCATGTTCGACATGGCAAAGTTGTCGTCTTTGGCATGGGTCCAAGGTCACTGACGTGGGCAGAACATCCTTAAAGAGCATCTCGATCAGACCACATAGACGCCGCTGGCAAGCGTGTGCTCGGACCTTTACGGCTACTATGCACAAACCCAGAGCCTATCGAAACGCATGCAAATTATGGGCTCACGATATCCACGCACGACGTCATGCCGCGAATCTACCGACTGATCCGCACGCTAAGTGGAGTCCCGCAGAGCCTCAACACCAAAATCTTCGTCCGATCCCAAACGCTAGAGCGCATGGTGGCGGCACACGTTGCGGTCCGGACATCAGATTTTCACCCGATTGTTCTCCTGGCCACGACGATAGAGGTCTTGTCCGTAGCTGTGCACAGACAATATGACGTTGAGGGCGAGACTACATGGGTGCCGCTCTGCTCTCGCATCCTGCTCGAGTCCTGTTTGTCGGGCGTTTACGGTCACTGACATTGGTGAGATGACTGCTAGCTCATACTTCCCCTGCTTTCTCATCATGCCGGTACCTCACCGGCATCGATAAGTTGAAATGATCGTGTCTCCGTTTTAGTCCTAGGTTTGTTGTGGCCATCCCTTATCATCGTACTTACCTGCGTCTTTTTCTCCCGCTCTCCCCAGCACAATTCTCCCCAAACTTTCGCCAACATGTCCGGCTACTACGGTCCATCCTTTTACAACAAATCTTCGAGACCACCATCTCTAGCAGCATCAAGAGCGAACTCGTCCTACCGAGTCGCTCAAAGTGCGCCAGTCACACCCCGAAATGGATCGATAACTACACCCCGAAACGCCTCCATCCCTAATACGATTGACGGTTCCACTGCTGCACAGACGGCTGCCAACACTGCCGCCAACACCGCTCCTCACACCGGCGCCTCTACACCTGCTTTCTTATCAAGAGTGAACAGTAAGCTCGCGGATGAAGACAATGTCTCTATGAACTCTGAGATCCTTCGCAATGAAAAGGGTGAGCTTATGATCGGAAGGATAGCTGGTGGAAAACATCTCACAGATGATGTCGAGGACATTGATCCTGCTTGTGGACCCATCAAGCGCGTGGATTGCGACATGCCTCTTACCCTGACTGAGATGGTCAACCACGAAGGCAAAGAGTACATTGTCTTGAGCTTCGCGACTGGCGACAAGGAAAATCCTTTCAACTGGAATCCCTGGTACAAGCGCAGTATCACAACGATGCTGAATTTGATGACGCTGTTTATTGGTCTCGCGACTACGGCGTACAGCTCTGGTATCAATAGCATGTGCGAAGAGTTTGGCGTCGACACTATATACGGCCAGCTAGGACTGTTTACATTCAACATCTCGTGCGCTATTGCGCCGATGGTACTGGCACCTTTCTGTGAGCTTGTTGGTCGCAAGATCGTATACGCCAGCGCCTTCCTCTGCTTCTCGCTCATCTTCATCGGCCTCGCACTGGCACAAAGCATCGGCACCATCATCGGTCTCCGTCTACTCCTCGGTCTCTTTGGATGCGTAGGTACCATCCTCGTCGGTGGTACCTTTGACGACATGTACGAACCACACAAGCGCGGCCGGCCCATGGCCATGTTCAGTTTCGTAGCCATCTTCGGTACCATCGCTGCGCCCATATACGCTGGCTTCATCGACCAGGCGCTCGGCTGGCGCTGGGTAGAGGGTATCCAGGGTCTGGCTAACATCCCTCTTCTAATCCTCATCTTCGTCTTCTTCCCCGAGACCCGCGGTGGCGCTAAACTCCACAAGCGCGCAAAGCAGCTCCAAAAGGCCACGGGCGACGACCGCTACGTCGCTGAAGACGACATCTATACGCCAGACGTCAAGTCGATGCTCAAAGCCTCATCCGTCAAAGCCATCCGCATGCTCGTCACAGAGCCCGTCGTCTTCGCCTTTGGCCTCTGGATCGCCTTCTGCTGGGCCGTCGTCTTCCTCTTCCTCTCCGTCATCCCCATCACCTTCACCGAGAAGCGCGGCTGGAACGAAGGCGTCAGCGGTCTCCCCTACATCTCTCTCGCCGTCGGCACCGTCCTCGGATGGGCGGCGCATCACTTCCAAATGGCAAAGTACAACAAGCTCCAGGCCGACCCCAACGTGCGCGTCGTCCCCGAGCACCGTCTCTACGGCGCAATGTTCGGCGCTGTCTGGCTCCCCGTCGGCCTCTTTATCTATTCTTTTACTCAGTACCAGCATCTCAGCTGGGTGGGGCCAGTCATCGGCCTCGCACCCATTGCCTTTGGCATCTTCTTCGTCTTCGAGAGTACGTACTCGTACACTGCGGATTGCTATGGTGAGACGTCTTCGTCGGCGATTGCCGGTCAGGGTCTGATGCGGAACACGCTTGGTGCTGTGACGCCGCTTTTCGCCAGTGCCTTCTTTCATAATGTCGGGAGTCAGTATGCGGGATTGATTCTGGCACTGTTTGGCACCGTGTTGAGTTTGATTCCGTTTGTTATGTTCAAGTACGGACATTTGTTGCGGGCGAGGAGTAAGTTGGCCAAGGAGTATTAGGGGATATGTACATGTAGGATGGTTTTAGTATGTTAGGGTTGAGTGGTGTCGGGGTTGTTGTAATCAAGCTTTTTAACTATATCAATTTGG